TGAATGCATGGGACAGAGTTGAGGAACCAGGAAAAAAAACTGAGTCATGTACAAAGGTTATACAGGGCCCAAAAGAAGCTTTCACAGATTTCTTACAAAGATTGACTTCAGCAGTACAGAGAATGGTCCCAAATTCAGAGGCTAGTCAGATAATAATTGAATCTTTGGCCTTTGAGAACGCAAATGCAGCATGCAAAAAAATAATCAGGCCGTTAAAGGCAAGATCTGCACTTTTGGAAGATTGGATTAGAGACACGGTTAATGTTGAGGCTTATGACCATGATAATATGTGGGTACGAGAAGCAATTTCAAAAGGTTTGAGAAATGTTAGATGTTTTGGATGTAGAAAGCAAAGACATTTGAAAAGGGACTGTAAACAGGTCATTCCTAGAAATAATGTTTCTTCAAGGAACACTGGCAACAGAATGCCCCTTCCTTCTGGAGTATGCAGAAGGTGTGGTAAGGGAAAACACTGGACCAACGAATGTAGATCAACAAGGGACAGACAGGGTAATCCTTTGCCTTGGGCTTCGGGAAACTCCCAGAGGGGCCTCAGGCAGGGCCCCACAGTAAATCCAGTTCAAACCTTTCCTGCAGTTGTAGAGGAAACCCCTACTCAAAGCAACTAAATAACGAAATGCCTATTGGAATAAATCATGTTGGTCGGGATGATGAAACAGAGAGAATAGGAAATTCAGGAAAAAACATAAAGAAAATTTTTTGGCAAACTTCTATTAATGAACAAAGATCAAAATTAACAATAAAAATAAATGGTGTTTTGTTGTCTGGTCTGGTAGACACAGGTGCTGACATTACCATAATTGCACCAGAATTTTGGCATCCAACTTGGCCTCTTCAGGAGGAAAACGTTCAACTTTTAGGAATTGGGACATTATCTTGAGTGAAACAAAGTGCAAGATGGCTCGAATGTATAGGTCCAGAAGGATAGAAAGGAAAATTAAAACCATATATGGCTAACATAGCTATGAACCTGTGGGGTCCAGACTTGTTGCAACAATGGAATACTCAGATTAACATCCTTCCAATCTCAGAAACAAATCATAAACTAGTACATGTTTCTGAGAGAAATATTAGAAGATATTATTCTAATGAGTGGTCACCAGCCATCCATGTCATACAAGAACAGGGCACAACAACTGATAATCTTCCAAAAACACCAACAGCTCTACCTTTAAAATGGTCAACAGACAAGCCTGTATGGGTTCAGCAACATGGCCTTTAACAACAGAGAAACTCCAGTGTTGTGGGATGGTCTGTATGTCAAATGTGTTGCTGATTGGTCAATGAATAAATCACTGATTTGGCCAGTGGCCAGGCAGGAAGTATAGGCGGGACCAACAGAGAGGAGAATTGAGAGAACAGGAAGCTGAGTTGGGGAGACACTGCCAGCCGCCATCAGGACAAGGAAGATGTAAAGTACCGGTAAGCCACAAGCCACGTGGCAAGGTATAGATTAATAGAAATGGATTAATTTAAGCTGTAAGAACAGTTAGCAAGAAGCCTGCCACGGCCATACAGTTTGAAACCAATATAAGTCTTTGTGTTTACTTGGTCAGGTCTGAGCGGTTATGGGACTGGCGGGTGGCAGAGATTTATCCTGACTGTGGGCCAGGCAGGAAAACTCTAGCTACAAATGGTGCCCAACGTGGGGCAAGAGTTTCCACCTAAAAACTGAGAAAAAAAAGATTCTAAAATGGAGCTAAAAACAGCTTCCTAATTGTCTCTCTCAAATGAGCAGCAGCTGCCGGTTTGAGCTACTGGCAGGTTCCTAGCGTGTGAGCGCTCGACCTGCAGTACGGTGGGAATGAGGCCTCTACAAGTGGCACATTAAACTGCATGGTAGATTTAGACTTTGCTAGTACAAAACAAAAAAAGAGGTTTCTGGGCTACACGCTGCTTGGCTAAAAGCATAGACCCACGATAGCTCCCAGAGCCAGCAGTAAAGTACCACGGCCATTTTGGAAAGCTGAGGTGGGCGGAGCCAGCAGCCACAGCTGCTGCAGTTAAAAGCAATAGATTCACAATAAGACAGATTCAGATGTAATAGTTTAAAATGTGTGTAAAATCTACGTAGGCTTGAAAGAGACAAAAAAGGTGATATATACAGTTATATAAACAAATACATAGTTTTAAAAATAAAGTCTTTAAAGAGACAGTAAAATTAATATATAAAATAAGCCACGTAGAGATGACTATTACACAGAGAATCTGGATTGTGTTGTCTTTGGGATTCTTAACTACAGAGAGATATTTGATTGTAAAGGAAGCTGAGTTAAACCAGTATGTATATTTTAAAGATACTTTGACTTCAAAATTTGGATGTAAGGATATGTTGCTTTGGAAAAGAGTCTCTTTTGTTTCCACAGAAAGCAAGAGGCTATGGATTTGTTCCAAAGTAAGATACATCAGGTTTGACCAGCCAAGACCCCCTGAAAGGTCTCCGATGACACCATGGCCCAGATGATCCAACATCCAGAACCGTTTCAAGGCAACTGGCTCAGACGATACACCCTCATGGACTACTCCATAATCCTAAAGTATTCTTTATGTCCCCATAAGATACAGCGCCCCCCTCCAGCAGGAAGTAGTAAGAGAAGCTGCGCCCAAATTCCCAAATATACTAAGCTGACTTTGGAGATGTGTAAAGGTTAAAACCTTCCTTTTTAAGAAAAGAAAAGGGGAAGTGTTGTGGGATGGTCTGTATGTCAAATGTGTTGCTGATTGGTCAATGAATAAATCACTGATTGGCAGTGGCCAGGCAGGAAGTATAGGCGGGACTAACAGAGAGGAGAATTGAGAGAACAGGAAGCTGAGTTGGGGAGACACTGCCAGCCGCCATCAGGACAAGGAAGATGTAAAGTACCGGTAAGCCACAAGCCACGTGGCAAGATATAGATTAATAGAAATGGATTAATTTAAGCTGTAAGAACAGTTAGCAAGAAGCCTGCCACGGCCATACAGTTTGAAACCAATATAAGTCTTTGTGTTTACTTGGTCGGGTCTGAGCGGTTATGGGACTGGCGGGTGGCAGAGATTTATCCTGACTGTGGGCCAGGCAGGAAAACTCTAGCAACACTCCAGGCTTTAGAAGAGCTGGTAGAAGAACAGTTAAATGCTCAGCATATTGAAAAATCAACCAGCCCTTGGAATTCTCCTGTACTTGTTATTAAAAAGAAATCTTGGTAAATGGAGAATGGTAACAGACCTTAGAGCAATTAACAAAGTAATTCAGCCAATGGGCTCTCTACAATCTGGAATTCCTTTGCCTACTCTGTTACCAAAAGGATGGCCTCTCATAGTTATTGATTTAAAAGACTGTTTCTTTTCAATACCCTTACAAGAAAAAGACAGAGAAAGATTTGCTTTCACAGTGCCTACTTATAATAATTCTCAACCGGTTAAAAGATTTCAATGGAGGGTCCTCCCACAGGGAATGTTGAATAGCCCAACTCTGTGCCAATATTTTGTACAACAGCCATTGGAAGTGGTATGTAAAAAATTTCCTAAATCTATAATTTATCATTATATGGATGATATTTTATTAGCTGACTCAAATATATAGTTTTTCTTATGTTAGTTATAACCTTTTTCCTTTTTTCTTTTTATTAAAATAGAAAAGGGGAAATATGGTGATATTTTATTTGTATTAAAATGTTATTTGTATGTTAATAAATAAAGTTGCCCAGGGGTCAGAGCTATTAGCAAGCCATAGGAAAGCAGGGCAGTGGTGGCGTATGCTTGTAATCCCAGCACTTGGTAGGCAGAGCTAGGTAATTCTCTGTGTGTTCAGGGATATAGCCAGTATTGGATACACATGCCTTTAATCTCAATACCAATCATAGAAAACGTAGAGGTCTATACAGACAGGCCGTGACGAGGTGGTCATGTGGTTGGGTTTACAACCAATGAGAAGGCAGAACAGAAACTCTATATAAAGACTTTAACACAGGAAGTAGCTCTGGTTCGGAGAGGTAGGACCACCACAGGAGGAAGGGTAAGGTTTTAGCTTTTAGCTCTGACCTCTTGGCTTTCTTCTTTGCATTGGTTCTGTGTTTCTTATTTAATAAGACGGTTGGTTACATCTACAGACATAGGCTACCAATGCTGGTTAGGTACACACTCCCCCAGGTGGTTCATGTCATTGACAGGAATCCTCCAGAAACCTGCCTGGCCTGCCCTTCAGAGCAGCCTTGTCACAACAAGCCACAGCTGGGGACAGAAGAAACCAGCCACAGACACAGGATAAATTGGTAGAGATTTTGATATCCACAGGTAAGCAAAAGCATTGAGAGAAACATGACCACAGGAGTGGAGAATGTCACAGGCTGACTCTGAAGGTCTTTAATATAATTGTTACTGCCTGATTTTTCTATGAGTCCTAGAAAGAGGGAGAACACAAAGACACTGGTGACCTTCCCTCTACACTCCCTCTGGTGATTTGGCTTCATGGTCAATGCCTGGGAACTAGTGGACACAGGGCTTCTCTGGAGCACAGGGCATCCAGGCCTCAGGGAGCTGCCACCCCTCAGCCTATTTGCTGCTTGCTCACTTACATTTGCCAGCTATCAAAGATGGCAACAAAATCCCTGTCTGGGTACCAACAGCGGACAGTTTCAGGAGGCTGACGGTGGGAGGAAAGCTCCGACAAGCCTGGTGGGCATTCCCATCTCAAGCCTTGCCATTGCATTTCTTACTCACACACTTATAGAACAAACCCAACACTGTTGCTCACCCTGTTAGCAAGGATGAAAGTCCTGCATCACGGTGGCCTCAGACAGGGTCTGAGAATGCATACTGACATGAGACAACCCATCCCTTTCTGACTAAAGGAAAGTTGCTTTCATCTTCTCTAATGGCTGAACAGTTTTATTCTTCATGTTCCTCGAGGCAAGAGGATCAGGGAGATGCCAAGGCAGCTGTGTGCTCAGTGGGACCCTTCCTCCTAACAGGCAGGGTCGTGACTGGGAACGGGGTCTCACCTGTCCTACAATTGTGGAACTCCAGCGCACTCTCCATGCGGAAGGTCTTTCCACAGCTGCCACAGCGGGTAGCGGTACTCACTATCCACCTGCTCAAAGGGACACAGTAAACAAGGAAGACTGCATGAGTTCAACATAGGTGCCCCCCACCCCGTGCATGCTGTTCTAGTAACTTCCAGGGCTAGCTACACCACAGCTTTCCTCCCTGTTCTAGTGGGAATATTCCTGCTGTCCAACTGCCTGAGAAAGAGAATCCCACACTCAGGTGAGTGTACCCCAAATGCCAGCCACCTATCTTCTCCCTTGTCCCTATTGCTTCTTGAGCACTGGCCTAAGCTGGGCTCAGAATGCATGGGGGAACCTCCCTCTGGAGACTAAGAGTTCTCCTCTACCATGGCTCCTCCTCTAGGAAACACTTGTTCAGCCAGTTGTCTGGGTGCCTACTTACCTCATTCCGGCTGTGCTTGTAGGAGACATGTTGCTTTAGACTTTCTTTACGGCTGAACAGTTTCGAACATTCCTCACATTTAAACAGCTTGTCACCTAAGGAACCAGCCAACAGAAGGCAGATTCACTGCTTTGGCCTTTCTCAGCAAGTTGCACCCATCTTTGAAACATGAGGCCTCTGCTGTGCTGGGTGCCCCCTATGCTGAAGGGCACAGGCAGCCACAAGGTCACCCCTTGCAGCAGCTCTGCAGCAAGGACCTAACAATGGACACACACTTTCCTGGCCCTGCCCTGTGGGCTGGGCAGGCACTCACCGTGCGCGCACTCACCGTGCGAGCGCACGTGCCGGCTCAGGTTGCTGCTGTTCTGGAAGACCTTGCTGCAGGTGCCACACTGATGGATTCGTTTATGCTCACCCAGCTGCCGTACGAGCTTCCGCCGAACGCCATGTCTGCTGGACAGAACCAAGCCCCTCTTGAGGGCAATGGTGCTGCTTGGATGATGCGTGAACCTGCCCAGGAGATGGACAGCAGGTCAAGGAAAGGTGGTGGTTGGGTCCTCGAGAGAAAGTTTCTGATCATAGTCACCTGGAAAGTTCTCTGGCCATATTTCCCAGCTATACTTGGTCCATGAGGAAAGGAGAAGGAAGGCAGAACTCAGTATCACCCACCCCCTGGGTAGCATAGACACTCTGAGTGCATGAATAGTGGTGTCGGTGCCACCTAACAGCTGTGCAGCTCACTTGCTTCAGCCTGGCCATCAGGAAGCCTGAGCTCCATTTGTGTCCCAAACAAGGTAGCCCTGTCTGTGGCTCTCGTCCTTGCTCGGTCTCAACTCTACTCTGCTTTATGTTGACTCTGAACCTGACTTCTAAACATTTCTTCGTCCTGCCAAGTGTGTTTTTTCTGGTCAGTGCTTGAAATCCTCTGGGCAGTAAGACAGGAAAGAAATAATAAACATGTCCACATTTTCACAGGTTCATCAGGTGAATTCTGCCAACTCCAAAGGGCATAGAAAACACCAGCAGCTGAGTCAACTTCAGGGCAAAAACTCACCAGGGAATCATAACTATGTCATAAACATTTCTTTCCCTTGCACAGCAAGGTGTGAAACTGACTAAAATCCAGATACAAGCAACTGCTGAACCACAGCAGCACTGCTCACAGAGCTGGGGCAAAGCCCCCAGAAATCCCCATGGGAAACAGACAAAGCAGGTTCATACATCAGTGTAACATCAGTCCGCCTTACAGAGGAGATCTGGACATGCACTATGACATAGAAGGACATGTGCTGAGTAAAATACGCCATTCACAGAGGGCAAGTACTGTGTGCCCTACTGATGTGGGGGGCATAGGCTAGAAATGAATGTAGACAGAAAGCAGAATGGTGGGCACTAGGGGCAGTTTCAGTTTGTGTAGATAAAGGCTTGGGAGACAGATAGCTGTAGTGTCTCTGCACTGTGTCTTTAAAGAGTCCTGTGTGTTTTAAGATAAGAAAAAAGTTTTCACAGTGAATGGACTATGAAACTATGAAACTCCTGGGCTCCAGAACATACACTTCTGGCCTGAAAAGATGAAGCCTGGCTCTGCTGTGGGGATTAGAGGTGGGAGGCGCATTCCCTTTAGTACCAATTAGTTGTTCCCTGTGCTCCATCCCCAAGCACCAGCCACATACAAGCAGGACTTACTTTGGCACTGAGCTGACTTCATTTGTCGGGGTGGACAGCTTCCCCAAGACTAATTCCATTATCCGTTCGTCTGGTGTTGCACTCACAGGCTCATCTGGGGGGATTTCGGTAATGATCTCTGCCACGTGCTCTGTGCAAGAGTATTATAAAAAGGGTCATCACCGGTGTAGGGGACAGACTGTGACAAACACAGGGGAAGCACTGCCCCTGGGAGCACGTCCTAAGTGTGGATGTAATAGGGATAGAAGTAGAACATTTTAGAATTTAAGCGTTTATCTATTATATAAAGAAAATATGTTTTTAATGCAAACCTTGTAAAGCCCAAGCATCACGCTACTTCAATCTCTCCTGATCCTGCCTAGGACACTATTGATATATAGCAGATGGATATGCAGCCAGATCTTGTAGCTTATTAAATGAGCTCTGACAGAGATTTACAAGTATGATAAATCATCTTGAGGATATTCAAAGGTGAGTCAACATTCTGTTCATGGCCATGTCAGAAATGAAACATAGGAAGATTATACAGAAGAAAATTTCAACCACTGTGGGCTTTGTTGTTGTCTTTTGAAGTAGGGTCTCATGTAGCCAGGGCTGGCCTCGAAATTACTATGTAGTCAAGGATGACCTTGGATATATGATCCTTCTATTCCCAAGAGCCATAATTCTAGCTATGTACCACCATGCTCAGTTTCTGTGGTGCTTAGTTGATTCTGCGGGCTGTTTTCCTGGTGTCCTCGACCCCTCTGGCTCCTACAATTCTTCCTCCCTCTCTTCCTCAGGGTTCTCCAAGTACCAAGGGGAGGGACCCAATGGAGCTCTCCAATTCGGGCTCTCTCTCCACCCGTTATAATGTTTGGTTTGTGGGTCTCTGCATCTGCTCCCATCAGCTGCTGGAGAAAGCGTCTCTGATGATAATTGGAACCACTGGTTTCTATTGTTTCACCTACTATCACCAATTCCAAGTGACAGCCAGGAAGTAGTTCCTTCTGCTCCTTCCTGTCTATAGAGGCAGGGAAGTCCCACAGGGAGCTCAAACCACTCCTGCTCATGTGCAGATATTTCCACATGGTTCAGAGAACAGGCACTGGCCAAAGAGCAGGAAACAGGAAAGTGGAGACTGTTCCAAGGAAGCTGCTCTTCTATTCTCTTTAATTTCAAACTTGCTTCTCATTTCCACAATGGCAAGACTAAAGAGCACCCAGTGCCAGTAACACAGGCAGGAAGGGCCAGGCAGCTGGGGCAGGGGTTGCATGAGGACCACAGAGACAATGGTTTTCCAGAGACATGTACATGCTACAGAGTGGATTCCTTCAAACTCAGCTGAGGGTTCTGCATACTCAAAGAACAAGCTCAGGCCAGTGCAATGGCTCAAGTGGTGTGCTAGTTAGTTTCATGTCAACTTGACACAAGCTAGAGACATCTGAGAGGAGGGAACCATCAAAAGAGAAAATGCCTCCATATCCAGCTGTACAGTATTTTCTTAATTAATGATTGATGAGGGAGGGCCCAGCCCATTGTGGGTGGTGCTATCCCTGGACTGGTGATCCTGGGTTTGATAAGAAAGCAAGCCACTCTATGGCCTCTGCATCAGCTCCTGCCTCCAGGTTCCTGCCCTGTTTGAGCTCCTGTCCTGACTTCCTTCAGTGATGAACAGTGATATGGAAATGTAAGCTAAACAAACCCTTTCCTTCCCAAGTTGCTTTGGTCATGGTGTTTCATCACAGCAATAGTAACACTAACTAGGACAGAAACTGGTATCAGGATCATGGGGTATTACTGTGACAGACCTGACCATGTTGTTTGGGGGAGGATTGTGAAAGGACTCTAGAACTTTGGGCTAGAAAAGCCATTGAGTATTCAAAGACTGGTAAGCTTTTCTGTGGGAGCTTGGAAGAATGTTGAGAGTAATTCAGAGGATGGAGTTTTAGAGTCCCTTAAAGATTTTATCAGGGCTATTTGCTATTTTGAGTTGGGAATCTGTGGTTCAAGAATCAGCTATAATTAACAAGAGACCAGAATCTCTGAAATAAAACCTTTGCTTTAGTGAGACAATAATAGCGGTCAGCTGCAGCAAAGAAATTAGTGGCAATGAAGAAGAGACCAGCATCACTGAGGTGAAATCTGGGAAGTGTTCCCTCAGAGTCAGCACATACAAGCTGTGTTTCAGAGACAGGCAAGGCTGTACCTCCTGTTATCAGCCAAACTTGGGTAGTGTAAGAGTTACCCAGGTGGTATTGGTTTTGAAGATATGAAGGAGTCATGGAGAACTTCTGAGGCTTGGCACTGTGAGACACCAGGAAATGCCATTGGTGAAGGTGCAGCCTCAGGAGTGGCTGAAGCACCAGGACTGAAGAGGTCATGAAGAGAAGATGAGGCTATTGGTGGAAGTGCAGCCCAGCTGCAGCAAGAGACCCCACCATACTGGAGATGCAAGAACAATAACAGCCATAGAGTGGAGCTGGCTAGAACCTGGAAGACAAGCTGGGTGTGCCACAGAGGGCAGAGCCAGAGAAATTACTCGGGCCCTTTGGAGAAGCCCAGAAGATTATCAGTGAACCCCAGATATTGGACATTGAGCTATTTACACTGTTGGAGTTATGATTGTGCCTTGGCTCTTCCCTCTCAAAGTAAGAAAGTATTTAACTTAATTTTGATTTTACAGGCTCCTACAGTTCAGAGACTGAATTTTAAAAGAGATTTTGGAATTTTACAAAGACTTTGGATTTAAAAGAGATTGAATTTTTAAGTGGTAAAGATAACTACTACGCAAGCCTGGCCCCTGAGTTCCATCCCTGAATCACGTACAGAAGTGAAAGAGAACTACAAAGTTATCCTCTGGCTTTTGTATATGCTACACACACACACACACACACACACACACACACACACACACACACAGAGACACAGACAGACAGACACATAGACACACACACACAAACACACACAGAGACACAGACAGACACACACACACAGACACACACACACACACACACAGACACAGACAGACAGACACACACAGACACACACACACACACACAGACACAGACAGACAGACAGACACAGACACACACACACAGAGCCAGGGCCATGACCAACTACATTTCCACTCATAAGCAGTGGGCAACAAATACTGGGAACTCACTTGATGGACTAAGTGCTGCTGGGCAGACAGAAGAGTTGTGACCGACAAGCATGGCATGGACAAAACACACACCTGAGATAGAGAAGCACACAGACACAAGCCAGGCATGGTGGCACAGGTGTGCTATCCCAGTTCCCCAAGAGGCTTTGTGGCTAGGATCAAGAGTTCAAAGTCAGCCTGGGTAACATACTGAGCTTGAAGCCAGTCATAACAAGACTATCAGGAAACAAAGTCAGAAAAAAAGAAAGGAAAGAAAAGGAAAACAAACAAACAAAAACCCAGCCAGACTGAGGGCTCCAGTCCCGCTGAGACAAAGGCTAGTCAGGTATCTATTTAAAATCTGCTCTCTGAACACTCTAATGTGGAAGACTCTGCAAGATAATCACACTCTTAACAGCTGACTGAGGGACTGGAGAGGAGATAAGCCCACCTCATAAGCCCTCCCTGCCAAGATGGTCCCCCAAAAAACTAAGAGATGAGAAGGCACACATACCACCCACTCTGCCACATACACATCAGCGTCTCACCTGCAGGCTCCTTGTCCTTGATGATGACCAGAGGCTGCTCAACCTTGGATGCTTTGGGTTTCCTCCCCCTTCGAGGCTTTTTCTTTGGCTCTTTGGTGGCCACAGCACTCTGGATGCTCTTGCTCTCAGCTGCTGTGGGAGGCTCCCTCCTGGGTGCATCAGGCTCCTTCTCAGAAGCTGCCTCATGCTGCTGGCCACCTGCAGGAAGGCTTTTGGCTTGCTCCAGGTGGACCAAGAGATGCTCTGCAGGAGGAGAAGGGTTGCTGATGACACAATAAGGATTGGACGCCTGCCAGCTTACCACCTGCCCCATGTGTTGGCTTTCTTTGTTATATTTGCTGAATGTGCCCTCTGCACAGGTAAATAAACTTTATCTCACTGTTTTTAAAGAGAAATGGCTCCACCACTTACATATAGCTTCAAATCAAGTTTCCCTCATCTGACATGTTCAAGACCAGATGGTTCTGGATCATGGTGAACTTTGATTTTAGAAATGTATAATGCTAACTTTCAAATGGGGCCAATCAGCTTAAATCGTGTTTGCAGACTGGCCTCAACTTCTGATCCTTCTGCCTCCACCTTCAAGTGCCAAAATTAGACAAGTCCCACCATGCCTGGTTTTATGCAGCACTAGGGCTCAAACCCAGGACTTCTCGTATGCCAGGCAAGCACTCTGCCACCTGAGTCACATCCCCATCCTGGAACTATGCTTACAAGTAAATGAGACACAGGCAAGGTATGATGTTACCATGAGACAGTCTATAAATCCAGAAGGGCATGTGCACCTCTGTAGAGGCAATGTCCAATGCTGTGCAGCTCGTGTTTGACTTGATGAAACTGGGCAACTTTGACTTGCTTCCTTGATAGTTTGTATTTTCTAACTTTTCCACAGAATGTGACAAGATGGAACTTGCAGACCGAACAGACTCCCAGAGACCTGCCTACAGAGATCTCTCTGTCTCTGCCTCCCAAGTGCTGGGATTAAAGGTTTGTGCCACCACTGCCCAGCTAAACAATTCTTTATAAACCCTACAAGCAAGTGAAATGGTTTTGCTTATTTATAGCTGAAAGCAAGCCTCTAAGACCACCCAGGAAAAGGCAATGGAGACAGATGTCGGGAGCAGCCAGGTAGGCAGGGTGCCACATGGAGTGGTAAGCTTGGGAGGTAATGGTCAAATATGGCTAGGTCACAGGATACCAGGTGACAGGAAGAGGAGGTGGCAGGAAAAGCGAGTGACTAAGCACACACACAACAGAGGCAGAGTTGGTTCCTCCCTCTCAAATGTGAGTCGTTCAGCACCAGTATCAAGCCAAGTAGTCATTATCCCTGATTCCATTAGAGACTCTATGCTAGGTGGGTGGCCCCAAGGAGCAGGCCTGTGAGGGAAGTTAACATGATCTGGCATCCAGCAGAACAAGCTTACGCCGAGCTCATTGGTTGAAAATGAATGGGAGAGTGAGACAAAACAGAACACACACCCTGAAAATACAAGCTGAGCAGTATTAAGGGGAAACAAACAAGACTCTGCCAATCACACACAAGGAACTTAAAACAAGAGTGAAATTGGAGGCCCTGGGGTCTCACAGGTCATTGGGCTGTAAAGACAGGATAACAAATCACTACAGGGCCTGGGGACTGAGAGACAAACTTGGGTCTACTCTGAATCCAGGCACAGAGCAACACAGATTAAAGTTTACATAGAGTCTGGGTAGGAGATGTGGATTCATTCTACACTAGGCTCAAGTATTGGGGCAACAGAGACTGAAGTTTACACAGGGCTTAGGTTCTGAGCCAGTCAACAAAGCCTGGTTTGTGTCAAGGTTCAATGATCCAGGGAAACAGAAAGCTGTTCTCTGCAATGGTCTTATCATTCATTTATTTACTTTCATGCTTATTTATCTATTGTGTGCAGGTGTGCTGCAGCCATGGTATAAAAGTGGAGATCAAAGGACAATTTTTGTGGGAGTTGGTTCTCTGCTTCCACCACATGGGTCCCAGGGATTGAACTCAGGTGGTCAGGCTTGGAAGCAAGCACCTTTACCTGCTAAGCCAACTATTGCCTTCTTCTAAGATTTTAGAGAGGAAGGCAGGTGGTATAAAATGACTCCCATAAGGAACCGAAGCCCCAGTGGGGGTATATGACACAAATATATACAAGCTAAAACAAACCAACCAAACCTCTTCACATCCTAGTGAGAAATGAAGCCTCAACTATGAAGCTCAGGAAAGCAAAAAACAAAAAACAAAACAAAACAAAACCACCCTGTGCCAACACTTCCCCAAGCTACAGGGAAAGCACACAATGGATCAAGAAAAAGGGAAGAATTCTTGCTAAGTACATCATCAAAGCATCAGAACCCAAAGAAGTGACCCACCACACCCCAGAAAGCTTAGCAACAAAACAACTGTTAGGATATCTTGTTAGGATATCAGCTGACATAAAAACCAGGAAGACTGGAATTCCAAGATCACAGCACAAGCTACGGGCAAACTGGAGTGGAGGGGCAGACATAACCAAGTAAAGAATAAAAAGTTTGGGGAAAAGGCTAAGATAACTGAAAAATAGCAAACAAGTCAGAAAAATAAGCAAAGAAAACTTTTATAAGACTAAGACACAGAGATACAAATTAAAAACATGACAGACACTATTGAACAAGGAATCTCTTAAGCAGAACCCTCAACCCCCACCCCCTGCCCCCTGAAATGGACACATGACAAGTACCTAGAAACAGGAGAGGGAGGGCAGGAGATGTGGCATAACACTAGAAAATGGTCTGAAGTAGGTATGCAGAGCTCTCGGAGAATAGAAAGTAGAGGGAAGCAATGTGTTAGACCTGGTCACAGAGACATTCACAGTAGATGGAAGCTGCCACTCTTCAGGCCCAAGGTCCAAAATAAGGACAGTAAATAAAAGGGATAGCAAGAGCTAGGAGTAAGTGCAACCCGCTGAGTGTTTCCCTGGATGGCATGAAGCCCTGGGTCTGACACCCAGCACTGCATAAACATGTGTGATGTCACATACCTCTAATCCCAGAACTCAGAAGGTTAAAGCAGAGGGACAAGTGCTCAGGTTCAAGGTGAGACCCTGTCTCAGAAATCAGCAAACAAATGCATGAGAAGTGAGGCTGGAGAGATGGCCCAGTGGTTATGAGCACTGGCTGCTCTCCTAGAGGACAGGAGTTCAATTCCCAGTACCACATGACAGCTGACAACTAATTCCAGTTCCAGGGGAACTGATACCCTCACACAGACATACATGCAGGCAAAACACCAATGCACATAAAATAAAAATACATCATTTTTAAAAATGCATGAGAAGCACACCAACTCTGATGCTGCACTCACACAGGCCACCAAGTCTGCATAGCAAGCTCCTCAAATTTGTGTTTTATTGTGTATCCTAATAAACTTGCCTAAGGATCAGAAGACAGAGCCAGCTACTAGATTAGACATAGAGGTCAGGCAGTGGTGGCACACACCCTTAATCCTATCACTCAGGAGACAGAGATCTGTCTGGATCTCTGTGAGTTCAAGGCCACACTGGTCACGTGAGATTGATCCAGTATAGGAGAGAAAGAGAGCCAGGTGTGGTAGCACACACCTTTAATCCCAGCACTTGACATCTCATGCCTTTGCTTGGGAAGCACACACATATTTCATCCCAGGAAGTGATGTCTGGGCAGAGAAAGGTATATAAGGCGTGAGAAAACAGGAACTCTCTCTCTTTAGGCTGAGGATTTCGTAGAGATAAGAACAAGTGGCTGGCTGTTCTGCTTCTCTGATCCTTCAGCCTGCACCCCAATATCTGGCTCTGGGCTTTTTATTAAAAGGCCATCTAAGATTCAAACAACAGTGTTTGATTTACTAACTGCTCTAGTGGACATATAGGAATCTTCTACCATAAGAGGAGATAGTGCAATTTCTCCTCATACACATGCCAGTCTTTGCTTTATGAATTTCTAGTCTATGTATGGTGTGCATATGAATTTAGATGCAATATAGAATAAAATGTGGAAAGGAGCTAGCACAGCTCTTAGGGAAAATATCAGGGCTTCCATTAAAAAAAAAAACTTAAGAATGACTGAGTGAAGTCTTCAACTTAAAACTGAGAAAAGAACAAAACAAACAAACAAAGCATAAAAAGGAGCCAGATGTGGTGGCACATGCCTGTAATCCCACCACTTAGGAAGTGAAGCAGAAGTCAAGGTCATCCTCAGCTACAGCGCAAGTGCAGAGCCAGTCTAGGCTATATGAAACTGTCTCCAAAAACCAAAAAGAAATGATAAATAAGCAGAAGTTAACGTTTGAAAATAAAAATATAGTAAGAAATAAGTGAAGCCCAAAGCTGCTGCTTTGAAAAGACACACAATATTGGTAAGTCCAACAAGAAAGGTGCAAAATAACTGTAATTGGCTCATAACAGAAAACAACAGTCTCCTGCCCCATTCTGCCCATCCATTCCTCTGCATTCTCTAGTCACCCATCCACAACTATAGAGGATAATTCCAGGAACTGAGGTTATCAGTATCTACAGACACCCAAGCCCCTTCCATAAAATGGCACAGTATTTGCAAAAACCAACACACATGCCATATACATCATCACTCAAAATACAAAAATGCAGTAAAAATGCTATGCAAATGGTTACTGCTCTACATTCAGGGAATTATGACAAGAAAAAAAAATACTGTACATACTCAGTACAGACTCATGTTTTCCAAGTACTTTAAAAGTACTTTCCATTTAAACGCTGGCATGAGGATGCCACTGATAAAGAGGTCCGACTATACTAGAGTCTACTGACAGTTTAAAATGAAATATGGGGGTTCTGCTTTCTTATACATGCTACTTCCTTCTTAGAGCTCACACTCCTCCCAATCCCACCAACACACTCAGATTGCACTTTTGGTGTAAGCCAACAACTGGTATTTACAAGACCATGGCTATAAAGATCTATCCACAGCAGTTGTGGTTAGCATTCTTTCTCTTGGAGCTAATTACAGCCTTACCTTCCATCAATCGTTGTCCCATGTCTGTACTAGTTTGTACACTCCCTGCCTCTCTCGAAGTCAGGCCTTTTGGATTTCTCTCCTTTTTTTTTTTTTATTGTACCTGTTCTTCCCAGAGTTCTCTGCTCTCTCTAATTTGGACAGGTGACCTGCACATCCTTTTTTCATTCCCTGTAAAGGACTCTCTTCCCGTTCCCTATGTATAGAGAACATGCATGTTGCTTTGGGCAGGGTAGCACTGTAAAACTCAATAGAGGTGCTGGGATCTCAGAAGCTATGCATGTGGGCTCTGGAGTCCAGTGTTGTGTGGGTGGCAATGTCTTCATCAAGAGGTCTGACAGGGACAGCCTGCATACTCCAGGGTTCTCCTCACTAGATTTTTTGGTACTGTTTGGTAATTTCTGGATTTGTTGACTATCTTCACTAGGTTCCTGACAGTGAAGAACCTGATTGCTAAGTCTGTCTTCCTGTCTTAACAGTGCCCTTTTTCTAATGGCTTACCCTCTAACAGTTTTTTTTTTCTTCCCTCTAATAAGGTCCCATAATGGCACAGGTACATCTCTGTGCATTCATCATACTGGTGGCCTGTTGGGTCCTTCTAAGTTGTAAGCCTGCATCCTTTAGTGTTTCCTTGCTGACTATCTATCTATTGGTTTATTTTTGAGACAGGATCTTGTATAACCCAAGGTACACTTAAACTTACTATGTAGTTGAGGATAACTCTGAACTCCTGATCCACCTGCCTCTGCCTCTTGAAGACTGGAATTACAAGCATGTGTTACCATGTCTCAGTTTTGGGGAGCTGGAGACAGAATCCAAAGCTTGTGATACTAGGCAATCAACTGAGCTACATGCCCAGTCCACTGACTAATTCTTACTGCCTTTCCCTTTTCCCTACGGAACACTGCTGGCCACCTGCAGAGTCTTAGACCATCCTCCAGCTTCTGTATCTCTTCTGTTTGTGTCCTCCATATGCTCCTCTGTATGAAAAACTCCTCCAGTGTTTTTGGACACTCTTCCATCAGTTTTATATCTGCTACCATAGGTTTCATTTTCAGTCATCTACTGTCCTCTGATTTCTTCAGCAGTGGCCTGTTCTTATCTGAAGGATGCGGTGCCATTCTGACATCTCTCACCCAAGTGGGTACTTCAGTTTGGAGGGGTTTTTTTTTGGGGGGGGAAGGGGGTTGTTTTCAGATTCCTCAGACAAGTTGTTTGGTTTCTTGCTCACATTCAGCTTTCTTCCAGCATCCAGAGCCTCACTCTGCAGGATGGTAAGGGTTGAGCAGTCCCACTGGTGGGTCCTTGCTCTCCCTGGTTAGTTCTACAGAGAAATCCTTCCTCCCTATCTGGGTCCTGAGCCAGCTCTACCACTCTAAGGAGAAGAAATGAAGAACCTGAAGCTGCCCAAATTCTAACATCTGACCCTCGAGTCCCTGTCCTCAGTGCTATGTACCTTGGGGTCCTCAGTCTCAAGTCTCTCCCAAGGGACCCATCATTCTGCTGATGGAAGCAGAGATGTAGCTGGGTGGGGCCAGGACAGGGTTGGGGCAGACCAGGAGGTCAGGGCTTTAAGCAGGCCACCAGTTTGTGCTTCCCTGTCCTCTCTTCCCAGGCTCCTGACACTTCCCAAGCTCTGCATGAGCAGACATGTTTCTTGGGTATCCCACAGCTGGCTTCAGCTTCTCTGGCATGCTTGGTGGTTAATGCTGCTGCAAACACATCCTGGCATCTTTTCAACCTTGCTCAACGCTCTCTCCACTTTCCCTTTCTTTGTCTTTGCATTTAAGTGGAGGAGAATTCCAGGAGGGCACCAAGGCCAGTACATTCACTGTTGCTTCATGTTTAATCAGACACCCCTAAGTGGCCTCCTGAGACAGGAGCAGGGTTCCCTAAGGCGACATAGGAAATGACAGCATCAGGTGAAAGGTCAAGAACAACAACCCGTGCTTCCCATGCTGTCCAACAACCTCAGTTGGTCTCCTGGTGCTCTAAGTGGTGGGCCTGACTTTAAAAGGCACATGCTTACCTGGCTGCAGTCATGGATGTTCTATGCTCAATCACAAATAAATGCATGAAATAAGTTCAAGTTCAAAGGACTCATCTGGTTTGGAAGTTAGCCAACCACAGAGGGAGCAGACACCATAGGTTAGACCTAAACAACAAAGCCATGCCTTTCTGCTTGAGGTAAGCCTCTCAGACAAGGCTCTGCAAAAGGCAGCTTCAGGCACAGTGTGACTAAGATGGGGGATCATGGATTAACATTCTCCTACTGGACGAAGTATTACACAACACAGCCTGTTCTCCATAGATTTGTGTACCACAGCCACATCATTTAGCTCTGAGATGGTCCTCAAAGCCAGTCTGTGGGGAACAAAAGGCACCTCTGCCCTGCAGCGTAGTTTCACAGAGACCCAGCTCTGTATTCTCCTCTTCTTTTGATCAGTTTTGCACCTCAACTATCAGGTTACCCACCAGACACCCACACAAGGGTTTCAACAGAAAGAAGAGCCCCTTGACTCCCTGGTAGTAGAGGCTGGGCAGCATGCACATGGCTTCAGCATGTGCAACCACTCAGCCTGGACAGCTGGGCTATTCACTCCAGCCTCAGTCTGTTTATCCAGAAAATGGCTACCATGGTGTACAGAGACTGTTGTAAGCCTCACTTGAGTCAATGCAAGCACATGGTAAAAGGACTCACCTGAGCTGGCACCTGGAAACACTGGCCTAGCTCTACTACCAAAGTGAAGGGAGGCTTTTCTTCAACTAAAACTAGTCACCAAGGAAAATTACCCAACAAACCAAATAGCCTTTCTTTTTTTTTTGTTTTTTTTTTGTTTTGTTTTTTCGAGACAGGGTTTCTCTGTGTAGCTTTGCGCCTTTTCCTGGAACTCGCTTTGGAGACCAGGCTGGCCTTGAACTCACAAAGATCCGCCTGCCTCTGCCTCCCGAGTGCTGGGATTAAAGGCGTGCGCCACCACCACCCGTCCCAAATAGCCTTTCTTGATCGGGGCTGAGTGACCATATCTTGTGTGATGTACCTGCACCCTGTGGTTTCCACAAATGGGCCTTGCCCTCATCTAGGGGATTTGTTTTTTTACAAACCCGACACTCTTAGGAAAGCTGGCAGCAGCAGCAGATGGGGCTGGAGAGATGCCTCAGTGGCTAAGAGTTCTTGTTACTCTTCCAGAGACCAAGGTTCATGTCTCAGCATCTACATGATAGCTCACAACCCTCTGTATCTCCAGTTCCAGGGGATCTAGTGCCCTCTTCTGGCCTCCATAGGCACTGTACACATGTGGTCCACAGACATGCATGTAGCCAAAACATTCATACATATAAATATAAAGAAGAGGAGGAGGAAGAGGAAGAGGAGGAAGAAGAAACTGGCAGCTGCTCTCTGTTCCTATCTGTGATGAACACAGTTGACTTTCCTCAGGCAGAGGACAAAAGTGTTAAGGACAAGATTAGGAGGATAGCCCAGGAACATAGGGACAGCTACAATCCCTAGGAGATGAACAAGCCGTGATGGGTGATGATGTTCTGTATGCTGTGAATATGTGTTGCTCTGATAGGTTGATAAATAAAGCTGTTTGGTCAATGGTGAGGCAGAATAAGGTTAGGCGGGACATTCTAACTAGAGAGAGGAAGGGGAAAGACAGAGGGAGGAGAAGCTGCTAGCCGCCACCAGGAGAAGCAAGATGTAAAGTACCAGTAAGCCATAAGCCATGGGGCAAAGTATAGATTTATAGAAATGGGTCAATTTAAGATATAAGAGCTAGCTAGCAAGAAGCCTGAGCCATCAGGCCTTACAGTTCATAATTATTATAAGTCTCCTTGTGTTTATTTGGGACCAAACAACTGTGGGACATGGGTGGGAGAGATTCAGCAAGACCAGAAAAAACTCCTGGCTACAAAGCCCTGCCTCGTAACCAAGCTGTCTCCCAGAAATGCTCACATTAGCCTTTCTGTTGCTAAAATCTGCCCAGAAAGAACCTTCTCATAGATTCTAGAACATATTAATCACAGACTTGCTCAGGCTACAAGAGCAGAACCCAGCTGTCTCTGTCACATCCTTGAACTTGCAAACCAATGCCCCCTTGGGGATTGGCCCCCAAGCATGTTCTGCATGTGATAAAGGTCACAGTATTCATACCTAGCTTCCTTGTAGCTTATGTGACTGGCATCTTTCTCTACTGCCCAACAGAAAGGCTCCCAGGACACAGTGTAACTAGTTAACTAGGGGATGGAGTCAATTTTTCCCTGGCTACCTTCAATTAGTAAGGGAGCCTGAGGTAATGGGATTCCTGAAGACAGACAGGGGAAGGACTGTCAGATATAGAAACTAGGCAAGACTACAAGAGGCAAATCATGGTGGTTTCTGGTCCCTGCTTGTGTCTACCATATCCAGAGCTTGGTCAGCAGGACAGTAGGAAGGGTCAGGCCAAGGGGAGGAGCTCTGAGCAGCGGCTCATTGTGGGCCATGGGGCAGACAATACAAAGCCTGGGACATCCTGACAACCACAGGCATGTGCCAACATGGATGAAAAAGCTCAGCACATGGGCTAGAGAGATGGCTCAGCAGTTAAGAGCACAGGCTGCTTTTCCAGAGGACCTGGGTTCAATTCCCAGCACCGACATGACAGCTCACAACTGTCTGTAGCTCTTCTTCTAAGGGATCTGACACCCTCATAAATGCAGGCAAAACCCCAATGTACATAAAACATAAAATAAAAATAAATAATTAAAAGCCAAAAAAACCCCTAAAACAAACTAGAAAGAAAGAAAGAAAGAAAGAAAGAAAGAAAGAAAGAAAGAAAGAAAGAAAGAGCTCAGCACAACAGTCTGCCCACCTTGGGTAACCCCCGTTTGCCATTTTTACCTTACCGTTCAGGAGCTGAAGCTCCAGGAAGGAGCTGGAGCACACCTTACACACCCATTGGCCACGCTCAGGCTCTGCAGGGACACTGGGCTCAGGGGTGCCTGAAGCTGCAAGACACAAGACATAAGGGTTAGCCACCTCAGCAGAGTATGGCCTGCTCCCCAGGTATTGATGACAAGAATGGAGATGCCCACAGACTCATGAGCACTTGCATTCTAGGCAGGGTCCTCAGTTTCACACACACTGACCAAGTTCATCCCCATTTTACAGATGAGGAAACTGAGCAGATGTGATATCCTTGTTACTACCACAGGCTCAGCCCTGTCACCAGATGCATAATGTGCCCTCTTCCTCCCAGTCACCAGCCCTGTGGGACCAGAGTCCTTCATATTCTCTAAGAGAAAAACAAGCCTTCAGGACCCATACTTGAGCTGGGCCTGGTTATGCATACCTGTAATACCAGCTACTTAGTAGGCTGAACAAGATGACCAGAAGTCCAAAGCCTACCCTGGTCATAGAACAAGTTCAAGGACAACCTGGCCACTTAATGAGGCCCTGTCTCAAAGTTTTGGGGTTTGTTTTTTGTTTTTTTTAAAGGAGGGCTGGGCATGTAGCTTAGGATTAGAATGCTTTACCTGTATTCTACCTGTAACAACACACAGACACACACAGACACACAGACAGACACACACAGACACACAGACACACAGACACACACACACACACACACACACACACACACACACACACACACACACACACGAGACTCATATTTAAATCTTCAGTGGCTCACATAACAGGGTATGGTCAGATCCACAACAGCCATCTCACAGTGCTCCTGAGACTGGAATGGCTGTGGCCCTGGCCCAACATATCCCATGGAGATTTTTGTGATTGGGTTGTACCTTGTAACTGTTGTCTGGCAGTGAAGCCTGGTGCCTGGATAGGAGTGACCTTTAAAACTGTTCAATTTTTAAAAATCCCCATCTGGGGCAGGTGGCTGCCACCTGGACAGTGCCTCTAGTCCTCCAATAATGACACACAGGAACCCGAGGAGGGACAAGGACAGGGGCTCAAGAAACACAGACTGATCTTGTCAATGCAGATGGGGGCTGTGAGCTCACTTTGAAAAAGTCACAGGCACTCTCCTGGGACCTATACTGAACATGCCTTGGGATCTGGTCTAGCCAGTTTGTCTGTGGAGCCAGCCCACAGCTACCATTCCTGCCTGTCATATCCAGACCCATCACCATGTAGCTTAACACTCCAGAGGCCACGCAGAGGAAGTGCCTGAGTCTAGATAGTCTCCCAGATCTGCATATACCCACCATGCACCAGGCAAGAGCACATCCCATTTGTCTGCATCCCAAGTTAGTGCTAAGAACACGAAGAATAGGGATGAGGATGCAGACCATCATGGCTAGGGAAGAAGCATATGCAATATGGAACCTGTCAGACTGAAATCAAAGACAGGAAAAGGTCACAAAAAGGTGGCAGGTGGGAACTGCATCCTGAATGTCCCACCCAGTGTCTGAACTCATCTTTGTCACTTTCTAGGTAGGAATCTGCTGGTTAGGGACTCCCAGGAAATCGGGGAAAAAACAGAAACAAGAGCCAAATTCCCATTTCTCACCCAGGTTCCCAAACATACAGAGGTTCCCAAGAAGGGGTTCAACAAAGGAACCTGTGGGGTCCAGCAGGGGCTCAGCAGAAAAAGGCATTTGCCACCAACCCCAATGACCTGAGTTCAACGAGACCCACAGGATGAAGAACCAAATCCATGTGTGCCATTGCACACGCGCGTGCGCGCGCGTGCGCGCGCGCGCACACACACACACACACACACACACACACACACACACACACAAACACTTACACACTTAAATGTCATTTTCAAAAAGGAGGCCTTGGGACACTGAGCTGGGATTCCTCTCATCTAAGTGGCCCGCCAGCTCCTACACTAATCATCCATGAGAATTTGTACTGCCCCAAACAGGCCCCTAAGCTTGGCTACCTGCTGCTCTGGCACTGAGTGAAGACTTCTCATCGGAAGAACCAGGCAGTCATGACAACACAAGATTTGCCAAAAGGTAACTGTACAAGATTAAGAATTTTTAAGAAAAAACCCAACAGCCAATTGCCAGCAGATGAGTCCTTAAGTGCCAACTGACATTTCCAAACATAGGGAAATGTCTCAGCCAAATGACATGACACAGAGTCCACAGCAGCACTGGCAGCTCGAGAAGAAGGTTTCAGGTGAGAGCACAGGTCAAAACCAAGGAACAGCAGGGCACGCACACACCAACTGTGAGGAGTCCAGCAGGACACACAGCAGCTCAGCTTGGGTCAGAGGGTCACCAACAGTGAAATCTGAAATCGGGAGGGGAGGACAGGCTACGCTGTAGGAGTCTGTGGTGGAATCACACACTTGCATACACCTGCCGAGAGCCCCTGAAGTGGGCACTCAACATGGTGAGCTCAACTGAATGCATGGAAACTGGTTTGAAAGTTAGAAAACACTAGTTACAAAGTCAGAAGCAGAGAGAGTGAGAGAGTGGCCAGACTGCGGGCATAACATGGCTTCCCAGGGACTAGAAGATGTTACCTTCTGTCTTTCTCATTAGAAGGGTGATTCTGACCATGCTCCCCACTGCACTCACCTGTTCATGCCCTTGGGAGGAAAGCAAGCCACACTTAATGTGGGCTCAGGGAAACATGTACCCAGAACAGCAGTCGACAGCAGGACAAAGAATCCAAGTCCATTTTTTGGAGTGTCACAGCTGCAGCAGGATGAAACCTGCTTGTTTGCTTGCTTTTTTTTCTTTTTCTTCCCCTCCACCTCCCTCCCCCCGTCCTCCGAGACAGGGTTTTTCTATATACCAGCCCTGGCTGTCCTGGAACTCACTCTGTAGACCAGGCTGGCATTGAGCTCATAGACATCTGCCTGCCTCTGCCTCTTGAGTGCTCGGATTAAAGGTGTGCACCACCCACCACACCTGGGCTGAAACCTGTTTTCATTAAGCAGATGTCACTCACAGTGCTGCCTGGTGAAGCTGCTGTTAAGTGCAAATACCAAGCTTGCTGCACCCCAGCTGTGACAGCAGGTAGTGTGGCTGTTCTTCTGGTGGTCATGTGGCCACTGAGAGCTGCAGCTGCCCAGTCTTAAGAGAATCCTACCACCCATCACAGGCTGAGGGAAGAGCAAAGCTTATAGTAAAGCTTTTCTAGCAAATGCTTTCCACTCATGCCATCATAAAGAAAAAAAGAAAGAAAGAAATCATTAAATCAAACCATCAGAAGTTGGAGACCATCCATATTTCAGACCTGATTCTAGAGATCTACAAACTGACTGACTTGTGTAACAAAGATGCCCATCTAGAGGAAATATGAAAGGGGCAGGAAGAGAATGAGCCTTCCTGGCCAATGCTCATCAGAAAGCCTGGGCCACAGTACAGCTACTGAGGTCTCACCCACCTAGGCTGAGGTCAAAGTGATGTCCATAAGATTTGCCCACTCTGCCTTGGGGTGGCAAACTGTCTGGTGCATACACAAGAGCTAAGCAGAATGCAAAGCCCATGCCTCTCAGGTCCAACCAGGGAACTAGAATCAATTAGTACTCCTTTCTAGATGTCTCACACCTCTCTTCAGAGGCCTTGCTCTCTGTGGGCTTTTGAGATGTGGGCAAGGAGGGCTGCAATGCCTGGTTTCTGCTGAGGAGATACATTCAGCATATAGCCCAAGTTCTGCGTGGGTACTGTGGAGTGGGGTGTAGGGAAAGGACAGATGCGTGGCCAGGGAGGTAGGAGGCAATGTGTGAGGGAAGCTGCCACTTAAACAGCCAGTGGGGAAGCCCAGGGAAGCATATGCCAGCAGTAGCCAGCCTGAGAGGGCCAGGCAAATGCTCCACAGATAGAAAGACATGAAGACTCCATCTGGTTGACAGTAGCCAGTGACCTGCACCACTTACAAGTTGTCCCAAGACAGGGTGAAGTGTTTCTGGGCTCCAGAGCTGGGAGAAGCCGTATCTGTATTTAGCTCTCTGTTGTGTGCTGCTTTATGAGGCTGGCTCCAAAACATGCACCCAGGCTCTTCCATTCATCAAAACCACAACTGACTAGAAACATAGGACAGGCCAGAGCCCTCTCATTTAGGAACCTCCACCTGTGAGATCTTTGCAAAATGTTAGGAACAGCCCCATGAAGCCTTTCTATCACACCATACTTGGCGTAGCAAGAAACCATTTTCATGAGAGGTCACTATATCTGGGGGTCAGAAGCAGAGTTACTATCCCACTTTGATGATGAAAACTCTTTGTGACAATGAGCAAGGCTGCTGTCCTGGGAGAGGCCCAGGATCCAAGTTAACACAGTGATGGCTTCTCCATCATGAGATCCTGAACCTGGTGGCTCACTCAGATGATTCCTACATGCAGAACTATGTTTCTTGAATGCATATGCATCAGGACACACACACACACACACACATACACACACACACACACACACACACACCCCTCTGCATAGGTATACACATGCACAATCCTACCTATCTCTACATACAGACAAGTATACGCACACATCTGTACATCTGAGCACACACAGGCACATACCTAGAAATCTACACATATACTAACATAGGTACATACCTCTGTATCTGTACACACATGTAGACTCCTGCATGTCTGTACATATACTAACACATGTACACTCCCATGGATCCATACACTCTAACACATATACAAACCTATACATCTATAAGAAAACAAAATGTGCACTGTGTATTGTACACATGCTGACAAATGCACACATTTGTGCATCTGCACACACATGAAGGGATCTATGCATCTATTAATACACAAGAGCATGTCTCTGCAGCTTAAAACAATCACATGCACACACCAAGGCATCTGTCCAGACACACCACACTTTTGCCTGGGCACACACATACACATATGTGCATGAACCAGACTTGGGCAGGAGCTGCTCTCCAGTGCAGTGTCAGCACTGGCACACTGACAGCACAGTGGCCAGATCTGCTGTCCAGTCCTAGTTCCCTTACCTTCTGCATTGTGAGGTGGGCTCCCCCCTCCCCGAGTCTCACCTTCTACTCTGTCACCTGGCCTGCCCCTGGGCTTTACCTGTCACTCAGCCTGGTACCCTCACCTTCTACACCAGCATTTCTCAACCTGTGGGTCACAAACCCTTTGCTGGGGTTCAATAACCCTTTTACAGGGGTTGCCTAAGACCACCCCAAACACAAATATTTACATTATGACTCATAACAGTAGCAAAATTATAATTATGAAGTAGCAATGAAAATAATTTTATGGTTGGGGGTCACAACATGAAGAACTGTATTAAAGGGTCACAGCATTAGGTTGAGAACTACTGTTCTATACTGTCACTCAGCCTGTCCGAGGCCTCACCTTTACTATGATTTGGCCTGTTCCTGGGCCTCTGTACTCATAAGAATAAACTGCTTCCTCACAGCATCAGGAGAGTAGGTCACTGTGGGAGCCCTGAGACGAGAGCAAGAGCCAACCTGTATTATACCCAAGGGCCTCAAACCACCTAAAGACAGAGAGGCACCATCTCTCACCAGCAAGTGTCCCAAGATTTGGGTAGGCATTGTCTGTCACCCCATAGGCCCAGGCATGGGGGACAAGCACTGTTCCATCCCACCTTCCCATGTCAGCTGCTGGCACCTACATTAGCATCTCTGGCAAGGGGCCAAACTGTAGTGAAGAAATAGGATGTACCCGGAATGCTAGAGCAGGCCTGTTTCAGCATGGGCTTGTCCATCTTCTTGGCATAAAAGGCAGCATACCACACACGAAGTTCAGTGCCCGCAGGGATATCCCTTGAGGTGGTGAAATAGACATCACTGCCATGCTGGTAGGCTGTCAGGTTCTGGTGGCCCGGCTCTAGTGCTGGCCGCACCAGCATCATCCAATTGCAGTCATCCTCGTTGGAAGTGTCGAAGCACACAGGATGCCCGTCTTTCTGGAATACCTGAGGAGAGGGCCACAGACTGGTTACTGACCAGTCTATCAGTGTGCATGGGACCATGGGGGAGACCACACTGCTTCTGATAGGACCTGCTGATAAGCTGTTTACTATAGCCAGGGGATCAGAGAAAGATTCTCAGGCTTAGATGGGTCAGGCTGGTCACAGGAAAGAGGAAGACTCACTGAAGTACCTGAGTTAAGACACCTAAGCTGTTCCTACTGTGCAGACATCAAGGGGACCCTGAGCTCTCCTCCTGTTCAGGAATCAAGAGAACCCTGAGCTTTCCTACTGTGCAGACATCAAGGGGACCCTGAGCTCTCCTCTCTAGGCATCATGGAGACCCTGAGCTCTTCTCCTATCCAACATAACAATCCCAGCTTCATTGGGAATGGGACACATGAGTTCTCCCTATGACTCAGGTTGGTATCCAGACATTGGAACTCTCCTCCTGGTTCTGCTCCAAGCATGGCATCAGCAGAGTTCTTCAGTCCAGGTGAGCTGTCCCTGGTCTGCAGGTCAGTACAGCTTCTGAGTTAGAGAGCAGGGCAGAGAAAGCCTTTAGTGACTCTGAGTCAGCGCAGGTGTAGGGTCTGTTCTCTATCTGTGGAATGATGACTACTTCCTTAGGGATCCTGCCCCACTGCCAAGCTTTTCCTGAACAGATCCCTATAAGTGTAAGGCCCTCAGAAATGCAGGGGCAAACTGGGAGGCCACCAGGTGCCCAGTGACCCCTAGTGGGTGTGGAAGGCACATTTCCACCCTCCTCTCAGGGGCACAGGGCTTCCCTTGGGACACACAGGTGCTCAGCGCTGAGAACAAGTTGATACCTGAAAACATCCTTTGGAACTGAGGAGGTGAAAAGAAATCAAACAGGCATGAAGGACTTTCTCCAGCCATGTGCTGACACCAGTGTGTACCCATCACCCGGGCGCACAGAGGGCAGATACTAAGCTACTTGCCTTTCTGGGCTCAGATTTAGGCCTTTCCCAATCCCAAGAGTGCCAAACTCTGGGGCTACAACACTTAAGGCTGGTGGCTACCTCTTTTAGGTCTTAAAGAGAAGCACATTGTCCCTAGGGCTGAGAAGCAACTGAGCCTTCATTTGTTTATGTCCCAACTATTTCTGAGGTTTGTCCCACGTGTGAGCCTCCTCAGTCTCAGAGGCTTCCTGGGGTTCACTTTAGATGCTCAGCCATCCCTGGAATTGACATCGACTTTGTTTTTCTTGGTGTTATATATTTAAGTTAGAAATACCCATTCTCCCTCAGCCAGATGTGCTCTGTGCAGATGCCAAGCCCCATGCTGTCACTCAGTCTCTGAGAGCTTCCTGCAACTCACACATATGAGTGAGACTGCCACACTGGTACAGGAAGCTACACAGACCATTGCTATGCTGTAGGCACAGCACCTGCTGGGGGAGGAGAGGGCTCACACCAGCTCCCTCCTGTCTGTCCTTAAGTGCACTCCCCAAACACCTACAAGTTAGTAGGCACCGCCTCACACTGAGGTGTAAACACAGTGAAGTGAAGGAAAGACTTCTCAGCATTTACGGACCATCACCACTCAGCAGTCCTCACTCCACTCCCATCAGGAGTCATGCGATTCTGAAGGGGCCATGAAGCCCCGGCCCATGCAGCTTTTACCTTCAGAGGAAATGCGGATTCCTTCTCCCACTTGGCGACCCTCCTGGACTCGAATGGACCAAACTGTGTACGCTTGACTAACTGGGTTACTGCAAACACACCTTCAGCCCCATCATCCAGGCGTCTGATCTCCAGGTTAGAGGGGAGGGAGGACCTGAAAGTAGAAATTTCAAAGAGGTCCTGCTACCCTTCCCACTGGTCAGAGCAGTGCAATGCCTGCACGCCCCCATCGTGCTCTAAAGATGCACTTTGTCACGGAGCAGAACTGAAGCTCTCCCTATAAATGGGATAGGACTGGGGCTAGGCTTGTGAGGACCCAGAGCCCATGTACTAAGGGACACATTTAAAGCCCCACAAGACAATGCTGATGCCATGTTCCTAGGGGGCTAGGGTACAAGAACTGAATCAGAGAAGGTTATGACCTTCAAGGTTGTAGAGAAGCCTGGACGAAGGGAGAAGGAGCATGGTAAAGTGTTTTGTATAGGCTGGAGACCAGCAAAAGGGCTCTGGTCTGGGTGGGGTGGACCAGCTTCATTGAGTATGTGGCTTTATTAGCCAGACTATAAAGTCAAAGAAAATGCTGCAAAAGGAAGTCACAGAGCTGGGACCTGAGGATGGATGAAGCTTGGGCCAGTGGGAGACATGTCTAGAAGCAGAGGTGGACCATCCCCCCTGGGGATGAGCAGATGCTGGGCTAAGAAGGAAGAGTCAATGGCCAAGGGCTCTGGTTCTGCACCCAATGTCTTCAACTATATTTTGATGGACAGTTGGCACCTTACCCCCACAGGAGAGCTGATCAGCTCTCTACTTTGGGCAAAAATATTTTGAAAACCTAAGTCACAAATAAAGATAAATAAATGGGAGTAGGTACCAGTTGGGAGATTTCTAGAAACAATAATAAGACATTGAGCATTATTAGTTTAGCATCAGACTAAGTCAGGAACCGTCAGAGCCTCATAGGGGTAACTTAGGTTCTCCATGTCTCAAGCTACTGGTAGCTTATGAACCCTTACCCTAGATCTCTGAAGGCATGGGTCTCACAGGAAAATATGGGCCTGCAGAGCAATGCCTGGCTACTAAACTGCCTCAGTACATCTGCAAGGTTTGTTTTTCTTGTTAGCTACAACTTGACTTGTTCCCTGGACTACTTGTCCAGAACTCTAACCCTAGCCCATTTTGTCCACAGTGCATACCTGTTCACAGAGGCCTAGATTCAGAATACAGATGAAACCCAACAGGCAAACCTATAGTTTGCCCCCTCCCCCAAAAAAACAGTGTTTCTCTGTATACCAGCCCTTACTGTCCTAGAACTCATTCTGTAGACCAGGCTGGCCTTGAACTCACAGTGATCCTCCTGCCTCTGCCTCTTGAGTACTGAGATTAAAGATGTACACTACCACTACCTGGTGAGTTTGGCCACTTTTGCTCAATTCATAAATTAATAAAGTCCAGGCTGGCACAGCCCAGATCCCGAGGTCCCTGACTACACCAAGGAAACATACCCTCATGCTTTGAAACTGTTAGGACTCATCCCAGGAGGAGTGTGTCCAGCTCCCTGGGGGATGGACCACCCCCCAACACACACAGTCTCTCACTTTGCCTCTCAAACCTCCTTCTACCTGTAGACACTTGGGGCCTTTGCACTCTGGCCACAGTAGACAGGCAGAGAGCCCTTCTTCATAGACAGGATTACTGTGGAAGCGTAGGCACTCACTCACCTTGCCCTGCTCAGGACAAAGGAGTCCTTGACCATAACCACAGGTCCCAGTTCAGGACACTCTGAGTCGTGGTACTGGCTACAGTCTTCACACCCTGTAAACAGATGCTGAATGTCAGAGGGGACAATGTCCAGGGAAAGAGAAACCCAAAGACCACAACCCTGGAAAAGGAGACCCTAGTGCCACGGAGTTCATGAGACTTGTGTGCTAACACAAAGACAAGCAAGGGTACAGCAGATACAGGAGGCCTGGCCACAAAAGTCACCTCTTAGTGCTCCTGAAGCACAGAATGCCAATCAAGAACCCCTTCCCAAGAGCACCAGTCTATGACACTTTCAAACCCCACACATCAACTCTATGGTTAGGAAGATCAGGATCCAGGATAGTACTAACCCATTACCCTAAATCTCATACCCTTCACTCTTTTCTAAACCTTAGGTGACTTTCTGAGTTAAAGGTCACCCAGTCTTGTGCCCCTAATGGAGTCCTGAAGAGAAGTGGCCTGAGGCTACAGCTCTGTAGCAGACAGGTAATACCCAGGCTCTCAGAGCAATACAGCAAATTACAGATTCAAAAAAGGTGCACGTCTGTGCTATACAAACAAAATGTGGATGTAGCTTTGCCTAGACAGACAGTGTCAATCCCATCTGTGTTCTATGACATCACACTAGCCACAGAGAGGCCTATGGGTCACTTACAGATAAACATGATCTCCTCACTGCCATCTTCAGCCATTGCTGACACCTGTCAAGATATAAGAGAGACCCATTAACAGTGAGCTTTTACAACATAGTTTATGTGTGGGCTTTCCTGTGTGTATAGGTGCACACACACCTATGTGTGCATGTGTGTGAAGGGCAGTCACCCTTAGGTGTCAATCTTCTGGAGCCATCCAGCTAGTTCTCCAAGACAGGGACTTTCTCTGGGATCTGGAGTTTGCCAATTAGGCTAAGTGGATGGCCAGGGAGCATCAGGGATTCTGTCTCTGCCTTCCTAGTGCAGGAATTACAAGTACACACCACAAGCCCAGGTTTTAAAATGTGGGTACTGGGGATTCGAACTCAGGCCCTCGTGCTTGCCTGGAAAGCACTTAATTGACTGAGCCATCTCTTCAGCCCACTAGCAGTTTTTAGAGATAATTTCTTCTAAGGTTCCTTGATCCTGTGCAGGGATGTAACACAGTGCTTTCAAGAGAACAACTACTGGAATCCCTATTTTTAACTTTAAACATGTTCTCACCTACAGTAATACTGTTTCTTAGGAAGAGCAATGGATTTGAATGCCCTCATTGACAAGGGGGCCTTCATGAACTCAGATCTCCGCTACTTCGCAGAAGCTGCCATTTATAAAATATACACTGTATTTTAGAAGAACTTTTCTTACTGCCACTGATTCTCTGCCCTCTCCAGGCTGTGAATTCCTTGCAGACAGTCATTTCTACTGCAATCTGTCCTTCAGCATCTAACTAGTGCAATGTCCTCATCATTCCGAGTGGGTAAAAAGTAGTGTCTGACACACAGCACGGTGGGTTCTCCTGCTCCCATACAGACCTCTGTCAAGGTATTTGTATTTCCCACGCATCCTTTGAAGGTGCCTCAAAAGCAACCATAGTAGGCAGTTAAGCACAGAGCAATACTGTACCACACATACATTTCAGACAGAGTGATACAGCTGTTGTTCATTCTGGGATATCAGATGCCTAAGATATAAGATAGATATAAAAACATCTACTTCATGCAGTTTGGGAAGAAACACAAAATGAGGTGTACCCAGTATGTCCCACCCAAACATTATCCCCACCCCACATCCTTCCTGCTATCTGATCACCCTTCCTCCCTGGTGTCCACTGCTGGTTATCATCTCAGAAAAGTATGCAAGCGGATACACACTTCCTAAATGTTAGTCTCACTTGCCCTCCATCTCAACCCCAGCCAGCTTGAAGATTAGAACACAGGCAGCAAAAAGCTGCAATGAAAACTCAGACTGGCTGAACAAGTTTTTACTGAGAAAAGAAGGGAAGGGCTGAGAGCGCCATGATGGGAGAAGAAAGGTGCTATACACAATCTGGGGAGATGAGCTTCCAAGTTTCAAGTTTTCCACATCGCTTTAAAATGCTAAAAAACAACCAGGCACATTAACCCCCAACTCAGCAAAACATTTTCTTTTTCTGGAATCAGCATCTAAGCTAGAAGCGGGCTCGAGGGCCTACTAACTCTAACTTAGTTCCACGCCTCTGCCTGGCCTCTCAGGACTCCTGGCAGGTGGGTACCATGTGGAGTGGTGCATGCTCAGTGGCTGGTCACTGAGCAGAAGTCAAGGAGGGACTGGCTGTTTCAGGGGATTCATTCTGTGGTTGGTGCTGCTGGCTGGAGGCCTGTGGGAAGCAGAGCTACCCTCTTCCTGGCAGCTGAGAAGCAAATGCCCCCTGGGAAGGCATTTCCCTAATGGCTTAACTTTCTTTCACAAGGTTCCTCCTCCTAAAGGTTCTGCTATCACCCACTAGTACCATTAGCTGGGACCCAAACTTTAACCTACAAACTTCGGGACAGGGGTGGGGTGGGGTGTGTAAGATTCATAACTATAACAAGAAGCAGCATCAGGGTGACACTCGTGTCACAAGAGCCTGAGGGTCTGTGTACCACAGCAGGAACACGCTCTACATACCAGTTACACTCAGGTCAGAGAGCTCTGCAATCAGAACAGATAACAAGAGGCTACCCCAAGCCACAGCTAGATCCCAGCAGGACACAGAACACAGCCAACAAAGCTAATCAGAGCAGAGCGGACGAAAAAGAATCTGCTCTGTTCTGCTTGTTTTGAAGCTGGAATCTACACATAGAGGTGTGGTAGGATGCTTCTCCCTAGGGTAGCAGCCCAGCCTCCAGTTCCACCCCTCCCAGCAGTGCAAGGACAGGAACCCTAAGCCAGGAAGCTTTAGATGTTGCTGTGGAAAGAAAGTGAGAGCACAGGAAATGTGAAGCTTACATGGTGCTTCACATGAGAATCCTGGGCATTTTTTATTAGTAGGATCTGGTCCTCAAAGTACATCTTCTAGAATCTTCTAAGCAGAAATCACATGATGTGATGATGTGCGTTTTCAACGTTTGCTCACAACATTAATGTGCTGTGAGTGCTCCTTTGTAGAAGCCAAGTTCAGTCTCCAGATTTCTATGACCCTCCCACATTAACAGAACAGTGTTGGTGTAGTGACACTCACCTATGACCCCCTACACTAAGCATGCTGAAGCAGGAGGACTGTGAGTTCAAGGCCAGCCTGGGCTACACAGGGATAGCTTATCTAAAAACCAAAAACGAGACGGGTACTATTTGGTACAAAAATTAGAGGGGGAAAGGATTAAAACTTTGAGAGAAAACTGCCTCTCCCCAGTTTTCAAGAGTGTGTTCCATGGACCAGGAATTAGCATCTGTACTTGTTCTGCCTAGATGCTCAAACACCTGGCCAGCAGCTGGCTGGGGCCCAGCAGGTTTTCTGCATCCTCCAGCTGACTCAGTTGCAGCCCAAACCTGGTCCATAGCTACAGCACACCAACTAAACATGACCAAAGTGACAGAGGGCCACTGTGGTACTATCAGGAAACCAAATATGTTTTGAGGTTCTGTCAAGGACCTCCTGAATCTAACTGGTTGGTGATATTATTTCCTGCCTTACTTAGCCTTCCTAGTTCCTTTGCCTCTCCATAGAATTTCCCCTCCTCCTCCTCCTCCTCTTCTTCCTCCTCCTCCTCTTCTTTTTTTCTTTCTTTTTTCTTTTTTTGGTATTGTCTTACTGAGCTAGGGTCTCACTATGTATCTCTGAAACTTGCTATAGAAACCAAGCTGGCCCTGAACTCAAGACATCTGTCTGAGTGCTGGATTAAAGGCATGCATTTCCATGCTGGGCTTCTCTATGGATTTTAGGACAACCCTGTTTATAGCTGTGAAAAGATCTTAGAAGATTCAAACATACAGACTTAGCTGCCTTCACTTATTCTCATACCCCAAGCATCCTCATATATATAATTCACATTTAAGGAACTTTCTCACATTTAAGGCTAGGCAGTCTGGGCATGTTCTTCACTTATAACAGATCTTAGCTTGAACAGTCAGTCACAGCTCAAGGATTTAGAAGCCATCTCTGATCTAAAGGCTCTGGGGATTTCTGTTGAAACAAAAGGACCATCTTTGCCACTGGCACAGGCTTTTAGGACTATATTAAAAGCAATAGGGGAGAAATCTCTATAGGAAAAAAGCAAATGAACAGTTTTCCAAACTCTGTACTGTGATCTAGGTTCAATAAAGGAGGGGCCCTGGAGTAGGCAGAGAGAATCTTGAGCTAAACACTTTGGAGCACTGCAAACCAGGCACTGGAAGTCTAAGGAATCTCACAGAATACATCTGCTGGGATCAAAGCAGGCCAACAGCTCATCAGCCTAGCTAAGTTATAATCAGCCCTGTACTAGTACAAAAGGGCTAGATGCCAGATTCCAGCATGTCTGCCACTGCTGACCCTGGGGGGTGAGTATTACCCTTTCCTGGGCCTTGGTTTCCTCACTGGACTATACACTCTGAGTTCCTTTCTGGTCTGCTCCAAACAACTGCAGGAAGGTCTTCCTAGTTCTACCACCTTGTCCTGCCTATTCCTGTGCAAAGACAGACACCTAAGGGCAGGTGTATACCTAGATGCAGATGCAAAATGGTTCCAGCATGCTGTTCATGCCAGACGATCAACATGATGGGGGAATGTCTTTCTGTATGCTACAAATATGTGTTGTTCTGATTGGTTGATAAATAAAGCTGTTTGGCCTATGGCAAGACAACTTAAAGGCAGGTGGGAAATTCAAAGAGAGAGACAAGAAGGAGGAGGGAGGAGACACCAGCAAGCCACCCAAGGAGCAACATGTAATGGAACACAGGTAAAGCCAAAGAACATGTGGCGATACACAGATTAATGGTTATGGGCTAATTTAAGATATAAAAGCTAGCTAGCAAGAAGCTTGAGCCATAGGCCATTGCCATGCAGTTATAATTAATATAAATCTCTGTATGTTTACTTGGGAGATGCGAGTGGGAGAGATTTGTCCCAGCCACCAGCAGGCCGGGGCACAGGAAAACTTCCAGCTATACATAACCAACCCAGAAGGTACCCTTTACACTTCTTGGTCACCTGAGCTCTGGCTCCCATATTTGACCTTGTGGGTTCTGTGAGTTCTTCTAAGCTTGTTTCCTATGGAATGCAATGCTTTCTACTATTTAATGAGTGTTACTATCTAGACTCCCTGCCTGTTTAGTGTCTTTTTCTGCTTCAGGGATAAAATACTCTGACAAAAGCAACTTAAGGAAGAAAGAGTTTATTCTGGCTTATAGTTCAAGGGTAGCCAGTCTTAGTAGGGAAGTCATGGCAGCAGGAGCTTAAGTCATGCTTCACTTTGGATCCAGTCAGGAAGCAGACAGTGATAAATACTTCCCAATGCTCAGCTGGCTTCCTCCATTTTACACAGTCAAGATGGGTCTACCCACATCAATAAGTACAATCAAGATAAGCCCCCACAGGCTTGCCCAGAGGCCCCTCTCCCAGGTGATTCTTGATTCTGTGAGGTTGACAGTTAATATTAACCAGCAGCACACTGTGCCTGCCACCCTTCCACACGCAGCACAGCTTTGCTCTCACCCAGGGTTCACCACCCTCTGTTAATCTCACTCTCTTCACCTACCTCTTCACCCATCTTTAAAGTTCAGACTGTTCTCCTGCCCAAGTGATCACCACAGAGCAGATGCACAGCAGGACCCGCACAGCTCCACACCCACAAGTTGAACACAATGTCACCCACCTGACCCTCTGCAGGAGAAATTGGTCCTTGCAAACAGATGTGAGAGGGTCAGAGACAGGCAGGGTACACTGGTCCTCTGATGTAACCACAGTGGCCAAGCAATAGCTTCCTCCCTGCAATCTGAACTACTGCTCTTCAGAAGGTCCCATGCTTACTACCAGACATCCAAGCCTGGAGTCAGAGCACAACGGTGCCTTGCTGGGTCTCTCTCCTCTTAGCTTCATGGACCCCACAGCCCAGAGTCTCCATACAAGCCTCTCTGCTCAACAGCTCCTACAGACAGGGTTCCAGGCTTCACCTGGCCAAACTTTACCACCTGCAAGACACTGCTCCTCCACTTGACTTTCTTGTTTCGAGAGTGTATGTAGGGTTTGCTATGGGCATACCTATGTGGAGATTCTGCTGCTGGAGGAGGGGAGGCTGCACACCCTCACTTTCTCCACAGCATCGTCTAGCTGTTTAGAAGGGCAGACCAATGAGGTGGGTCCCATGTCCACCCACTTCACTGAGCCCCTTCTCAGATGCCTGCAAGTTCCAATTCTTCCCACCACTGGAATCTTGCTTTGCTATTCTCAAGTGCATTGTTTCCGATGTTTCTACTCTACTTCCTGGGTTCCCCCTCACACACACATATACCCTGAGGCTTCCCTGGAAAGCCTGGTTCTGGTCTGAGTGTGCTTATTGGAACCTTGAAGCACAGCAAGCTGCCAGGGCATGGCAATCTCACTCATAATGCCAGATACTGCAGACAGAACCCTTCTGACCTACAGCTTCCAGCACCACACCACCATGTCTGATTTCTTTCCAGCCAGCAATGTACTTGTGTGCAACCTCCACCTCCAGAATCCTCCAGGTCTGGTTTAGCCCGTTATCTGAGGTCTTAGGGCTGGACCTGCCATTCTGGCAGCTTGGAGTCCTCAGCTCTGAAGTTGCCTAATTTTTTTGTTTGTTTGTTTGTTTTCTCTTTCCTAACTTCTCCACCCTTTCTGAACTTCTTAGCTCATCTACAGTGATGTTGTATTTCCAATGTTCACTTCTGGTTCTTGCAAAGGGGTTTCTGGGCAAAAGAGAGGTGTGCAGTCTAGTCCATAAAAATAGAAACTGAGGCAGTGTGTTTAACTGTTATGATGGCAGAATTGTGGCAGCCTGTGAGGGCAGAGTTCTAGAAGCATCTTGCTTAACATACTGCACTAAGCTAAGCAGCACTGAGATCCATCACAGGAAAGAGAAACTTCCATAACTATTTAGCATGTGTTCATCAAACTTAAAAACTGCCAAAGACCTGCAGAGAGAACTGGACACAGGGAATATGCTTCTCAAAGGCAGCCTCTTAGCTGGATGTAGTGGTTCTGCACACTTCTGCAGCCCAGGCATTCATGTTTCAAACAACAGAACAATCAAGGCAGTCTCTTGACACAGTAGGTATGGTCCCTTCTCCCCAGTCAGAAGGCAGTGAAAGTCCAATCGTGTCACCCTTGCACACTCCAGCACTGCTAAGGACTCAGGACACACTTGGCTTCAGTACTGTCCCTCAAGCCATGTCATTCATTCAAGGGATCCTGTGATACTGGCACTTTCTCAGCCCTCAGAACTATGAATGAAGGCCTGGACCACAGTAGACAGAAAAATATGCCAAACAGAGCTTGGACCAGGGGGTATCTTGGCAGAAGGAAGTGGGGTCACGGGGTCTTTAAGCACCCCAGGTCTAGTTTACACAATTTACCAACAAGGCTCACAAGATCCCATGGGGCTCAGTGCCTATCCCCACCCCATGTGACAGAGGTTGGAAGAGGATGAGGGACTCAGCAAGGCATCCACCTGTACAGGTTTCCTAGGGATTTAGTTAGGTCCCCTTCCCAGACTCCATGTCACCTTTTGCTGTTTCCTCTCCCAGAACTATGTGGTCTCAAAACACTGGCTGTGATATGGCTGTCACTATGAATTGTATCAGGAGGTGAGTGGGTAGGCCTGAAAGGTGACTGAGTCACAAGATGCTGTCCCCTCTCATGGGCCTATATAGTCATGGCCCTCCCTACCCCCCGCCCTATTAGTGATGTTCTCCCACATGATACTGCAAGACAGTCCATGCCTGAAAACTAGGCCCCATCGCCCAGCCTCCTGGGCCCGAAAGGTAACCCCAGGATACCCAGCCTATGGGGTTCCTAGTGCCCTCTAACCCAGGTAGGGACAGCCTCCATATGGTCTTGCTCTTAATAAATTACCTAGTCTGGGGAATTCTGTCATTTCACCAGCAAACAGACTTAAGACAGAAATCTTCCCCGCATCTGTCAAATCCTACCTACTCTTTACAAGATCTATCCTAACATTGCTCTCTCTGCAAGTCCACTTAGTCCACGACTGCCACACACTGAAAGGATGCCTCCCCACCTCCCCCAGAAACCATTCCCACTGTACCTCTTCTGGCAGCATCTACGGACACCCAGAGCTCACACACTGAAACAAAAGGCTTTGCCTGGAGGTCACCGGTGTGACCTTCTCTTTCCTACCACCGTGTAAGTCCTGGGGAAAGTGCTGGCTTTTTCACCCCCTAGGGAAGTGGTTCTCAACTAATGCTGTGACCCCTCATGTTGTGGTGACCCCCAACCATAAAATTATTGTTGCCACTTCATAACTGTAATTTTGCTACTGTTATAAATCATAATATAAATATCTGAAATGCAAGATAAAAGGGTCGAAACCCACAGGTTGAGAATCGCTTCTATGGGCTCTGGAATGGGAGAACCATCCTTGGGTCCAGCAAACAGCTCCATAGGACACTCTCTCTGTTGCCTACATCCCCCTCCATCAATATCAAGTCCCTCCCACCCCAGGTGCTTTTCTTCAGCGACCAGTCTCCTGCTTTGCTTCCCTCTTTGGACACCCCATGCCATCTGTATGCCTGTATCTCTGTCCACATGCAGTGGCCCTGCAGTGTCTCCTTGGCCGTCCCAGCTCCCCTAGATTCGGCACATTGTAGAAAGCCACCTCTAAGCCAGGATTCTGGTGCAGCTCTTGCCCCTCCCTAGGTCTGGACCCACCTCTGAAGCTACGTAATACCTGGTACCAGGCACAACACTCTCTGCCAATATCCCCACAAAAAGTGTTTTACCATTCTCCATTCCCTGTACTTCAGTACCATCTTACCTGACCAGGCCTGGTTTAAAGAGCAGCAAGAGATGAAAGTTCCACTGACCTCTAAAATAGATCCTTAAGTCATTCTTGTAAATGCTGCTATTAAATTTTAAGGCCTATGACGGGATGGCCCCAGTCACCTCCAACTCACAGGAATCAGCTTCTCTTTAAGCATCAGCAAACTGACCCCGCCTCTTCTCTGTACCCTCCTGCCTCCTTCCCTGGAGATCCTAAACCGTCCATTACACACTGCTGCCTGCAATTGCTCTCCTGACGCCCCTGTTGTAACTTCTCGCAACACAAGTATGTCTATTCATTGAATCAGACATGATTTCACAGGACCACAGGCTGCGCTCATTTCTTCTGAGTGAGCTGTGGCAGGCTTCACTGAACTGCCACCGAGCACCAAAAGAAAGGTCTAGTTTTGAGAAGCTGGTTCAAGGAAGTACACAAGCATATTATGGTTCCCTATTACTTCACCTGCTGAGGATAAATGACCACTATGGCTCTTCTTCTGGGAGACCAGAACAGAGAGTCACATGGGTGAGATGGAGCAGGAGGCTGGGAACAGCACAGCCTCATGCCTACCCTTCTGAATTAGGAAACAAAATTGCCAACTGGGGAGGGCTTCAAGCTGCTGGAGGGTGGGCACCCACAGTGACTCCATATTCCCCACACCCATGGAAGAAGACACCCATTCTCCAGGGCCATAACTACAGCAAGCCAAAGGATGGATGGATCAGTGTGGTGTCTTGCTCTGGGCAAGGGGAGACCTGCCCTAGAGTCAGCCAGGTCCCATCCATGCCATGGCCTCTCTGAAGGGCAGCTAAGGATGCCTAGATATGGGCCAGCTGGTGCCTCCAGGACAGTAGCTATGTACTTTTTAGTGACACCCCTCATGGCCAGATCATCTCTCCTCAGTGTTTCCTTCTATTTTGGGTGTAGTCTACTGGCCTGAACTCTTGTGATTCCCTGGTTCCCCAAGACAGCTACAGGTTCAGCTCTAAGGACAGGGGCCTTGTGCCATCCCTGATCAAAGCTCTCTGTGAGCATCATCCTGCTGCTTTTCCACCTTGGTCCATTGGCCTTTCCCAGCTTGAGATCCAACTATGTTCCTACCCAGGCCTCCGTACACTAGCCGTATGTCTGTCTGCGCCCACTCTACTCTCCATCAAGAGACTAGACTCCCTCAGAGTACTGGTCTCCCACTCAGCCGTCCCTTCCTAGACAGATGGTTCTTGTCCCAGCTCTGAGTGTGCCAACCCCTGCACACCCAGCAGCCTTCCTCCTTCATGTCCTTACCACGCCTGCCTAACCATCATTACTTATGGTCTATACTGCCTCCTGCACCTCTTGCATTGTTCCCTGGGTATATGAAACATTTACCACAGAAGTGGCTTGGAAAATGAATCTGGGTAAGGTACTCTGAAGAAGTGTCAGCCTGCACATGAGAAACTGAATCTGGACAGCATTTAAGCCACTGCTGGTAACCAGTTTTAAGCTCCATTACACCTGCAAGATGCATCAGTCTCTTCCCCACCTTCTGCACAGATAACCATACAGAAAAAAAAAGACAGGAGAACCTGGGAACAGTGGTAATTCTCAAAGGTAATCACTCTAAGACAGCCTTGTAATTGTAGCTGATTTTGTTTTTAGACAAAGTCTCACTATGTAGTCCAGGGTTCCCTAGATCTCAAGACCCTCCTGCTTCAGACTCCTGAGTGCTGGGATTACAGCATTTGCCAACAGCCTAGCTGTGGTTGATGTTTTAATTTACCCATTTGTCTTCTGGAGAAATAAACTACTCTGTCTGCTCCCCAAAGAGAACAATTAGTATATTCTTTGCCGACATTTGTGTAAAAGCATGAATCATAGAAGTAAAGGGGGGGGGAGGAGAAAACTTAGCACTTTTCCCTTTAATAATCTGATGTATAGGTTTTATTTCAGAGCAAGGCAGTGACTTCAGGGAAGTCTGAGGAAGCAGCTGCAGCCAGGTAAGATGCGGAAAGCCGATAGGTTTGAAGCAAAATATGGTCGGGGTGTATAGGGGATAATGGCTCAGCAACTACATCACTGCACTCTCCAGGGAGTACTGTCCCTGCCACCTCTGAGAGGTTCCCACAGAGCCAGAGACTTCTTCAGGTTTTACCCTTAAAATCGCCTTCAGGACCCCAGTGGGGATCTGCACAAGCACCTCCATTTGAGGGTTCTGACCGGCTCCAGCATATGTGTTTTTGAAAGAAGCGTTGGCAGCTTTAAATTCAGGCACAGGTCCACGTGTCTTCAGCTCACACACTTGATTCTACCATTTTAATCCACCTCGGAGGAGGGGGATGCTTGTGAGCATGTGTGAAGAGGCCCTCCACCCACTGCAAGAAGGGCTTAGCTGGACAAGTACGCACGAGCTACCCACCACGGGCTGGTGTCCTACCTCTGCCCTCTCAAAACTCACCTCGGGAGCACTCAGTCTCTACCTGGCCCTGGACCCCTCCTGTCCACCCTCTTCCCAGATAGTAAGCGGGCACGTCTCCAGCCTCTCTTTCCAATGTGGACCCTGGGCCACCAAAAGGTAGTAAAGCGTCTGGGCCTGGAAGCCATGGCGCAGCCTCGGACTTTCTTAAACACCAAAGGGGCTGGAGACCAAGGCCCCTCCCTGGGCTGCGCCCGAAAACCGGGTAAGGCGGCAGGGTGGCCGGGAAGGGACTGTAGGGACCTGAGCCCACAGCCACGCCGGGCCTGGCTTTGGACGCACCAGGGGCACAGCGCCCGAGCCTGGGCCGGGGTACGCCGAGCCCGCGAGTGGGCGGCCGGGCGTGGGTTGGCGTGGGCCGGGCTCGTGGTGGGCAGTTGGCGCGGGCCGTGCGCGCGGGACCGAGGTCGGGCACCCAGGGCGGAGGCCAAGCCCGCGGCGGCGGAACCCGGCGGGCGCAGGGCGATCCCGGAGCGGCTCCGGAATCCAGCCGGGTTTTGACTCCGATCGCCCACGGCGCCCGCGACTGTAACAAAGAACAGGCGGCGCGGCGGCCGGACCGGGGCGGGCGCGGGGGACGCGGGTGGAGGCTAGGCCGGGGCCGGGCGCGGAGCGCGGGGCGCGGCGGGAGGCGCGCGGTGGGGCCGCGGTGGGCACGGGCCCGGGGCTTTACCTGCCTGTGGAATGTGTAGAGCGGGGTCGGATCCGGACTCCGGGTTGTGATCCGCTCCGGAAACTGCGCAGCACCGGAAGCCGGGGGGGCGGTGGCGCGGCATCGTGGGAGTTGTAGTGCACAGTGCGGGCAGACGGGGCGGGCCTTAGGGCTCAGGCTGCTGGAACCCGGAGCTGGAGACTACCGGCTGCCTAGACAAGGAGTCTGGGATAACTGGCGGCGTACTCAGGGAACCTGGGACGGACTGTGTGGAGTGGGAGCTGGCAGGGGTTTTGTGGACAGTGAGCCTACGAAACGGCGGCGTGTACCGATGAACCCGGGACAAGAGATGAGTGGTTGCAGAGATGGAAGATGATTGCCTTCCTGCATGGGGAGCTGGTAACTAACTGGCTGTGTGGATGGGTAACAGGAGACGGAATGTATGGAGAGTTGGTGGAGCAGGCTATGAGGATCCAGGGACTGAGTAGGGACTCAGTATGAGGAAGGGACTGAGTAGACAGAAAAGCTGAGGAGAGAGGCTTTTGTGGTCCATGAGTTAGTTGGCCAGACGGTATGTGGACTGAGGAGCTGGGCAGACAGGCTGTGTGTGAATGAGGGAGGTAGTGCAGTGATGAGTGGGTGGACAAAAACCATCTTTGATCTTCAAGACACCTTTAAAACAGGTACACAACCCCACTATTTCATATACCACTTTCATTGGTTTTATTCATTCTAAAGTGCCCAGAGGGCCAGTTCTCTGGGCCTCTACACATGAATAGTACTAAGTGTTTAAATAAAATCAGGCTGTTTATATGTAAATAAATAAAAATTGACAGGTCACAGCAAGAAAAGCAATTGTAAATTTGGGACTAAGGAAGGCATGGAGGTGGAATGGATCATCACCTACTAGACTATGAACGTTGCCTTGGAGAAAGTTAAGAAAGCAAACTTACTTGGAAGACTTTCCATTATGAAGAGAGCTCTCACTGTCAGGCCACCCTGCTCCTACACTCCCCCTGCCCCCAGGAAGTTGTGACCTCAAGATTGTTTTCATATTTAGCTGCCTAGGCACCCAGGCCACTGTAGTGGTGACCCAAGAGGCCAACTTTTTTTTTTGAGCTGGCAAGAGACCTTGGTGGTATCCACATAATACTGGTTTTGCATACATGCAAAATAATAAAGTTATGGGCTCACCCAGATTTCAGAGGAAGATCTTGGAGGCCAAGCAATATGTCATAGGATTAAAATAATTGTGAAGAGCCCCTGAGTGGACTATTGAAACCAACAGAGTAAAAGCTGAAGGAGCTGGGAAGTTAAGAGATGCCCAGAGTGTGGGGATCTATCTACATTCAGCAAGCTAAGCCCAGAGAGGAACATGTGAGCTGTGCAAGCCCAGTGGGGCTCACATTACACCACAATGTGCCTGGGATGCAGGAACATGGATCTGCAGAACTTAATGCTTGCTCTGCTGAGTTTTGGTCTTGGTTTGATCCCATCCTTTCTTTCTCTGCATCCATTCCTCTGGAATGGGATTACAGCTAATAGTTTACATTGAGTGTTAGAAGAAACTTTAAACCTAGACTAAGATATTCGGGACCCTTGGAGGTCGACTAAATGTATTTTCCATTAGTAAGATGGCCAATAGCCTTTGGAGTCCAGAGATAGGAAATTAAGGATTAAATATTGTATTAGTTACTTTTCTATTGCTTGATAAAACCCCATGACCAAAACTTAGGGAGGAAAGGGTATATTCCGGCTTACAGCTCTCAGATCACACTGAATCACAGAGGGGACAGTAGGAACTTAGAGACAGGAACTGAAGCAGAAGCTATAGAGGATACTGCTTAGTGGCTTGCTCCTCATGGTTTATACCACCCAAGACCATCTACCCAGGGATGGCCAGGCCCACAGTGGGCTAAGGCAACAGTTCTCAACCTGTGGGTCACAAACCCTTTGGGGTCAAACAACCCTTTCACAGGGGTCGCCTAAGACCATCGTAAAACACAGGTATTTACAATATGATTCATAATAGTAGCTTAATTATAGTTATGAAGTAGCAATGACATTAATTTTATGGGGGGGGTGGTCACCACAACATGAGGAACTGTATTCAAGGATCACAGCATTAGGAAGGCTGAGAACCACTGGACTAAGGGCCTTCCACATCAATTACTAAGAAACTCTCCACAAGCTTACCTACAGATAAATCTTACAGAGGCATTTTCTCAATTGTGGTTCTCTCTTCTCAGAGAACTCTAGCTTGTGTCAAGTTAACAACAAAAGTATCAACCAAGACAAACATGACGTGCCCTCCCAGGTTCCTGTGTCAAAAGCTTGGTGCCAAGTTGATGATGCCGTTTGTGGAAGATAGTGGGAACTTCTGGAGGTAGGGCCTACCTGGGGGAAGGAGGCCCCTGGAGGTGTGCCTCTAAAGGTTATACCTGTCCCAGGTTTCTTCTTGTTTCATGTTGGGCATGGGGTGATCTCTCCCATAAGCTTCCATTGCCATGATATACTACCGTCAACACTTGACCCAGAAACAAGTGACCATGGATGGAACCGGAATGAGTGAGCCCAAAACACCACCCGTTCCCCTACCCCACCACACACACACAGTGTCTTTGTTAGGCATTTTGTCACAGTAACAAAGAAAGGCTAACACAACACCTGAGATGTGTGTTTTCCCAGAAAACATACCTCCTCAGTTCTGGTTTTTGTGTTAATATAAATATAAAACTCCGAGCTAGGTGTGGTGGCTCACGCCTTTAATCCCAGCATTTGGGAGGCAGAGACAGGTAGATCTCTGTGAGTTTAAGGCCAGCCTGGTCTACAAAGTGAGTTCCAGGACAGCCAAGGCTGTTACACAAATAAACCCTGTCTCAAAAAAATAAACATATATAATATCCTTCATTGCAAGGCATTCCAAACATCCCAGCCACCTCTGCCTACCTCTAATGTTTTATTTCTTTAAAAAGTTCACTGAGGGCTGTGGAAATGGCTTAGCCGGTAAGAGTGGTTGCAGTGCAAACCTGGGGCAGAAGTTTGAATCTGAGCATCCATGTAAAAAGCCAAACAGGTCCATGCATGCCTGTGGCCCCAGCTCTGGGGGTGTGTATGGGGGGGGGGGGGACTAGAGACAGGAGAAACACTGGAGCTTGTTGGCACCAGCCCAGGACTAGGTTCAATAAGACCCTGTCTCAAGGAAATAAGGCAGAAAGTGATAGAGGACATCAGCATGCTCTTTTGGCCTCCATAAACACTAGCCAAGAAGTACACATAAGTGCATGTGTGGACACACGCACACACAAAACATCAGGCTAATTTTATACAGGTAAAGAGGGAAATCTAATCACGAAGTAAGTTAATTCCAACTATGTTCTCAACACTGAATTCCACTTGATAGCATCCACAGCTCAAAGGCAAGATTAGAGTGCAGAAAAGGCCAGATTAAACGACAGTCTGTAATCTCTGCATTTAACACAGGCAGAGTTGGGGACTAGAGGCCATAGTATGTTAATGGCATCAATATAGAGAGCCACACTTTTGAATCTGTTGCAGGATGACTTGGAAATGTATATTGTGGACAGCTATGGCACAGAGCTGGGCTGGGCTGTAGTCAGAAGGTAAACCCTTAGGAGTCTGGCCTGGTGCTTTCTCTTCATTGAGGTCACTATGTGGTTATTCACCTTGGTGTCTAATCTATCTGTGAGCCTCCCTGCATGCTCCTTTGTTTTTTTTTTTTTTTTTTTTTTTTTTTTTTTATGAAGTACAGGTTGACTGACATATACCTACAACACCCTGCACTTGTAGGTATGTCTGATGCCCAAATAAGATGTTACCTATGTTCCCTCCAGCATCTAACTCAGTCCTGTGCACTAGGTGAATGGGACAGGATGGACAGAAGCCAAGCTTCCATACAGAGGAGTCACCAACTGATGCCCATCTTCATGCCAATCATGCTTGTGGTGGGAAGAAAGATGAGTGCATAGCAGCAGAGACTGACAGAAGGGGGACTAATTTCATGAGAAGTCAGGGCCTGAGTCTGCCCAGTCTAATAGAAGAGGAATGATATGGGGAATGAAGGTGTACATTCTAGAATGACCAAGGGTGGCTGATATGGACCACCCAGGGCAGGGAAGATGAACTGTCCAGAACCCAGAATTCCTCTGGAGGTCCGCCTGGACAGCTGGTAAATTGTGACCAGTTTGGCCCTCTAGTCCTTTCTAGGGATGTCAGCACAAAGCAGACCTTTGTTTGAAAAAGTCCTCCTATAGGATCTTGAGGAGTATTTGAACACTTAATCCCCAGTTGATGCTGCTGTTTGGGGGAGGCCATGGAATCTTTAAAACAGCTGTTCTCAACCTTCCTAATGCTGCGACCCTTTAATACAGCTCCTCATGTTGTAGTGACCCCCCGCCATACAATTATTTTCATTGCAACTAGTTTTGCTACTATTATGAATCATAATGTAAATATCTGTGTCATTTGACTCCCAAAGGGGTTGTGACTCACAGGTTGAGAACCGCTACTTTAAGAGGTGCAGCCCTGCTGAAGGAAGTACACCACTGGGCTTTCAGGGTTTACAGCCTTCCCCACTTCCTGTTCAGATATCTGTGTGAATGAAAATGTGATCAGCCAGCTTCCTACTCCTATCCACTATGCTTTCCCTGACTGCTGTAATGCCTTTCCTGCCATAATGGACTCTAATCTCTCTGGAACTATGAGCCAAAATAAACCCTTTCTTCTCTAAATTGTTTTTTGTCAAGGTTTTTTTTTTTTAATCACAGTGACAAAAAAGTAACACATCTCCACAATAGATGCCACCTTTGATGCAAAAAATGTATGGGGCTTGGCTCAGGAGTGGCTCATCCTGAAGGGCATATGACAATGGCTGGCTACCCCACATGCTGTCCCATAGGCAAGCAGGTTGAAAGTAGAGCTGAAGAGTGAGGGAGTCTGTGAGTGGGACCTGTGGTTTCCCTGGTGGTTTCTCATTGCAGCATATCTCCAAATGCAATGCTTTTGTTTGTGCACATGGCAGGGCAAAGGGAAGGAGACCACAGGAACTGAAGACCAAAAAGGGGATGAGATGCTTGCAGCAAGGGGCAAAGCTGCGCCAATCCCACCCCAGAAACCACTGCGAGATCCTGTGCAGGCATAAACGCTGTCATGTACCCATGGCTAAGCTGTTACCCATTCCCTCTGCACTCATCTGAGCCACCTGCTGGGATGGGGCACTGATAGCAGGGACCCAGACTGATGAATGCTCCCTGCCTTCACTCCCCAAACATGTCTCCTACAGGCCATGTCAGGCACTGCTTTGGGGGACCTGGGCCAAGACCTGGCTTACAGCACCCACAATTCATCATTCCCAAGAAGGTCCCTGGAACTGCTAAAAATACTATAGTAAAATTTAGCCCCAGCCTTGGTGGTGCTCAATAGCCCACAAAATATAGGAACATGAGGAGGAAAGTCCACTGACAGGAATGAAGGTCAAAGAAGGTATCAGTACATATTTTTGGTCAGCTGGCTGCAATGGCCAGTCATACAAAGGGACAAAGGATGGCAATACTTCAAACATTATTGAAGCCCCTCGGTACTCTCGGGACAACCCAGGACTTGGAAACAACTCAGCTCAACGTTTTCCATGAGCACATTTATTTCTTGAGAGGTCAGTAAAGTTGCAGCCATGTCTCCCTGCCTAGGGTGGTGCAGGATGACAGCCACGTCTAAAGTGCTGCAACAAATACAATCATTATCACAGATGCCAGTTGCCACACACCAGCATCAGGCTCACCACATGCCTGGGAAGACTTCACTTTTATTCTCTTTGCAGTAGAGGTTCGACATGACAATGGGCAAAAAACCACAGCCTACAGCCCATGGGATAATCACATCTCCACTCCACCATCAGCAAAGTGAACCAGGCAGCTTGGTGATTCCTATACTTATTTATACACAGAACAGGGACATTTTACACAGAGAGCCAGAGGTGACAGGAGCTTGCACTGCTGGTTTGAACAGTGTCTTTGTCACCATGCAGATGCTTTGGTCCTCAGGTGTTGGCCTGTTGAGATAGTGGGGACAGTGCCTGTCATCAGAGTCAGTACCACACCTGTTTCTGTGTGACAGAGACACACTTTACCTTCTACCATCTATCAACTTGTACTTTGAAAGTTCAAGATTGACAGCCCTGAGCTTATTAACCAAAAAACATCACTTTGGTTGGCAGCAATGTAAATTAACCTTTCCCTTTCTGCTTGAGAAGAAAAATTAAAACTCTTCTGTAAATGTGGCCAGGGAAAACCCAAGCAAAAATCTGATTTGGAACTGGTCAACAGTAAATGGCCTACTTCCTTCCACAGCCAGGAAGCAGGACTGGTTTTGAACTTAAGCTAAAATTTAAAATAAAGTGCTTTGTCTAAATCCTCTTGCTTATAGTAGATTTTCAATCAGAGCGAGAGAGTCCTAGTTCTGTTACACTCACCAACATCACATACAAACAGCTCTATTTTGTCCCTTCATGAAGGAGAGGGGAAATGTGGCCAGCTCACTCCAGCCAACCTGAAATCTGCTTCTAGATTCACAGACACCTGGATTAGTGTTCATGAGAAATTGCTTTAAAACTAGCACTCTGCCAAAATTTCAAGACAGAATCTGAAGACACAAAAGAAAGCAGTGGAGATAGTGTGACAGAGGTGACTTACACGTGCGTGCTGTTGGCACCTGGTGTATAATCTTAGTGAAGAAACAGAAGTGGACAAACTGCTTGGGGAAGAGACTTCACTGTATGAGGAAGGCCCCAAGGCCAGCTGTTTGTGTCCCCCATCTCTGATCCTCTGTTGTGATGGAGTTCTCAATTGGCAAAGGATGCTCAATGGAGACCCTAGAGGACAGGTCTTAGATGTGGATGGGAAGCCAGGAACAGGATGCTCACAGGGTCATTTGGAGGCTAGGATGGCTAAAAACCATTTGTTCTTTTCTCTTGTCGTTGCTGAGAGAGAGGAAGTATAACCTAAAATTCTGATGCCTTCACACTTGAATAAACTGAACCTAAATGTCAAAACCAATCAAACCAACAAACCTGCATAAGCTGAGCATCCCTAACCCAAAAGTCTAAAGCCCAAAACTCTGCATGTACCATAGTGTCCAAAGAGTTTCGTATTTCTGAAAAAAAGTTTATATTTGGGATTCAAGGATGCTCAAATGGGAAAGACTTATCAAGATGTCCCCAGATCCAAAAGAAGTCTGAAACACTTCTGGCCCCACGCATGTTAGATGAGGGCTACTGCCCCACACTAAAAATACAGCATCAGAATCAGAATCTCTGGCACACCAGAGTCTCTGGGAATTGAAAGCAGCTATGTGTCACAATTCTGTACACTGTATAGAATAACAATACTTCAATAAAGCACAGCATTTAAATCACATCCATTCCCAAAAAGAGTAGTGGCGATTACTGGCTTTGGGAACCAATTTGGTATTGATGGATCCGTTCTGGAACTTTGCAGTGATTTAACATGAGGTGATCTTTAAAGACCAAGTATGCCAAAATGTCTCTTCAACGTCACCTGAAAACTACCTGAGATTCTTCCAGGTTTTTTACTTGTATTTTTGTTGTTTGTTTTGAGAAGGGGTCTCATGTAACCCAGGCTGGCTTGGAAGCTAACAGCCTCCTCTCTCCACCTTCTAAGTGTTGGAATCACAGGCCTGCACCACCACACCCATCATGAATTTTCAAATTCTTTTTTATCCTATGTTTATTTGGAAGTAAAATTCACTGGGCCCAGTGGCTCAGGCCTGCACCCCCAGCTATTTGAGAGATGAAGGCAGGAGAATCAGAGTTTCAAGGTATGATTGGGCTACAGAATAAATTACAGGGCAGCCCAGTCAACAACTTAGTGAGACCCAACTCAATAATAATAAGTGAAAAGAGGGCCAGGGAAATAGTTCACTGGATAAGGGCTTGTCCAGCATGTACAAAGCCACAGGTTTAATTCCCAGAATGGAGTAAACGAACAGAAAGAAAGAAAAAAGGATTACTAATGTGGTTTTCCAATCTCTTGCTAAAACAGGAAAAAAATAAAACATATTACTATAATTTTGGCTTTCATAGACATTTTTGGTCAACAACAGTGACTTTGCCCCTGATGTTTCTAATGAACAAAAGAGGCCAGAAGGAGCTTCCTGACTTTGTATCAGTGACAGAACTCAGGTCTTCCTGTTAGCCTTTCCATTGTTTTCTTCCATGGGAAGAAAAGGATCTTACTGACACGTCAAAACACCTCCTCCCAAGGATAGTGACTATGGAGAGCTGTGAGACCTTGTGAATCTACAGTGCCAGGCACACAGATGAGGAAAGCACCTTATGGATACATGGGGATATTGAACCCAGGTGCCAACTTCATAATTTTCCCACAGTAAACCAAAACCAGGATACTCTAAAATATGGCCAGAAGTCCCTGTTCACAGTAGAATTCTGAAGACCCCATAAAAAGAATTCCTGCAAGTTTGGCCCATTGTTATGAAACTTCTATGCCTAAGACCAATTGGCACCCAAGATACAGAATAATTACCTCAGTTTCCCTAAAAGTTCTTTGTTTTGGCTGTTGGCTATATTTGGCAAGAACCATATATGTGTGGTTATGTCCTACAAGCTGTCACTCATTGCTCCTGATGTCAGCCTCAGCATATTTGAGCTTAGTGTGCTGCCTGTGCCATGGGAAAAAACAGAGCCCTTGGCACGAGAAACAATCAATCAATCAGTCAAAGAAACAAACAAAAAAACTGTATCTGAATTTCTGCACCTCTACTTGCAAGAAAGCTCAAGCAAATCTGAAGTGTCTGGCATAATCTGCATAGGACACATTTAGTGTTTGCATAAGTTTTTAACTTCTATGGCTGATATCAAAGGTGAACACCTTCTCACACTTGTCAAAGTACATCTTTTTCCTATTATAATTTCTTCATGGCTCAAAAGTCCTGCCTATATCCATACCCCTGTCCCCAAGGCCAGATGCACTATTTAATTCTAAACAGCAAGACATGTGAGGTGGTACATCCTGCTCATAGCAACAGCCCACAGAGATACCTCTCCCTTATGCCATGGTCCAAACATGAACCCCAATAGTCCCTGAAGGAGAGAGGAAGAAGTAGGTAGACCGGGATCCCTCCTGCATACTACCCATAATCTATCAGAGCACACATGACTTTACTGATGCAAGTATCTGTCTTATATTCCACCTCAACACTTAGATGGCATGGTGACAGCTGGAGCCAGGTGTTCCCACTGAGTATCTGGTGGCAAACTGGACTGCATCATCAGTTGTCTTTGGGGAAGCTTCCTGGCCAAACAGGCAGATTGTTTTTTCCCCTTTAAAAAACAAGATTATTGGGGAAAAAAAAACCAAGCTAGACATGCACGCATCTGATGGCACTGGTTCTGCTGTTCTGGTGGAGGCCTTTGTGGTCCCATCCTCCAGCTTTGAGGACAGGAGGTGACTCAGGCTATGCGCAAGGTTCTCTGGGTGCTCCGTTCACGGTGTGTTTGCCTCTGTGCCTGGTAAGCAACTTCTTGTTCAGGAGCCGGCTGAGGGTTGCCCCCTTCTTCTGCCTCCCCTCTGGCTGCTGCAGGAATACCAGGTCATTATGGGACTGGCTCATGCCTGGGTCTTTCTGCTGGTGTCGCCGGCGGAAGAAGAGCTTGGCACTTTTCCTTAGAATTCCTTCTGCAAGAGGGGAGCACAAGAATGATCAGGGCTGTGGAGAAGATGAGCCCAGGCCAAGAAGAAAGCAAAATTGCCAGACACCTGTGACAAAAAGCCAGGCACTCTCTCAGGGAATGGTCACTGCCCACAGAGGCAAACACCACGGCCAAGCTGGTGGGCAGTCACTTTTCACAGTGAGAGTGAACCTTCCAACAGCAGGACTGGCAAGCCTGCGCTGTCGAGTGGGTGGGTTAGGGTCCCTTATGGCTCCTTGCCTTTACTAGGAACTCTGTGATAAGCAAGGCTATGCTATATGCCCAGGAATGAAGGACATGCTCCTAACAGCAAGCTTGGAGCCCTGTAAATCATACTTGTGTTCTTTAGTACAGACAGTATTGTTCTTCAAGGAATAAGGTGTATTTTTAAAAATTAATTCTAGATCATCCTCTACACTTGCACTAGGATATTTGTTTTATCTACCAGTCTATTCATCCACTCACCCATACTAGATTAAGCCATATGATATTTGTTAGTGGATCATTTTCAACCTAGAAAGCTTCAGGTTAGGCTGAGAATGTACCTCAGTAGTAAAGTACTTGCCTAGCATGCACAAGGCCCTGGGTTCAATTCCCATCACACACACACACACCCAACAATGAAAATAATAAAAACAAAGAAAGAAAAAGAAATGGGCAAGACAAAATGAAAAGAAGCCCTTGATTTTGTATGGTTCAACTCCTTGGCACAGATGCCAAGTATGAAACAGAAAGCAAAGAGTGGTAGCACTTGTTGGGGTGAAAATGGTTCCTGAAGGTTGAATGCAGGCATAATGCAGACAAGAAGTAGCTCAACATCACTTTTTCACCAATTAGTTTAGCATCCTATTAACCCAGACCCACCAAGGCCAGGTGATATGCCCATGAAGTTCATTACCATTTGCCTCAAGAAGTTGAGCTCAAAAGAAGAGAAGCTTGGCCATGGAGCCAGGGAGATCTGTCCTGAATTTGAAAGTTTGTTTGGCATGTGAGCCATATCCAACAGTCATGGCATATACACATGACCTCCTGTGCTGCTCATGGACAGGGGGAAGAGCATGGATGTGCTTCTGTACACCAAACACATACCAACATGTTAGGGTGGGGGAGGAGACCTGGTAGGGATCTCCTTAGCATCCATATTCACAATGGAGAAAGAAACTGGTTGCTTTAAAAATCCACCTTGGGTGATGGTGTGGTGGTGGCGGCGGCATGCATCTTTAATCCCAATACTTGGGAGACAGAGGCAGACAGATCTCTGAGTTAAGAGACTAGCTTGGTCTACAGAGCAAGTTCTAGGACAGCCAAGGCTACACAGAGAAACCCTGAATCAAAAAAACAACAAAACAGAAAAACAAAACAAACAAAAGAACCCCCAAAACAAACAAATAAAAAGCCACCTTGGCAGACTGATATTAATGATGAGTTTGCCTTGTTCTATTGGCAGAAGCAGAAGAGCTGGACTGCCCCAAAAGTGTGAGCTAATTTAATCTGCACAAATTTGCCTGAAAATGTTTAAAAACCCTCTCCCTTAACAAACAAATTGCTTGTCATGAAGCACAGTTAGGACAGAGTTTCACATTTATTCCAGAGAAATTACTAGGGTCTGGGCGATGCTAGAAAGAGATGGAAAAGAAGGTAAGTACAGTTGTGCAAATGTCAGGCTCCAAGCCACAGCCTGGTGTTGCCACAGGTGGGAGGGATTGTTCCTAGACAGTCCCATCTCTGAGCAAGAGGCCAACCACCAGTTAGTGTTTGGATGACTGGGTACTAACTTTTAGCTGGATATGACTGGAGTTGGCCCATTTGTGAACACAAAGACACTTGTGTAGGTAATTTTGTCTTATCAAAAGCATCAGCTGGGCAGAGGACGGAGCTCTAGACATAGGCCCTCCTAGCTTCGAGGGGGTTCCAAGTCCTAGGTTACCTGGGCTGGAGGTAGGGAAGGAGGGTTTGTGAGGATTTCAGACCTACATGCACCTCCTGGGTTCTGCTCTAGGTTAGCTTTGGAGTTCCCAAAGAGCACAAGCAGCTAGGGCACTCACATTTGAAACAGAGAGGGTGAAGAATAAATGGAAGCTTGAGAAAGGGAACATAATTATCCATGCCCTAGGCCAACTGTAGACCCCAGAACCCTGTGGTTGGAAGGGTCCCTGTATATCCCTGATCCGAAGCTTCGCCTGGGGTAGGGGCTGTATTATGGGTCAGCATAGTGCTATGAGCTGAATTATGTTCTCCTCAAGTTCTTGTGTTGAACTCCTAAACCCCCCAATCTCAGAATGTACCCTTATTTGGAGATGGAGTCATTCCAGAGGTGATCAAATTAAAAGGTGATAATTAGGATGGGCCTAATAAAACATTCCTGATGCCTGGTGATGCTATAGAATGATCCTTTTGTACACTGTGAAGATTTGTTGCTGTGATTGGTTTAATAAGAAGCTGACTGGCCAATAGCTGAACAGGATAAAGTTAGGCAGGAAAGCCAAACTGAGAATGATGAGAAGGGTGGAGTCAGAGGAGTCACCAGTAAACACAGAGAAAACAAGTCATGCTGGAGGAATGTAAAGCCACAAACCACATGGCAAAGCATAGGTAAGAAATATGGGTTAAATTAAAATGTAAGAGTTAGCTAGTAACAAGCCTGAGCCATTGGCTGAGCATTTATAATTAATATAAGCCTCTGTATGGTAATTTGAGAGTGGGCTGCTAGGACAGGAAAACTCTGCCTACATGGTGGCTCTATGAGAAAGGGAAATTTGGAAAGGGACAAAGAGAGGGAAAATGATGTGGAGGACAGAGGAGGCAAGGTAAAGATAGAGATATCTATAAGGCAAGGAAGGCCAAGGATTGTTGCAAACCCCTGAAGCTAGGAAAGGCCAGGGGCAGTTTCTTCCTCCTGGCCTCAGAAGGAGCCAGTTCAATGGACACTCCCATCTCAGGTTTGCATTTAGAAATAAAAGATCATAAAGCTATCATTTAAGACACTAGGTTCATGGCACTTTGCTACAGTTCCAGGAACATGAACACAGCCAGGAAAGAGGACAATAGCATCTGGATGGAGATGATGGTCAGAAACCACTGTACAGTGTTTCACTTGGTTCATACAACGCTAGCAGGCAGAGGCACAAACAGCAAAATGGTGACCAGTGGGACCATGCCCTCATCCTCCAAACAAAAATCAGTCAGCATCTTGTCCAAACTGTTGAAGCTTGGGTTTACATTGGGCCATCTGAGGTGTCATGGTCTAATACATCTAGGAAAAGGAGCATTTAATGTGGCAGGGTTGATGGCTGTTGTCCTTCCTCAAGTAATAAGTCCCTAAGGTTGCAGTGTTTATAGGGGTTGGCCAGGGACAGATAGACAGGCACTGTCTTGTGTTGTGGAATATTAGTTTAAGATGTGTTATATTTGTTTATGCTGTGGAATATTTATTTAATGATGCAAAGATGTGTTGCATTCTTTTATGTTGCATTTGTTTAACTCTGTAAAGCTGTGTTACTTTGCCTGTCTAAAACACCGGATTGGTCCAATAAAGAGCTGAACAGCCAATAGCTAGGCAGGAGAAAGGATAGGCATGGCTGGCAGGCAGAGAGAATAAACAGGAGAAGAAATCTAGAGAAGAGGGAGGAGCAAGAAAAGGAGGAGGAGAGGAGGATACCAGGGTCCAGCTACCCAGCCACACAGCCAGCCATCGAGTAAGAAGGAAAGAAAGACATATAGAACAAAGAAAGGTAAAAAGCCCAGAGGCAAAACATCGAAGAGAAACAGGACAATTTAAGTTAGAAAAGCTGTCTAGAAACAAGCTAAGCTAAGGCTGAGCATTCATAAGTAAGAATAAGTCTCCATGTATTTATTTGGGAGCTAGTGGCAGCCCCCAAAGAGTTAAAAAAAAATCCACCTACAATCTTGGCTCCCTTTTATTAGTTGTCTTATGCGGTACCATATCTTACTATCTCTGGCACATGTGACCACAGGATGTGCACAACACAAAGCAAAGTGACTTGTCCGCAGGGCACATGTGATTGTTAGTGTCAACTTGATAGGATCTAGAATCATCTGGGAAAGAGGCCTTGGGCATGCCTGTGAGGGATTACCTTGATTGCATTAACTGAGGTGGGAAGACCACAATTCCTGACTGACATCCAGACTGTAGAACTGTATGGAATTGTATAGACTCTATGGAACTGAGCACCAGCATTGATCCCTCTCTGCTGCCTGACTGCAGATGTGATGTGACAGCTGCTACAAGCTCCTGCTGTCTCTGACTTCCCTGCTAGGATGGACTGTAGCCTTGACCTGTAGCCAGAATAAACCCTTTCTCCCTTGCTTCTGTCAGAGTATTTTATCACAGCAACAGGAAAAGAAATAAAGACAACACAGGTGCCTTGGTCACAAGGGACAAGCATAGATCAGCCCAGGTTAAGGCAGGAAATCAAACCATGAAGACAGGCATGCTGAGGGCTGTGGGAGTTTACAGCAGGTGACAACTACATTTAACAGGTCCACCCATGGGGAGCCCCACTTGGCAAAGCCGTGGAGTCACTAGCTGTAAATGACTGGCCGCTCCTGTCTGTAATTCCTTTCATGTGCTACTACATTTCTTCCCTAAGAACCCGCTATGGGTGTTTTCCCACTGCTTGTGTGTTTATCTTATGAAAATATTCCATCTTTGGGAACAAATATAGCTGTGGATGGTCAGAAAGATGATTTCTGCTTAAGCTGTATAATTCTGCTAAATAGAAATAATATTAGAATATTTTTCATAACTGACACAGGAAAGTAACAGTATTCTCAGTCACAAAGATAGCTAATTTTAGACTTCAGAACAAATTCAAAACAGACTAGCTGCCCCTGCAGAGTATACACAAAGACAAATTCCCCAGGTGTTATTGTTAAATCAAGGTCAGACATTAAGCAGCTTCGGTATACATAACCCACTGCAGTAACTCTCTTTCTGCATGTACCCCAACCACTCAAGGTCTGGCCAACTGTTATTGTTAAGTCCTGAATTTCATTGTCACTTTCTTTCTGGGAAAGAGCTATGTGCATGGCCAAGCATTACTCACTGGCTGGTCAATGTGACCTTCCTAGCCTGTGAGAAACTGTGTGATTCTTTACATGTATCAGTTTGGCTCTGTCCCTCATTTACTCAAGCAACACTTTGTGACCCTGAAAATGAAAGTCATAATTGTGTGGAGTTTGTATGTGCAAGGGGGCTGTGTAGAGCCATGTAGAGAGCTGCTGTGTAGAGAGGTGTGCAGAGGGTAAGAGTGAGTGAGTGTGTGTGTGTGTGTGTGTGTGTGTGTGTGTGTGTGTGTGTGTGTGTGTGTGTGCTGAATGAGGGATGTAGCTGAATGAGCAGGGAAAAGTGTGAGAGATAAAAGAAGTAGTGTGTGAGAGAATTGGAACTAAAGAGAACTGGAACCAAAGATTTAGAACTACAGAATTGGAACTAAAGTATTAGAGATGAAGTGTGAGAGATAAAGGAAGCAGCAGGAGTGTGAGAGTGAGGTGAGAGAGTGAGTAAAGAGTGAGTGAATGATGCAGTAGTATGTGAAGGAATGTAACAGTAGAGAAGAAATGTGTATAGAAGAAAGATATGGATCTATATAAAAAAGATGTAACTGTATATATGAGTGTGCAGGAAAGAGATGTAAAGAGAGAAATATAGCTGTAAAGAGATGTACCTGTGTGGAGACAGATTTTCAGAGAGAGGATTTTTTTTAAGATGAAGTAAAAGAGAAAGTTACATCAGAAAGTGGTGTGTTTCCTTATTTTCCCCTCAGATAGATAGAAACTTCTTTCCTTTTTTTTTTTTTTTTTTTGGTTTTTCAAGACAGGGTTTCTCTGTGTAGTTTTGGTACCTGTCTTGGATCTTGCTCTGTAGACCAGGCTGGCTTTGAGCTCACAGAGATCCACCTGGCTCTGCCTCCCAAGTGCTGGGATTAAAGGCGTACGCCACCACCACCACCTGGCATAAACTTATTTCTAAAGACCCTCAGATAAAAAAAGTTTCCTAAAGTCCCTATACTCTGAGGCCTTCTATTCACTATGCTGGAGCAGTTCTGGGAGCTGGCCTCCCAGGCTGTGTTACTGACTGCATTACAGGGTGGCTATATTCAAAGGTAATGAAAAGGTAATCCTCACACTTCCTGATGATCACTACAACTTGCCCAAGAGAATTGTAGCATGAATACCTAAAGTCAAATTCCTGCCCCGACATGTCAAAGACTTTCAGCTGGAGTGCAAGACTGATGGACCTGAGAGGCTTAAATTTCATTGTTTCTCAGATGTTTGGCTGAGATCAACTGCAGAAAGATTTAGAAGGGAGAAAAGACAGAAAAAGGAAGACTAAGTATGTGCATGTTGTGATCTGTACAAATGTCTAGGGTTTAAACTGCAGGTTAGAGCACCATCCATTCAGCAGGCCTGCACCTGTTCTCTGTGGTCTATACCAGGGTTGTTTTCTGTTCTTCCAACCTCCCTCATGATCTCTGCAGCCCCTCTGCTGGTTTGTTAAACTTCATTTTCCAGCATTAGTCAGGAATGGATGCTATGCTATGTACCCCATGGCAATCCTAAACTGGTTTGTAAGACATTCTTGGAAATTATGGCCTCTGTGGGGATGACATGGGCTTCCAGACTGAAGGGAATTCCTTTGATATGGTACTGAGACCTGTTTCAGCAGGCCTACACTGCCCTGAGTCTGGGGGAACCCTCATTGAAAAATAAGGACATAAGAGTTGGAGAAGTGACTACTCAGATCACACAATGACATATATGTGGGCCCAGGGTGATTGCTCCTGAAACCAGTGTTCCCATGTCCAGCTTTTCTGGGCTGCTAGGGAAAGGGTCTGGCCTTGAATGTGAATGGGACCTACCCTTGAGAAGTGGCTGCCAGGTGCCTGAAGCAGAGTGTGCCTTACAGTCTCAGGGAGGAGAATACAGACAGGGTGAACAGATCAAGACACTGGCATGGTCTTTGGCAGGATTCCAGAAGAATCTATCTCCAGAGAAGGATACCAGGATGTGGGGAGGATGGGACATTCCAATGAGGAAAGTGCACTTGTACTTGTGAGGAGTAACTCAAATGATCTCTCTCTCTCTCTCTCTCTCTCTCTCTCTCTCCCCCTCCCTCCCTCCCTCCCTCCCTCCCTCCCTCCCTCCCTCTCTGTGTGACAGAGAGAGAAAGATCTCTGCCTTTGTCTCTCTTTTGTGGTGCTGGATATCAAGCTCACATCTCATGGATACCAGGTAAACCCTCTACCACAGAACCACACAACTGTTCTCCCAGTCATGAACTAACACATTTACTGTGTGTTTAAGCCTCACCACAACTACCATTAGGGGCAAATGATTTTGGAAGAACCATGGGCACAGATGTACGTATCTATCAGGACGAGACACAGTGTGGTGAGGGAAGCAGGCTCAGAAGACAGTGGGTAGAGTCTGCTGGAAGCCGAGAGATGGACAGAGGGAGGTTACTCACAGGGATAAGCTTTTCAGTTCTCTGGCACAGCAGATGACCAGAGTTCACAGTAAGTCATATGAATACACAGGAGCAGGAAGGCTCCATGCACCAAGTCAAGGAAACTCTCTTGACTCATCATTACTTGAGTGTCCACATGCTAAAGTATCACACTGGCCTTCCTGAGGGTGTGATTGGCATAAGGCTGTGAGAAGTTAAAAACATTCAGTGTTTAAGGAGACACCAGTGGCTTGACTTTCACACACTGTGTTTTCAAGCTTTCATGTGAGGTTATGTGAAATCTGAGGCAAATCACATAATTTTTAAATAGGGAGCCAGTCCTGGGAAAAATTCTCTCCCTGGTCTTAATCTCTCTTTAAAAACACCCCCAAGAAGACTGAAGCATGAATAAACACACAAAGGAATTTGAAAATTATTCTAAATTCTAGCTCTGCTGTCACATTTCTAAATTTATCCTGTTTATTTCTGTGGAGGGGCAGATATAAATAGGCAATGGGAGAATCTGTATTAAAATCTGCTTGTAGGAAGACAATGGCCCTAGCAACCTGGAAACGTGTGCTCTGATGTCCAAAAGCAGCCTCAGACAGACTGTGCATAAAGAGACAGCTCGAGAGACAGGAAACCAGTAAAGGGACCCCTGCCTGGCTCCCTCATCCCAGTCAGGCTGAAGCCATCACAGCAAGGTGGCTTTGTACCCTCAGAGGACAAGAGGAAGTGTCCTATCACCTAGAAACCAGGAATACAGAAAACCAGCCACAGGGAAGGTCAGGCCAGTAAGCAAGGAGAAAGGCAGTGGGCAACCTTCACTCTGCTGGGCACTCTCCACAAGTCAATTACACAGAATTTTTTTTAAAGTGAAAGACGAAAAATAACTTACTGTGTAGGTAATTAATTCTGGTTGGCATAGTGATCCTCCTAAGTTAAAGGGAACGAGCACGAAATGCAGAGATGTTGAGAGGCAAAAAGAAAAGCACGCGAGAGCAGAGTCAGAATGAAAGTCAGAGTTTGGAATCATTGTATCACAGTGCACACACATGCTTACACACCTGCACACATGTGCATTTACATGCACACATGAATGCAGACTCATGCACACACATGCTTACACTTGTATACATAAGCACAGACTCATACACACATGCTCACACTTATATACATGCTCACATGTATATACATCACACATGTACATACATACATATATGAACATGGACACTCATGCTCACACTTGTACACGCATGTACATGCATATGCATTTTTGAGCACATACATGTACACATGCAAGGTTGCCATCTAAGATATTTGGCATGTTTCTTTCCAGTTTTTCTCAAATCTCTCTACAGGATTTTGTGATGAACACAGGGTAAAATTTACCACAGTTACAGTGTGCTTATTATCACAGGCAGCAGTACTTTTTTTTCTAGTGCTGAGAACAAACTCAGGACCTCATGCATGCTACACAAAGCACTCTACCACTGAGCTACATCCCTAGTCCTGCCAATGCTTTTTGAACCTAAAATAAATTGCATTTGGGGAATCAATGTTCTGTTTTGGCTGAAGTATCATAATCTATAAATTTCCAGGCAGCAAGAGTCCAAGAGAATTGCAGTTACATGGGCTCCCTCCAAGGCCACCAATACTCTCCTCATTAGACCAGAAGAAGCAGGTGGTTTGCAAGTCATATGCAAACCTTAGTTTAAAACCAAACCAGGGGGCTGGAGAGGTGGCTAAGAGGTTAAGAGTACTGGCTGCCCTTCTGGAGGACCCAGGTTCCTTCCCAGCACCCACACGATAGCCCACAACCACCTATTATTCCAATTCCAGGGAATGGGGCACCGTCTTCTGGCCTCTGCAGGCACCAGGCATGCAAGTGGTGCCCAGATATACTTGCAGGCAAAACACCCATACACATAAATTAAAAACAAAAACAAAACAAAACAAAACAACTAAGTCCCACCAAGCCATTCCCTGTAGCACCAGTTTTGAAAAAAAAAATGGCATGAAATGAAAATGGTTTGACAGCCAGCTTAGACCTACTTAGGATCTTCCAACATCTCAAGCTAAGTACAAAGCTTCTAGAAACTGCAGGATAAAAACTAAGCATGTAGGGGGGGGTGGTGGTATTGCAGGTGTATTCACCTGTACATCTGTGTGTGGGTTAGAGGTCAATGTGGGGTGTCTTCCTCCATTTTTCTCCATCATGGTTTTTGACAGAATACCCCACTAAACCTGCAGCTCACAAATTGACTAGTCTGGCTAGAGAGAGCTCCAGGGATCCCTATGTCTCAGTCTCCCACTGGCACTGAGATTACAAGTGGATATGCTTTTGCATGGGTGCTAGGGATCTGAATTTGGTTCTTCATGCTTGCACAGTAAACACTTTACCCATTGAGCATCTCGCTAGCAATATATATATTCTCTTTATATATATATTCAAAACAAGGTCTTACCATTTAGTTCTGGCTGGCCTGGAATTCACTATATATACCAGGCTAGCCTTAAACTCAGGGATCCTCCTGCCTCTGCCTTTTAAGTGCTGGAATTAAAGGCATGTGCTATCATGCCTGAGCCCTACAAAATAATTTTTAAGACATTGCCAAATACTTTCAGAAAACTTTAGGTCAAGGCATTTCAAGGATCCAAGGACAGGTTCCACCTCAGTTCCCAGAGAAGCCAAGAGTGAAACACATAGACCAGTCAAACATGCTTGCACATCCCCTAATGCCCAGCTTCTGGGGAAGCGCTCATGCTTAGAGGCTACTTCCAGCCCCCAGAGGATGTGACAGACACCCAGATTCCCAAGAGGCATCCAGTGAGGGGAGGAGAAGGATGGCGGGTGCACAGCAAGGAGGGAACCCCAAAGGAGGCCAGAGCTAGCAGGAGCAGGAAAGGCTGGAAGAAAGGAAAGCAGCAGTGGGTGGATGCACAGGGGTGGTAGGCTGGAAATCTCTGAGAAACCTGGTGGGTGTGAAGGGAGGTTTGGGTTCTGTAGGGCCATGAGTATATGGACTATTGACTCAAAGAAGTGGAGCACAGGATATACCCCAGTCCCCTGTTCCTCCTTGCTCACTGACTTCCCCAGCAACCTCCTAGAGGCTCCCTTGCTCCCAGGACAAAGACCAGGTCAGAGTGTGTACACAGGGTATCCAGTAGACAGTCCACCTGATACTCTGGGCCACAGCTCACGAAGAGAGGATACAGGGTTCAGCTGAAGGTCCCCAAGGCCAGGATGTGGGAAACAGAGGCTGGGTGATAGGAAATCTTCTCCAGGAACACTCTTTTTCTCTTTCTTCTTTTAATGTGAAATTCCTCCCCTATTGATCCCCACTCGGTACTGGCAAAGGGCACAAGTCACAGGCAAGCAGCTACCCATCAATGGCTAAGGTGTGGGCAGAGGAAGGGTGGAGCACTCAGGGCAGGTTCTTAACCTCAGCACCTGGGACTTTTGTTCCGCTGTGTGGTGGTGTCTGTGCCACATGCCCTATAGAGTGTGGTACCTGTGACCTCTACCCCCTAGGGGCGAATAGTACCCCATCTCCCAGTTGTGACACAGCTGTTAGCAAACATTGCCCAGCAGGAGACCCCACCTGTCCTTAGCAGAAATAGCTGGCTAGGATTCCTAACACCTGGGGTGGCTAAGCTTTTTGCCCACTGCATTCCAAGGGGGCCCTGAGAACTTTGCTGGAGGGAAGTGGGCCTTGGAGCCCCAGATATAAGGCAGAGCTAGGAACTAAGTTCCACCACAGCTCCTGGTTTGACTCAGGTACCTCCTTCAGCCCTCAGGATGTGGGTTGTAGGGATGGTCCCCAGGTCTTGGAGGTGAGGCTCAGTGGGTCTGAAGTTTCTAAGTCCTGGAGCTGTTTCCAAAGGTGAGACAAAGGTCTGGGTCCAAGTGTCTACCCCCAAGAAATGCCAGGCTCTGAAATAAGGGCTCATTGTTCATGGGAAAGAATTGATTGTGCTAACAAATGACTTCATTGCTGTGTGTATGAAGACAGTGAGTAGTTATTCTGGGGGGGTTTCTTTCCTTGTAGATCCTGCTGATTCCAGGTGGTAAGGTCTGGTTTGGTTCTAGCTGGAGAAGAGACTGAGAGGAGCAAATAAGGTAAGTTGCCAATCTCTGCTCACTTTGCTCTGACTCTGGACACTAGCTCCTGGTGACACTCTGAAGCCTTGGATAGCTCTGCTTCCAGATTTAGAAAGCCAGACAGGGAGGGTGCTGGGAGGCATGAAAACACAGCAGCTCCTAGATGAAGAGATGAAGCCCCAGCTGCTCACATGCAGGCTTCCTACCTGCCTCCAGCTCTCAGTGGCTGAGCAGAATGGGAAGGAGGGGATAAGCTGGGACAGCCTCACAGAGGACAAAAGGAAGGGAGCGAGGCCAGCATGGGAGCAATGGCACAGAGGGAAGCCCAAGTGAGGAGCTGGGGGCTTGGGAACAGGTACCTTTATGCTTCTTGATGGCTCCCAGCTCCGACGCACTCAGGGAGCTCTCAGACAGTTCATCCCCATCAGGTTCCTGTAAGGCTGGACTGCTCCACAATGCTCCCGGGGATTCTTTCTCCAGGTCCCAGGAGTCTAGATCATTCTCACTAGGCTTGAGGGCAGATAGGGCCTGGGCTGGCTCATCTTCTTCAGGTGGGGTGGTGGCAGAGGCTGCAGCTGCCTCTGGAGGGCACAGAGTGGATGGGGCATCCCCCTGGTTGGTGCTGTCCATAGAAGCTGCATAGTCTAGCATGAGGGCAGCGTTGTGGTCCTGAGACAGTGAGGTCTGTCAGGGGAGATGTACAACAGAGGCTGAGGGCAAATGAAAAGTCAGCCCAGGGATGTAACGAGCACACACGGTAGGCAGGGAGGGCTTGATACCACCTGAATATCACTTTCCAGTATTGAGACTAGAAATATCAAGCAGTAACAGGGACAGCCAGCTGCAAGAAGGCTCCTGTGCTACATGGTAAATGTTTATAAAGTAGGTATCTGTCTTAGCTGAGACACAGAGGTGGTCCTGAGCGCACAGGCTGAGGGGGCTGGAGAAGAGTTAGCATACTTCCCACTGCAGACCTATCAGTAAGGAAGTCCCAGAAGGTGAGAACTAGCACTTTCTTCAAAGTAGACAAAGTATAAGGCAGTAAAGAGCATGAACTCGAGCAGATTTAGTCTTTTACACCTTTGTTACTAAGCACTTTTCTGTCTCAAAGTAGAGATTAACCAGAAAATGATGTGTCCTTTTAAGGACTGTATTTGTTTATAAAATTACAGGCACTAAACCAATAGGTAAGGTAGAAAGCTGGGAGTGGTTGAACAGGGATGCCTGAAAGGGCAGCATCCACGCTGTTCTCAACCTGGGTGGCAGTCACACAGTAGCTTTCCTAAGTGACAGCTGACAGATGTACCAGCTTACAGAAGGGCATGATGACTACCAATACAACAGTCTGCATGCCAATAAAATTAATAACCAAACTGGCCTACAGATATTAAATATGAAGATTAGCTGATGATTCTGAAGCAAAGCCAACAAGTAGAGAGCAGATGATCATGGGTTATCCTCATCTTGTTTACTTATCTAACCCAGACTGAATAAAATCTTCCACTATTTGGCCTTGTTGGCCCCAGAGATCTGCCCCTCACACCCTGGTGGCTGAAGAAGCCAGCCCAAGAGATACCCACTGCCTTGGTATTCAAGGCCACCCATGAGCTTTCTTTTGGAGTCCTGGGCCCAGGCTACCCACACATTGTGTATATCACCACTAACGGTGACTCACCATTGGCACCTGCCAGCAACTGAGAAGGTGATTTCCAGCATGCTCTCATGCCCACCCTCTCAATGACCCTGCAAGATCCAACCCAGCCTCCCTAGCCATGGCTACAACTATCTAATCTGTCACTTGTTGTAGTGCTCCCTCCATCTACATGTTTGGAAATGTCTAGAAAAAAACAGAGTTTCTTGCATGGCCCCTTGCACTGAAGATCTAGCCTGCTCTGCACTCCAGTGGCATGGCTGCAATCAGAAGCAGTTCACACCCACCTTCTGCTCCCCAAAAGATATCACAGAGTGGAAGAGCAGGGGAACTGAACTGGAACATTCTGTAAAATAATCTTTGTTTCTATCAGTAATGGAAAGGAATACAGGTATTTATTGTAAAATATTTAAATGTTTTAGAAATGAGTAATGTGGAAAAAGTGAACTTGGGAGGCAGCGAGGTGGAGCCTACACCACTGGGGGTTTCTTACATGTGCCTTTCTTTCTCTCTTAGTAATCATTCCAGAAATGACTTACCAAGCTCTCAAGACTCACTAAGCATACGGCTTCTACCTTCCTGTATCAACAGGACAAAGGGCTACTGTGGTCCCAAAGGTAATTAACTCACTGGTGGGAAGGAACTGTATTAGAATCTGTAGAGTGACCTTTTGGATGGATGGGGGACTGGGGTGCTGTGTTGACAGGCTGCCGCCTTCTGCTGCTGCCTTCGCCTACCTTGGAGATCCCTGAAATGATGATGGTGCTTTTCTTCCGTGGGGACTTCAGCTTCAGCTTTGAGGATTCACTGAGCTGCCGAATGGCAACTTCAGCCACAGGATCTGAGCCATTCAGCACCAGTAGTTCTGCCAGGAGGAAGATAGCACTGAGTTCAGTAGCAAAGTTAAAAGGCTCCAAGGGAACTCCCAGAGTCGGGGGGGGGGGGGGGGGGGCAGGAATGGTCTATAAGCAGTGGTTGGCAAACATTTTGGAGAAAGTGGGATAAAGAAAGAGGTTGAGGTTTTGCAACTAATCTCCCCATAGGGTAGAAGCAGCCAGGAGCCACATGTAAATGAACAGGCAAGGCCTGATTCCTGAAAAACTTCACTTTCAGAAACAAGGAAGGGTCACCGTCGCTTACAACTCTACTCCCTGTAGTTATGCGCTACTCATTGGCGTGTCTGTGTAAGATTCATGTGTTTTACTGTTTATAAGTTGATGGTTTTTTTTGTCAAGAAGTTATACAAAGTGGCAAAATCCAGCAGACAAAAACAAATAAACTGGCTGGATGAGATGGTGCAGTGAGTGAAGGCGCCATGCCTGATGCTCCAACTTGAGTTTGATCCCTGGGACCCAGTGGAGGAAGGCGAGAACAGACTCCTGCAGGTTGTCCTCTGACCTCCACATGCATGCAGTGACACACACACACACACACACACACACACACACAACAAAAAGAAAGTAAAAGAAAGAAGAAAAGGAAATCTTTAAACACTGGGAAAAATTTGACCTCACAAAGGCACATAACTCTTTCTCCCTCCCAAAGCCCCAACACAGAACAGTAATCAGAGGCAGCTAATAAAAGTGACTAAGAGCCGGCCCTTGCTGGCCCTTCCTGGGTCATAAATGTACGTGACAGAGCCTGCAAGTTTTACGTCATTGCTCACTCCTTAGCTCTGTGAGACAAGTTCTTCTTTCTTTTTTGTTTTCTTTATTTTTAAAAAATCTCCACTTGACAAGGAAAAAGATGTCAGGCAGGTGGCTGAGTGGAGATGCGTAGTGGAGTTCCTCCCTCACAGAACTTGTACTCACAGTTTACACTATCTGCTGAGGCAAAATTAAACATGACAAAGAGGGATGGTGGTGCAGCTCAATGGTTGAGCGCTTGCATAGCATGCCCAGGGCCCTGGGTTTGATGTCCAGGATCGCAGAAGCAAATGAAGGAACAAGAAAACAAAACCGCTTTAGGAGTGGCCATGGCTGTAGGTCACAGGGGCTGGTTTCCACAGCCAGTGACACACTTGGCCTTGCCTAGTGCCTGGCACATAGTTCCTAAACCCTTGACATTTTCTGTGATGGAGTGAAGGGAATATTTTTTTGTTATTTATGATAATCTTCATTTGTGTGTGTGTGTGTGTGTGTGTTCGTGTGTCCGTGTCCATGTATGTGTTTGTGTGTGTGTGCATATGTATGTGTTCATTCAATTCTGTGCACATGTGTAGGGGCCAGAGGTTGACAGTGGGTCTCTTCTTAACAGATCTCCCTCTTGTTTTTTGAGACAGAGTCTCTCATTGAATTTGGAGCTCACTAACTGTCTCAGACTGGCTGCCGACAAGCCCCATAGATCCCTTTGTCCCCACCTCCCCAGAGCTGGGCTTATAGGCTTGCTCAGCCACTGCCAGATTTTTAAGTGGATGCTGGAGATCAAACTCAGGTCCCTACACTGACTTATAGATAGGAACATGTTTCTTTAAGATGATGATTACATGAAAACAATCCTAAAATTGGAGAATTGATACTAATATGGCTTGAATGTGAAATGTCCCCCCACAGGCCAGTGTTTAGAGAGCCTGCTCCCCAGAGGAGGGTACCACTCTGGAGGCTGTAATACCTTTGGGGGTGGAACCTGGCTGCCCTTGAAGGTTATAGCCCAGGCGTTGGTTCCAGAATACCTCTCTGCTTCCTGGTCAGCCATCATGTGAGTAGGCTCTATTACACACTCTGGTTACCATGAATTTACTCTTGAAATAGTGAGCTAAAACAGACTTTTCCTCCCTACACTGCTTCTGCCCCATCTCTTGGTCACAGTGATATAAAATATACAAAATAAGTAATCCATAAAATTGGGGAGAAGTGGGATATGAAACCTGGATATGTGGTTCTTGGGCCTTTGGAAACAGCTTGTGAGAAGAACGTGGGAGAATTTGGAGATGTGAACTAGAATAACCCTTCAAGATGCTCTAGAAGCCCCCAAATGACACAGGCTATTGCCATTGCTCTCGCTGCTGAAGACACCACATACTTTTGTTTAGAACACAGAGAAATCTGAAACTGACCTGAAAGTTTCCTCCCTGCTGGAAGGTGCTATGCAGGCTGCTGGGGGAGAAAAAGAATCAATGGGCTTACCCAGCAGTAGACCCTGCATTCTATGATACTGACCCAACAGGCACAATATCTATTAATAGAGGCGTGGCTGCTATGAAGTAACCAACTGCTTTTGATTGGATTTGAAGTCTGTTGCATGGGAAGGAATTCACTCCTGATCCTACAAACCTGGTCAAAAACCCAGGGCTGGGAAAGAGCCCTCTATTGTTTTGTTAAATGAACATGATGCCAAATATTTGTTTATATCCACATATTAGTGTTAATCTCAACTTTTTTCAGTGAAGCCCACCCCCTTTTGGCAGTGGTAAATGCAGAGACTCATAACTAATAAAAAATGCTGAGAATAAGTGAACTCCCCAAGGCTCAGGGAACATTCTAAAAGAAGAGGAGGAAAGAGCTAGAGGCTAGGGAAGAGTGCTATAAAATGCTGTCCTCTGGATATGAAGCGGTCAGCACACTCATGAAGTCACAGCAGCAGTGACTACTTGCACAAGATCAAGCCAGTCAACATTCATCATAGATGAGTGGTTCATCTTAGCTGAAGGGCTACTGCAGTTGATGACTGCTGAGGGTGGGGAAGTCATTTTTCTTTAGGAGTTATAGTCACTGGTAGGTTACCCATGCTCTGGTGGATGTCCTATATATATGCAGGGACTCAGTAGGTTATTAAAAAAAAGAGTAAGATATGTGGGTGGGAAGTGTTTGTGTTAGAGGAGACCTGAGAAGAGGGACAGTGGGGAGCTGTGGGTGGAAATGATTAAGATACAATGTATCTTGTATATAAAGATGAAATTATCAAAAATAAAAATATTGTTTTAAAAAAGGAAGAAAATTCTAGAATACTGTAAGTTCATTCTTGTGGGTGTGTGGAAGATCTGAGTGCTGAGAGAAAAGCAGACAGTGAGACTAAGCTGCTGCTGTTGGGATGGGAACAAGGACTCCACTGGGAACAGGACTAGAGGCCATTTGTGTTATATTCTGGCACAGAATTCGCCTATATTTTAACTATGTTCTGGAAATTATAAAGAGGCCAAATTCCAAAGTAATTCAAGGCAACACAGCACTCAGGCTATGACATGGTTGCTGCTGGCTGTTTTAGCCAAGCTTACAGTGGGGTCTGAGAATAAAAATTAGAGCAGAAGGATATGAAAAACGAACTATTTGTCCAGTAAAGAAGAACATCTCGAGCTGCCAAAGCAAGTGTGACAGGTAGCTATAGTTATTTGAGATAAGCACCATTAGGAAGAAGACAAATAGTTTGCACTGGGATGTAGGAAGGATGCTTTCAGTGCATTTCAGGATTTGGTGAGACCCACGACATCACAGGCTCCAGCATATAAAACTGCACACTCATTTGAAAGAGTTTCCCTTTAAAAGACATAGCTGCAGAGGTGCCCTGCTTGAATGGAGCTGTTTAGAGAAGTGTTGTCATAGGTTCACCCACCTAGGCACTCAGAAGCCACTGTGGTCATGATATAAGGAGGCCTAGCTACATATCAAGCGATCAATGAAGCTTAGTGTTGTCCACATGGTGCTAGGTTTTCAGACATACAGTATACATGAGTTATGAGATCATGAAAGGTTGTACACCTAGGTTAAGGTAACTTTGTGAGGCCAAGTAATTCAGGGTTGGGGTTCCTGTGAGGAGGATGAAGCCTAAATTGTAGTAGAGACCCCTGGGCCATGGGACATCTCCTAAGGAAAGCTGTAGGTAATGAGTAGAGCTAGCCCCAGAGAAAGGCCACATGGGCTGCAAATGGCAAGGCTGTGGGAGTAGAACTCTCTGTCTGTTGGTACTCAGATCATTCCACCACAGCATTACATACCAGACACAGAGCTACAATGTTCAGTGCCCTACTGAGGTCCAGTCTCCCTCCAGTCACATCGCTCCTTCCATCTTCCCATTTCTCCCTTCTGGAATGGGCACATTTACTTTGTACCTTTGCAGTCTGGAAATACGTGACTTTCCTGTTGATTTTATAGGAGCTCACAGCTAAAGGACTGCCATGAGTCTCAAAAACAAAACTCTAAACTTAGATTTGAACAATGTTGGAACTATTGAGCTTATGGAGACTCATGAAGTTGGAATAAATGCATTTTGCTTTATAAGGTGACTATGAGCCTTTGGAGCCAGGGTGCAATACTATTATGGCTTGGATATCAAATGTCTCACAGGGTCATGTTCTGAACACTTGTTTCCCAGCCAGTGGCACTATTTTGGAAAGCTGTGGAACCTTTAGGAGGTGGGACCTCACTGGCAGACATCTGACACTCGGGGCAGGCCTTTGAAGGGTATAGAATCTCTTTATGTCCTGGGCTAATGTGATATTGACTCCACAACATGTTTACAATGCCATGCCCCCACCCATGGTGGACTGAAATTGAAGCCAAAACTTTCCCACCATGAAGCTGTTTCTGTCAGCTGTTTCATTGCAGCTACACAAAAATAACTAGGAGAAACACCCAGAGATCTCAGAAAACTGCTCCTAAGTGCAGAGCATACAGAAGGGACCAAGCACACATCAGCCATGCTGTCCCCAGTGTTGCTTATCCAACGGAATGATATCACCCATGTGCCAGATGATAGGAAAGACAGCTTTCAGAAAGTTACAAAGTGGGGCCCCCACCACCTGCTTGTTTTGTTAAAGCGCTCCACAGACCTAGTAGGGACCCAGCTCTGTCTTCTGTCTTCCTTCACCCGACATTCCCAGATCCTTTATCATTTTCTATTTGCCACTAAAACAAAGACTCCCCAAAGACAAAAAAAAAAAAAAAAAAGGAAGGAAGCCTTCATTCCTAAAGCTCAGAAGTGCAGAGATGAAGAAGAGATTGTGTCTTACCTGTGTCTGAAGAGGAGAATGTCTTGCTGACGGGGGCGCCGTGGCACGAAATGGCCTGGACAGAAATGTCCTTCTCAATGACCTTCACCTTGATGGGTGTCCTCACAGGGGACTCTGTAAGAACAGAAGATTCTAGAAAGTGAGAGGAGCCCCTGCTCTACCATGAGGCCCTGCAGTTGTTTCTGGCCAGGGCTAGGCTTTAAGACCTCTCAATTCCTTCACTGTGTTGGCAAAAGTGGGGCTGGGAGTTTAAAATTCAGAGCAATTTCAATAAAACTGGAGTTCCCATGTGAATTTTGGGTCCATGACCTGTGCCAAGGGAGCTACTTTGGGAAAATGGTTTCTTTACACAAACAGAAACAATATACCAACAAAATAGCAATGTGTTTTTCATTCTCCCTGCACTAGGGGCCAGCTACATTGCAATAGAAAGGTTTGTGCTGCCCCTGTTAAAGCAAATCAAAACAAACTTTTTTTTTTTTTTGAGACATGGCATCATATATCCTAGGCTGGCCTTGAATTTCATATTAGGCAAGAATGACCTTTAACTCCTGATCCTTCTACTTCCACTTCCCCAGTGCTGGGATTACAAATGTGTGCCACTATGCCTACGTGATACAATCAATGCTGGGGATCCAATCTAGGACTTCATCCATGCTAGGCCAATGCTGCCCAACTGAGCCACATCCTCAGCCCTATGTCATGTCTCTTTATCAGTGATGTTTAACATACATTCAACTAACTAGACTTTTAGCCATCATGAGTGTGATGGAGTACTGAGTCCCATGTCACTAGTCTTAGAACCAGACTGTGACTTTGGTGTAACTTCTAGGCAGAACCTCATCTCTGCCCCTCAACTATTTTTTTCTCTCTCTCTCCTCCTCCTCTTTTTTTTTTTTTTTTTTTTTTTTTTTTTTTGAGACAAGGTCTATGCAGCCCTGGCAATCCTGAAATTCACAGAGATCCACCTGCTTCTGTTTACCTAGTGCTGGAATTAAAGGCATTATCATCATGGCTCTTTGCCAACCATTTTTCATAGAATATAAAGGTAACTGTTCAATGCAAAAGTCTGATGCCAAATGTCTTTCTTTCCATGCCAACAGACTTCTCTGCCAAGCCTTTGTGCTGGAGTGCTCAGTGTTGCGGGGTGAGACCCACCCCACAGAGGCTGGGGATCTGTGGGTCTTCTGCAAAGAGACTGCACTCTGGGGTCTCACCTGAGCTCACTGGGGACGCCCTCCCAGTGTCAAAGCGAGGCTTGGTCTTCACAGCAGTGACTGTGGTGACCACAGTCCCACATGGCATCACTGTACGGTCCTTTTCTATCTTTGCAGCAGGAACAGGGGGAGGAGTGGGCCAGGACTTTGGCTCTCCAGGTTCTACGTAAGAAAACTGTGGCAAAGATAGATATTTATTTTGAAACACAGTGGAACCCAGGCTTCCATGGATGGCTGCTTCCCATACTCACTGGACCAACACCCACGTATGAGTCCCTCCCAGAACATGATGTCATGAGAACACAGAAGAGCCATTTCCTTTCCTGGTGTAGTAATGACCTCTAGCTGACCTCTCATTCAACTATGACACAAATGCAAGGGGCAGCTGTTTTTCTGTACTGCCCAAGGAATTATGATAAGAAAAAAAGGTCTGTACATGTTCAATGTGATACAGTTTGAGTGGGGTTTTTTTTGCTCTTAAATATTTTCAGGCTGGTTGGTGCAAGCTGCAGCTGTGGAGCTGCAGATATAGACTACAGATAACAGCAACAGGTAGCTTAGCAGCGGTACACTGGTTTCTGCTAGTTTCTTCACCCATGTTACTTAGTGGTTTTTGTTTTTAATCAAACTGGAATGACAAAGACCCACAAGAGCAAGCTCAAACTCTAAGCATGACCCAGCAGAGGAATTTTTTAAAGGAGGCAGCTGGGTTGGCTGAGATGACACTGGAAAGGGTCATCTCCTATAGTAGCCAGATTAAGCCAGTTGTGGCAAGATGTATCCACCTGAGCCTGAAGCCCATGCTGAGAAGAGGGCCTGTTGGGTGAGTTTAGGTGTCATAGGGAAGTGACAGTGAGTCCTGGCAGGCAGGAGACAGGATTGTAGCAGCAGAGACCATGCCATCATACCTCTGCAGTGACTGAGCCTAACACCAAGCTGTGAGGCTCTGTCCCGCTGACTAGTCGGAAGGTCTGTGGGCCATTAGGCTGCTTCCTAAATAAGTCCAGGTGAACGGTTGCTGTCCCCAGTAGACCTAGAGTGGAAGACAAGGAGGAGCAATGTTGATGTTTCCACAGTCACACACCCCAAGGGATGTCCCTTTAGCTCCACTACACAGTGTCAGTGTCACCAATAAAAAGAGGCTACGGGCATTCCAGAGGGAACTATATGCCAGGCCTGGCAGAAGCAATAACTAAACCACACAGTGTGGAACTGCACCAACCATCCTTGAACCACTGACAGAAACTGGAAAACAGACAGTGGGGGATGGAAGTGGGGGATGGAAGGGCATCAATGAAAATGAAGAAGGTACTGAATGTCCTGGGCAAAACAAACACGGGAGGATGAAGGGTTAAGGGCATAATGACAGAGGCCTACTCTCAAATGTGTGCCTGAGTGTGAAAAGCAAGAGTAAGTAAGAGGGAGCGATAGGGTGAGAAAGGAGGAAGGAGACAAAGATAGGGTGCAATGACTAATCGAACATAAAGACTGTGGGCCATAGGGCAAATATTCAGAGTGAGAATTTAAGCACAGGCTGCATGGCTTCTGTAAAGCTTCAGTTTCACAGGCTCCATCAGGCTACCCTGGAATGGACAGGTGTGAGCCAGCAGAAGCAAGGACTAGGAGGGATGAGAAGTGAATAGTAGCCTGATGCAGGATGTCTCTCATACCCACTCAAAGAAGGGAAGGTTTTTTGTACTACTTCCCCAGGTATATAAAGATGGCAGATTCAAAGAGGCTCACACAGACCTCTTGATGGCAACTTGGGTGTGATCATCTGGTCAGTCACCTGCCTTCCAACTTCCCTTCAGGAGATCACAAAGAGACTCAATGGCACAGCTGGATATGCCAATGGTCTCTTTCTTCCCAATTTTAATGTTTACATGGATTTAAAAACATCCAAGAGGTCTGAGGATGTAACTCAGTAGTACAACACTTACCTAGCATGACTGAAGCCCAGCACCACAAAAAGAAAGAAAAAATGATTTAAGGGCCAGTGAGATGGCTCATCAGGTGAAGGTACTTGTCACCAAGCCTGATAAACTAAGCTTGATTCCCAGGACCCACAAGATGGAAGGAGAGAATCAACTCATACTGCAAGTTGTCCTCTGACCTACACAGACACAGATTAAATGTAAAAACAGAAGAATCTAACAAACATTGGCACTACCAGTGTAGACCAAGGTGCACACTCAAGTCCATGTTTATGTTGGTGACTTTACCCTGAACTGTTGAGTTCCTGTGTCTGAATCATGTATCTACTTTAAATTAAGCCCAAGGGGCTTATTCTGTAGGGAAACATCGGCTGAAACTTACAGAGAAGGACATTAGGAGAGGGGCTGCCATGGCTATGATAGGAAAGTTTATTACTATTTTCTTCCTTCCTTCCTTCCTTCCTTCCTTCCTTCCTCCCTCCCTCCCTTCCTTCCTTTTTTCTTTTTTGGTTTTTTGAAACAGAGTTTCTCTGTGTAGCCCTGGCTGTCCTGGACTTGATCCGTAGACCAGGTTGGCCTCAAACTCACAGAGATCCACCTATCTCTGTCTGCTGAGTGCTGGGATTAAAGGCATGTGCCACCACTGCCTGGCTTGTTACTATTTTTTAATTTAAAAAATTGAAGGAAGTTCATTAAGTATAGAATGGTTCAAAATTGTTCCTCCAATCTAAAATTATTGAAGAAAGATTCTAGATTTGAAGAAACAGGGGCAGGAGAGATGACTCAGTACTAAGAGCACTGGTTGCTCTTCTCGAAGACCTAGGTTCAGTTCCTAGCCCTCATGTGGCAGCTCACAACCATCTGAAACTCTGGCCCTGGAAGATCTGGCATCTCTTATGACCTCTGTAGGCACTACATGCACACAGTGCATAGACATACATGCAGGCAAAATACTCACACACATAAAAATAAAGGAAAAAATTTAAAAACCAGATAACCATGTCCCCAAAATGAATGACACTGTTGATGTTTAACTTTGTACCAAACATTTCATTGGGAGACCTGTGGTTCAGAGGAGGGGGCTGCCTCCTTTGCAGAGTTTCTCCCCTCCCCATTCCAGAGCCCAGATCAGGGTGCTGGTCTGGAACACTTCTCTACCCACCTTCTGAAGAGCACTCATTCTCTGAGATCTGCAGGAGCAGCTCCTTAGATTTGGCGTTCAGTTCACTGTGGAAAGAATAAAGCCCTGTGAACCCTTCAAAGCTCAATGCTGTTGGGTTGGGTCCTCCCTCCAATGTATATATTTTGATTATGCAAAGGAACACAAGGCTGTCAGTCATTAAAGGCAGAATGCCTGCAGCCTGAAAGTTGAGAAATAGCCACTGATGCACCCAGGGATTAGCCTTTCAGAGCGGATCCATGGAACATCCTTCCGTGACAGAGGTAATACAGTAGCCAAGAGGCATATGATTGGTGGCCAGTATAGACTGAGACCTTGATTTCATTTGGTTAATTTCTATTAACTTAAAAGTCACATGTCACCATTACCATTTTAAAACAACTATGTATAATTAACTGAGTACAGAACACAGAATATCCAACAAGCCTCCCTCCTCCTTCCTAAGATACATTTTGCTTAAGATGCATGTAGTATTCCTGTTTCCATGGTATATCCACCATGACCTTTAACAGATTTAGGCGATTTCCTTGAGATATCACAGACTGCAGAACAACTGCATTTTTGACAAATGTCTAGTGCTCTGTTGCCTTGGCCTTAAGAAATTTTATTCAGCCAAGTCTTTACAGATGGACTGTTTAAAAATAGAGTCGTTGTTTCCAGAAAACAAACTGAGATTAATATCCTCACATAGTTGGAAGTCAGAGGAAAATTTGCTAGAATTGGTGCTTTCCACCAAGTGGGGCCTGGGACTTGAACTTAGGTTATCAAGTCTGGCAGCAGGTGTCTTTACCCACTGGACTATCTCACTGTCTCCCCTTCCAAGATCTGTCTGTCATTTCTTCTTCTTCTTCTTCTTCTTCTTCTTCTTCTTCTTCTTCTTCTTCTTCTTCTTCTTCTTCTTCTTCTTCTTCTTCTTCTTCTTCTTCAAGTTCACTAACCAGTTCTTTTAGATCAAAATCATCCCTGTCCTGATGCCAGTGGTCTGCTTCTGGGACTGATCATTCACGGTGAGATTTTAAACTCCTATTACGAGAGTTCATGAATTTGTCCTAATTAAGTGTTTCAAAACTGGGAACCAGTATTAAACACTACTGATTCTCTTTGGGGAAGATGTGAAGACTTTCTCTACAATCTAGTGACAAAGTGGAAGTTATTGACAGATTTTCTTATATCATTATATCAAGCCACCTTTACATTTCTGATGCAAACTCAAGTGGATTTATTTGTTATTTATTTATTTATTTATTTATTTATTTATTTATTTATTTATTTATTTCAGGCAGGGTCTCTACATGGTTCTGGCTATCCTGGAACTCAATATGTAAACCAAGCTGACCTTGAACTCACAGATATCTTTCTACCCCTACTTCCCAGATACTAGGATTAAAGGCATGCATTACCATACCTGGCTCCGATTTGTTTATTTATTTTTAATAGAATGGCTATTCAAACTTTTTTTAGATTTATTTATTCTATGTGTATGTATGTCTTGCCTGCATGTATATATACCATATGCATGCTTGGTTCCTGCAGAGGGCATCAATCCCCCAGAAAGTTTATGAGCTGCCATATGGGTACTAGGAACCAAACCCAAGTCCTTTGCAAGAGCAACCAGTGCCCTGACCAGAGCCACAGCTTCCAAATGGATGTATTTTAATGTATCATTGGATCCTATGTGATGACATATTAGTTAGGATCTGTACATTTTTATAAGTGGTTTACATGTCCCCCTTTTTCTATTTTTTCTCATCAGAGGTTGGTATCAGTTGGAGGTTTTCTTCCACGCTGTGTGGCTGGCTGCTAAGGAAAGCAGGGAATCCCGTAACAGGCCTTTATCACAACAGGGAAAGAGGAGAAAGGTGATCCCCAGAACTGCCTTAAAAAGAAGTCCATGTTGGCCACAGGGATGACTGTCTTTCAAAAACTCAGAATTTGTTTTCATTTCTTTAATTAATTTTCAGTATAAACAGTGCTATGCAATGACTCCAGGATCTCTCCATCTTGAGTAGACCTAGCTGTGGCCACCAGGCCCCTGGGGATGCAGGCTGTACTCACAAGGTGAATTCCTCTTCCCAAGTGAGGTCTGTAGTGTTTCTTACTAGGGTGCTGATGAACTGCTGTGCAGGATCATTCAGCTGGGCCACACACACATGGCTAATGCTACCTGTGATGAGACAAAGCAAGATTGTATTGGCTTTTATTTTTCAATTGCTTTAAAACTTTGCTTACCCACACAAGGAAGGGTAAATTAATTGACAAGAATCTCAGCTTACCTACACTTAAGAGAACTTTCTGTCATTTGCCATTTATACACACTCAATGCTAAGGCAATAACTTAGTGGTTACAGCCCTAGACTGACCCCAGTGTCCCACTTCCTTCCATCAGTTCATGAATTCTGGCAGGCAGGACTCTCAGGTATGGAGTCTCACCCAGAAGCAACATGCCCACGTGCTGAGGCTTGGCCCCACTTCTAGTCAAGACTGACAACCTGCTCAAAGGATGGCTGGTCCTAAGCTTAAATTGTGGCCAAATCTCACAGATAATCCATGCCCCACTTACAACAAGCAGGTGTTTTCATCCCTCATCTAATCCAAGGCCCTTCTGAGGTACTTACTTGATATAGGTACTGTGATATCTCACAGCTGTTCCTGCTCTGAGAAAAGGTTTCCTCTACAGCATCAGTCCTGAAGTCCTCTGTGTTTAGTAACTACTACAGAGCCTGACTCCTTACATCAGATCAGGGTAACTTTCACAGTCTTTTCTCAAGGGAAAACTCAGATCCATTTCCAGATGTGGACATCTTAGTGTGCATAGGGAATGGAATCTGATTTCATAGCATGTGTACCCCAAAAGCTGAGACCCTAGCCCTATCTGGTAGTCCTGCAGATCCCCTTGGCCACTAGTTGATACAGATGTGAAAGGCAACACGCAAGTATTTGCACCAAACCACCATCGATAGCCAGCTGTGTAGTTCAAACGAAGCCTTTCTATGCTTTGTAAACTGGGAGGAAGAACCTCTGCAAATAGTGACCAGCATTCCCAACTTTCTTAAACAATGACCAGAATCTCAGTTCTATTCTCATCAACATCAAGCTGCAATTGAAAAGTCACATCCTGCTTCAGACTGCTAAGCTTGGGGGTCCTTAGTGACCATCGAGAATCCAGGGCTCACAGCTGCCTTCTTCCCATCAGCAGCACCAGAGGCATCAGTAAGCCTAAACGCTCTGATGCCCCATCAGCCACCCTCATACCCCACTTTTTAAGGCAGCAGAAACTGCACTGCTCAGAGGTTCAGGGGTGCTCAACGTGAATTTATTGGCTCAGTTTAAAACAGAAAACTAGACTAGTATCTGTCAGACTGAAAACAAATAGAGCAACCATGACATTGCTCTCATGGACAGGAGTTTAGATTACAACATTTGCATATTTATGGGGTGCAGTGTGACACTTAGTGGCATGTATATCCTGTATAATGATCAGATTCTGTTACTAGCATTGCCACTGTTTCAAACATCTGCCCTTTCTCTGCATCTGGAACATTTAGAATTCTTTCCACAAGTTCTTTGGGTATGCATGATTGGCCATCACCAGCCACAGTTGCTTACTATGCTAAGGGGGTTACAGCTTGTGGCATCTGGACCCCAAGCCCATTAGCCAAAGACCAAGCCTTTCACTGTATTCCTGCCAAAGAAGGCAGGGGTCATACTGCTGACCCAACCAGGTTGCCATATGAGGATTCACCAGGCCGAGTCAAGGAAGGTCCCTCCCACAGCAGTGGCAAGTGCCATGAGGCCCTGGTGGCACCAGCACCCACCTGAAGCACCAGGGTGGGTTAGCAGGGAGACTCGGATATTCTTCACCTGCAGTTTTAGTTCATGAGCCCTTGGAGGTTTGGGAGGGCAGGGTTCCTGAGCAGTGGAGGAAGTGCACTGTAGAGTCTGTGGGGAGAAAAACAGGGTAACAGCTGTGAGGATGTGAGGGAATGGCCAGGGGCACTGGCTTCTATATGGGCAGTATCTTCAACACCAGTATCTTCAGGGATACCAGAACAGGGGACCTGACTTCTAGGATCAACTTAGAATTGACACTCATGTCTCATGGGAAGGTTCTGTTGCCTCAGAGGTGAGCCTTTTCTTTTTTTTTCCTTCCTTCCTTCCTTCCTTCCTTCCTAAAAGATTTATTTATTTATGTATATGTGTGCTCTGTTTTCATGCACATCAGAAGAGGAGTCAAATCCCATTACAGATGGTTGTGAGCCACCATGTTGCTGGGAATTGAACTCAGGACCTCTGGAAGAGCAGTCAAGCTCTTGACTGCTGAGCCATCTCTCCAGCACGTAGTGAGCCTTTTCTATCCCAAATGAAGAACCTGCCGATAGTGATGACCCTGTTCAAATTCTGCTTGTGGTCTACTTCCCAGCAAATGGATCCATGCTCAGACCCGGGACAGGTGCTTTAGACAGTGAATTGGTCTTCAGGCTGTGGTGAATGGCCATCAGTCTGTGATCACCTCTTGCCTCCAGGCAGAGCCCACCAGTTCCAGGAAGAACATCTATGGACCCCTGACATTGCACAAGTGAGGGACAAAAGCAGGTGCAGTCTCATCTCATTCTCAGAAGAGCACCAAGCACTGGCTGCCATGATGGTGCTCACAGGGGCTCTTAAATTTAGCACAAGAACCTAAGACCCCTGAAGGGTCTCTGAGAGGTGCTGGACAAACAGTGAAAGCCATGGAGGAGCTATCCGGGGTGCTAATTGGACTTGAGCTACTTCTTGGGGGATGCTTACTAACATCTCCAGAGACACTCATGGTAACACTCAGCAAACACTGTTCTGAACCAGGTTCTTCCCTGCTGTGAGTGAAGAATGGCAAAGGTCAGGAAGGACTGTAACACCCTTAAAGCACTGGGATGGGATAGAGATATGATACTTTGTCAGTTGTGTACGTGTGACTATTTTTTTCCTTTCTTTCCTGTGTATGCATACACGTATATATAAGTATTTACATGTTGGGGGATATTATTTTAATGTGTATTGCTGTGGATATCGCTTTATATAAATAAAGCACTGATTGGCCAGTGACCAGGCAGGAAGTATAGGCGGGACAAGGAGAGAGGAGAATTGAGGAAAGAGGAAGGAAAGAGAGTCCGGCTGGAGCCACCGCCAAGACAAGGAAGATGTAAAGTACTGGTAAGCCACGAGCCACGTGGCTAAGTAAAGATTAATAGAAATGGGCTGAATATAAGAGTGAGAGCTAGACAATGATAGACCTGAGCTAATGGCCAAGCAGTTTAAATAATGTAAGAGTCTGTGTGTTTATTTTATAAGTGGGCTCCGGGACTGGCGGGACTTGGTGGTGGGAGCTGGAGAAAAATTCTCCAGCTACAAATGGCGCCCAATGGCTCAAGTTTCCACCTTACACCTAACAATATTTAATAACCAATTCTAAACAGAGCCAAAACCAGGTTCCTGCTTCATGTCTCATATGGGCAGCTAGACGCCACAAAACGCGGGTTTGAGCTACTGGCAGGTTCCTGGCGTGTGCACTTGACCTACAGTATGGCGGGAATGAGACCTGTGCCAGCAGCACATTACGCTGTGTGGTAGATTTAGTCTTTACTAATAGAGAGAGAGAGAGAGAGAGAGAGAGAGAGAGAGAGAGAGAGAGAGGTTTCTGGGCTACACGCTGCTTTGATAAAAGCGTAGACCCACTATTTCTGAGACGTGATGGCTCCCAGAGCTGGCGGAACCGCCATGTTGGGAAGCTAAAGTGGGCGGAGCCAACAGCCACAGCGCTGTAGGCTTCAAAAAGAGATAAAAAGGAATATATACAGTTATATAAACAAATAGTTTTTAAAAGTAAAGTCTTTAAAGAAACAATAAAGGTAATAAGCCACGTAAAGATGGCTATCACACAGAGAATCTGGATTATGTTGTCTTTGATATTAGTAACTGAAGAAAAACATTTGATTGTAAAAGCTGTTCAGTTATGCCAAAATGTAAATTTTAAAGGTACCTTGACTTCAAAATTTGGATATAAGGATATGTTGCTTTGGAAAAGAGTCTCTGCTTTTGTTTCCACAGAAAGTCAGAGGCTATGGATTTGTTCCAGATTAAGATACATCAGGTTTGACCAGCCAAGACCCCCTGAAAGGTCTCCAGTGACACCATGGCCCAGATGATCCAACATCCGGAACGGTTTCAGGCAACTGGCTCAGATGATACACCCTCATGGACTACTCCATAATCCTAAAATTTTCTTTGTGTCCCCATAGATACAGCGCCCCCCTCCAGCAGGAAGTAGTAAGAGAAGCTACGCCCAAATCCCCAAATATATCAAGCTGGCTTTAGAGATGGAATTGGCTCACTCCCCCTCTAAACCCAGACATATTACTTAAAAAAAAAAAATGGTTAAGAGATTCTTGTGTCCCAAATCAGAAGAGCCCTCTGGTGTGGGACAGAGAAAAACCAATATTTTTATTTAAAACAGGTTGATTATAAATACAATCTCTTTCTAAAGAAAAAAAGGGGATAGTTTAGATATGATAGGATAAAAGGATAGATTAATGAACCTATTTTTAAAGAGTAACAACTTGTTTAAAATGCTTTACATTGCTATAGATTTGAGTTTATTGATACAAATTTAAACTTAATTTTGTTATACTGTATATATATTTCTATTCTTGTGTGAGGTATTATGTTTATGTAACTCATTTAAAATTGTAATGGATAATTAAAAAATAGATTAATAATTATTCATCTATGATAATCATATTTGTAGCCATGTTAGTTAAGTCTTCTAGGTATACATAGATATATTTCAGATAGGTAGTCTTCAAACACTTCAAAGACCTACAGAATATGGCATTTAAAATGTTTTAAAAATTTAGACTTTCTGGACAGTGAGACATGTCTGCTCCTGACAGCACCAATTTACTTCAGAGAAGAGTATGGGCATCAAAGACACTCCATATGGAGTTTATCTTCACCTTGACAAAAATAGCCATTTGGACAAGAAACTGTTCTTGCCTGGACTTCTTGATCAACTTGACATACAGGACCCATAGAAAGGTAACCACTGAACTTTGCTTGACAAAATGGTCCTTCAGGTTCCTGATTTACAGAGAAAACTACAAGACATTCTACAGGACACAAAAAAAAGTGAATGAGAGACTCTAGGCCTGCGGGCTGAAGACTAATGCCCCAACTTTACAAGAAAACTTTGAATAACTGTCCAGGCTGTCAGCTGTCTCTGTCTACCCTACAAGACTCCTGAAAGTTGCTTGCATCCTTTTCCCATTTCTCAGGTAGTATTATATCCTTCTGAGGTCTTTGATGTGGTTAAAGACTAGATACTTACAATTTTCCTTAGTTATGATAAAAGATAAGTTAGATATAAAACCTTAAACTCACAAATATAAGATAGATATCTTCTTTTATATTATAACTATAATTCTTACTCGATAATTATTTTGTTATATGTAATATTACTATGTTGAAGTTAAAACCTTCCTTTTTGAAAAAGAAAAAAAGGGGAAGTGCTGTGGATATCGCTTTATATAAATAAAGCACTGATTGGCCAGTGACCAGGCAGGAAGTATAGGCGGGACAAGGAGAGAGGAGAATTGAGGAAAGAGGGAGGAAAGAGAGTCCGGCTGGAGCCACCGCCAAGACAAGGAAGATGTAAAGTACCGGTAAGCCACGAGCCACGTGGCAAAGTAAAGATTAATAGAAATGGGCTGAATATAAGAGTGAGAGCTAGACAATGATAGACCTGAGCTAATGGCCAAGCAGTTTAAATAATGTAAGAGTCTGTGTGTTTATTTTATAAGTGGGCTCCGGGACTGGCGGGACTTGGTGGTGGGAGCTGGAGAAAAATTCTCCAGCTACAGTGTATTACTTTCATTTATGTTGCATTTAACTCTGTGAAGCTGTGTTACTGTGTCTGTCTAAAACACCTGATGGTCTAATAAAGAACTGAACAGCCAATGGCGAGGCAAGAGAAAGGATAGGTGGGGCTGGCAGGCAGAGAGAAGTAGGAGAAATTTGGAAGAAAGGAAAATCAAGGAATACAAGAGGAAGGAGGAGGACTAGAGGGGCCAGTCACCCAGCCACCCAGCTACACAGCCAGACATGGAGTAAGAAGGAAAGACAAGGTATACAGGAATAGAGAAATACAAAAGCCCTGAGGCCAAAGATAGACAGGATAATTTAAGTTCAGAAAAGCTGGCTAGAAATAAACCAAGCTAAGATCGGTCATTTATAAGTAATAATAAGCCTCTGTGTGAGTGATTTATTTGGGAGCTGGGTGGTGGGTCCCCCAAGAGAGCAAAAACAAACAACATTTACATGTGTGTGTGAACATGGACATGTCTGTGCATATGGAAGCCTGTGGCTGTCAGCAGGTATAATCCTCAATCACTCTACACCTTATTCACTGAGGTAGGATTTCTCCATTGAACATGAAGCTCACCAATACAGCTAGTCCAGCCAGCCAGCTTGCTCCAGGATCCCCTGGTCTCAGGCTTCTGAGGCTAGAATTAGGGTCAGACTACCATGCCCACCTGGCATTGACTTTGGGTTCTAGGGATCCAAATTCCAATCTCCATACTGGCACAAGTGCTTTAACCACTAAGCTATGAGGGTTCAACTTCTGGGCCATAAATACCCAGGTACTCAGTCAAACACCATTCTGGGTATTTCTATGATGGTGGTTTGAGATGAGTTCAATTTTCAGGACAGATATTTTTTTTGTGTGTGTGTTAACCACATTGGCCTCAGACTCATTATGTAGTGGAGAATGACCTTGAATTTCAAATCCTCTGGCCTCTACCTCCTGAGTGCTGGTATTACAGGCACGTGCCACCATGCCTGGTGTATATGGTTTAGAAATTGAATCCAGGACTTCATGCATGCTGCATGCTAGGCAAGCACTCTTCCAACTAAGCTATAGTCCAAGAGATCAACATTTAAACGGACAGACTGAGTAAAGTAGATGGCCATCCCTAATAGAGTGAGTGGGCTTTATCCCATCAGTTGAAGGTCCAAGTAGAAAAATGAGCCACCTTTAAATGAAAAAGAATTCCTCCTTCCAGATACATCAGCCAGGCCATGGTCTTTTTCTGCTTTTAAAATCAAACAGAAACACTGGTCCTCCTGGGTTCGAGCTCTGAGCCTCTGGTCAGTCTGGACTGAGGCCAAACCATCAACTCTCCTGGTTTTCAAAGCTTCAGACATGGGCTAGAATCATACCATGTATGTATCAGTCACATCTGTGGTGATATTTTGTTTGTGCTCTCACAAATAAAGCTTGCCTGGAGATTGGAGTGTGGAGCTAGCCACTAGAGCCCAGGCAGTAGTGGCACACACCTTTAATCCCAGCACTTGGGAGGAGGAACCAGGAAGTGATATGGCTGGGTGGAGACAGGAAGTAAAAGTAGGGTAGAAACAGGAGCCTGGCCCTTTCAGGCTGAGGATTTGGTAGAGGTAAAAAGTCTCTCTAGTGGCTGACTCCTTTACTGATCTTTCAGCATTTACCCTAATATCTGGCTCCAGGTTTTTATTATTAAGACCAATTAGGATTCGTGCAACAATGTTATAACATATCTTATAAATCTCTCTCACCCCCATGCCGAAGTGCTCAATTTCTCTAGAGAGCCCTGCCATGGGTATAGTACTTAATGAAACTGAACAATTTCATTTTAGAATGTGATTGGATATGATAACATAGGCCCCCCTTTTTTTAATGTGTGTTCTGAAAATACAATACTATTTTGTGAACTGTCTCCAATTTTGATAAATTTATGGTCACCAATACCCTCTGCTTTTCAAGAATCCACCATTAGCAGGATTACTGGGAGATGCAGTGGCTGAGGCTGCTCCAACCTCTGTATGACTGACTCCAGGAAAGGCTGAACCTGCTCCTCACGCCTTATGCCTCTGAGAGACCCTGAGGGAAGTCTATAATCCCCTGCTGTTCTCATCTGCTAGCTGAGCTATGCCTGCCACCCTGTAAGCAAAGTAAGGTAAAGATGACTTCTCATATCCCTGTGACTCTAGTCAGCTAGAATTTAGCACCAAACACTATCACCAGCTAAGAGTGTCTGATGAATGGTGCAAAGCAAGGGACCATAGCTTCATCAGAAGAGCAATAATGAGTGGCCTGGCAACCTCTCTCACCATGGAGCTCTCATCTTGAGGCTCTATTCTAATACTGCGGACAATATCTGCCTGTGCAATGTCAGCCCTACCATCAGAAGTGAAGGCACCAAACACAAGCTCGGAATTGTCTGTGTCCTGTGAACTGGGCTTACCTGAGCTTCTTTGACCCGTGTGGGCTTGGTGCTCAGAAACACAGATGGAGAAGCAGCACTAACTAGGTGCTTGAAAAGATCCTCAAGGGCTTCAGAAAGCATGTTTACCTCGAGTGCCTGTTTCTGGAGAGAGACAGGTCATCAGATCATTGCACGCCAGATGCTAAACATTACAACATCAGACCTCATTAAGCAACCTTGGTGTTGTTAGGACTGCAACTGTCCTGCTGGCCCATGACAGGCTAGGAACAGCAGCAGCTGCCTCCAAGAGCACAGCCAGTGAGAAATTGGAGAACTCAGTTCATAATGAACCAATTGTGCCAACAACTATGTGAGGTTGATGAGTCCCCTGAGCTGCAGAGAAGCACAGCCCAGCCAAGAACTTGATGGCAGGCAGAGAGTCAGGGCTTAGGACCAGACAAGGTGTACAAAGACTCCAGACCCCAGAAACTGCACAGCAATAAACATGCTGCTTTCAGCTGTTGGATCTATTGATTGTAGATGTCTTGGTTATCTGGTTTGTTGCTTCAACAAAAGCAACTTAAGGAAGAAAGGGTTCCCTCTGGCTCATGGTTTTTAAGGCACAGTCTTTCACAAGTTCAAGGCCAGCTTGGTCTACAGATCAAGTTCCAGGGCAGCCAGGGCTACACAGAGAAACCCTGTCTTGAAAAACAAACAAATAAATAAATAATCAAGATTCTGCAGCTCAGATATCTCCCATATTCAAGATTTCAAGGTCCCAGCACCCCATGTGGAGCCTGTGAAGGGACCAAAACAAGCTCTCTGAGACTCATTCTGCACTATTTCTAGCTGGGTACTAGTGCAGATACAGTACCCACTCATGTGTGCAAGGTTCTGTTCTGTGCAGCAGAGTGCTATAAACCAGAGGTTATCAACCTGTGGGTTGTGACCCCTTTGGGGTTGAATGACCCTTTCACAGGTGTGGCATATCAGATATTTTGCATATTGGATCTTTACATTATGATTCATAACAGTAGCAAAATTACAGTTATGAAGTTAGCAACAGAATAATTTTATGCTTGGGGTCATCACAACACAAGGAACTGTGTAAAAGGGTCATAGCATTAGGAAGGTTGAGAACCACTACTATAAATGTTTTTAGTGCACAGGTTTTGGATTTTATTTTATTTTATTTTTCAGTATTAGAGATAGAGCCAAGGGCTTTGCCTATACTGGGCAAGCATTCTATTAGTGGAATACATCCCCAATGGATGTTGGGTTTTTTTTTTTTTGGTTTTTCGAGACAGGGTTTCTCTGTGTAGCTTTGCGCCTTTCCTGGGACTCACTTGGTAGCCCAGGCTGGCCTCGAACTCACAGAGATCCGCCTGGCTCTGCCTCCCGAGTGCTGGGATTAAAGGCGTGCGCCACCACCGCCCGGCTGGATGTTGGGTTTTTAAGACAAAATCTCACTGTGTATCCCAGGTTGGCCTTAAACTCATGATCCTCCTGCTTCTGCCTTCCACAGGCTGGGTTAACAGGTCTATGGCACCACAGTCGGTTTTAAAGAATTAACTTTTAAAATCTCCATTAATGTGAAGGATAACTTGGTCTCCTTAAGTCTTGTTTCAGTATTATAGCTTTGGTTTTCACTCTTGAGGAAAAGGGCCGGGTGGATATTTGCTAAGATGACAGGTCTCACTCTGCGGGAAGCCCATGCATCCATGCCATCCTTCTGAGTTCTGGAAGAGAAGCTGTGATGATCAAGCTCTGCCAAGATCTAACACCTTAGTTCTAATTGCTGTGGTGCGCAGCTTGAAAGCACCTTGGGTGTCATTTCCCCTCACTGTGGACCCCATCTGGCTGTATAGGCAAGGCCCTTATAGGCACTGGTTCCCACTGGCTTATAGGACACTCACAACTTGTACAACAGGAACTGACTTTAGAAAGCAGACTGGAGTCATCTGTGTTGTTGTAAGACAACTGGCTGCCTGCCCCCTGTTTAATCAGGCATCCCTATAGTGAACTTGGCTTGTATCTATTAAAAGTGGACCTGAATCTCTAAAATATAAGGTCTCTAAATGCCATATAGTCCATAAATAGGAGAGCCAAAGAGTCAAATCCAAGTGGCTAAAATAGTTAAGGGCCTGTGTTTTGAACCAAGAGGCCATCACCTACTCCCTCAATGGTTCCTTGATAACCTAGCTTTCATTTTTAAGTTAAAGTCACACAATATAGAATAACTACTTAAATGTACATTTCACTGTTCTTTTGTACATACACAGTACTAAGCATCCACTACTTAAATATGTTCTCAATCTTCTCACTGCTCCCTAAAGATGAACCCCAGACTCCATCCTATCAGGAGTCATGTCCCCAACCCCTGGCATCCATCTTTCTTTCTTTGTGGATTGCCTTTTCTGGACTGGGTGGGTCATGAAGACACACGTCTCTTGAATCAGGCTTCTTTTATCGTTTGTAAGGCTAATCAGGATACAGCGTGCACCAGCAAGTCACCCCGTTTCTGGTTGAATAATACCACACAGTATGGCTTTGCCTTATGTTGGGCTCTTGTTTCTCTGACTGACCTGCACAATTGCTTCTCACTCAGTACAGGAACTCTGGCCTGATGGTTGCCATCTCAGGAGTGGTTGCCAGGGCAACCTCCTTTCACAGGCCCTGTCCCCACTGCTATTCTTATTCACTAGGGAGCTGTGGATCTGCCACTGAGCCACAAAGTAGTCCCCAGAAGCCTCCATAGAGAAATCTATAGGGTGCCTAGAGGATGAAGAACAGGAAGTACAGGTAGCATGCTGCTGGCTGGGTACAGGAGGAAGAATGAATGAGGTCATCTTTGTAAAAAGACAATGGCATAAGTCACTTTGTGCAGGTATCAGTAAGGCCAAATGGAAGGAACACAGCTTTTCCCCAGTCTGTCAGTGGTGCTGACTTTGGATCAAATTTTCTTTCTTTTTTTAAAATTTAATGTATTTATATTTTATGTATGTGTACTCTGCATGAATACCTACATGCCAGAACAGGGCAACAGATTCTATTATAGATGGTTGTGAATTGAACTCAGGTTCATGGGGTGGCTGGGAATTGAACTCAGGACCTCTGGATGAGCAGCCAGTGCTCTTAACCACTGAAGCATCAAATTTTCAACAGTCAAAAATATATACAAGGGTTGAAGAGAAGGCTCAGTAGTTAAGAGCACTGGCTGTTCTTCTGGAGGACCTATTTGATTCCCAGCACCCAGAAGATAGTTCACAACCTTTCCTAACTTCAGTCCCTAGAGATTCAGTGCCTTCTTCTGGCCTCTGCAAGCACTGCACACACATCATACACAGACACACATGTGGGCAAACCAAATTACATAAAAAATAAAATAAATATGTAAATCAACAAAGATGGGGAAATTTTATACCTGAACATTTACTGAGGCAAATGAATCAATATCAGATTGGTAACACAGTTACCCATGGGAGAAATGACTCAAGGAATCCCACAGAATGGTGTCCTTCTTTGCATTAAGAAATTCAGCATGGCTGAGCTTGCCTGTGTGTACTGCAGGCATGGACACATGATGCCATCATCAGAGAAGCAAACAGCAAAAAGAAAGAGAAGGAAGGGCTGCCCCACCCCAAATCATTCTCTATTCCTCCTCCTTCCTTTTGCTATTTGCTTCTCTCAGACAATGATATCATTTGTGGGCCTGCAGTCCACCAGACAAGCCCTGACATGTTCAATCTCTTCTACTGAGAAGGAGACCATTCTGAGTTCAAGATTCCTTGAGTCATTCCTCTCCCACCCCCGTAGCGGTGTTACCAATCTGATATTAGTTAGTTAATTTACCTTAGTCAGTAGTGTGTGTGTATGTGTGTGTGTGTGTGTGTGTGTGTGTGTGTATGTGTGTGAAACTTACCAGCTCAAACCAAATCAAAGCCAAACCAACCAAACCCACACACTGCATACATCTATGTCAAAACATAAAGCCTAAAATACTGACAGGACTGGGGTGGAACACTTGTTTAGCATGTTCAGGGCTCTGGGTTCCATTCCCAGCATCAGAGAAAAAAGACAAAAGAGAAACGAAGGAGGAGAAGGAAAGTCTTTATTAGCAAACATACTACAAGGCCCACATAGCTCTGCTGTGATGAGGCTCAGTGGCTGGCCTAGTTGAAACAGAGCAGAACTACAAGGGAATTTTGTGAAAGCCACAGAAAGGATTCCAGGTCCAGCAAAGAAAAGTGACTCCAGGGCACTTTTCACACGCACTCACTGCACCCCAGTTTCTGTCCTCATATGCTGAGGTCCCAGAAAGTGGAAAGGCAAGTATCCTCTCCATCAAAGCTGTCCCCACAGCGCCCTGTCTCTTGTGGCCTAGGTCAGCATGGGGAGAATGGCTGGCAGGGGCTGCCCACCTTAGAGATGCCCAATTTGAGACATGCTCTAGCCATGCATCCTTAAACCAGTGAAAGAATGACAAAAACTTACGGACTGACCTCCCCTGGGGCCTGGGGCTGGATCTTGATGGCTGTTTCTGGTGTATGGGTGAACGACCACCTGATCTGAATGTCCTCTCTCTTCTCTTCCATGTGAAATTCCATCTATGAGAACAAACCACCAAGAAACAGTTATTGGGTAATTGAGCTCTTCACTTGAGCCTTAATTAACTCATGTGTGCATGCATATGTGCCATGTACATGCACATTTTATGTATATGTGCTGTATGTGTGTGCATACTGCATGTGTGTACTATGTCTGTATGAGGTGTGCATGTATATTATATGTATATGTTGTGTGTTGTGTACATGTGCACTGGTGCTCTCTGTGTATTCATTTTTTAAGATTTATTTTTATTTTATGAGTTTGCTGGTTGATTTTTGTCAACTTGGCCCAAACCTAGGCATACTTTGAAATGCCCGCATCAGATTAGCCTATAGGCAAGCCTGTGGGGATTTTGGTTAAAGATTGATGTGGGAGAGCACAGTTCATTATGGGTAGTGCTACCCCTGGGTAGGTAGTCCTGGGTTGTATAAGAAAGCAGGCTAGCAAGCCATGGGGAGCAAGCCAGTAAGCAGCACCCCTCCATAGCCTCTGCATCAGCTCCTGCCTTCAAGCTCCTACCTTGAACTTCTACCCTTACTTCCTTCAGTGATGGAATGAGATTCCTTAGTTGGATGCCTTTATTTTCCTGGAAAGACAAAAACAAAACCCTGCCCCAACCCTAACTTTGGGGAAAATTTCCTTTTTGGCAAGTTATATCAATCAAATGAAAGGCATTTGTTAGTCTTATACATTAGTTTAGATTGAATGTCATGTTGTTTGATGAACTATTGCCTCTTTTAATCAAGAGGTCTCTCCTGTTCAAATCTTATCTTTATCAATTTTGATGATAACCATAGCCTCTCTCCTCCTGTGGAAACAAAAGCAAAACCCCTTCCCCAATGTAATACATATCCTAGTTTCCATTCTGAGGTCATCACATCTTTAAAGTATACAGGCTGATATAAGTCAGCAGTTTTTTTCTATTATCCAATGCCTCTCCGCAACTATTGTTCCTTTCTTATTAGCATTAAAAAATGAAGTTAATAAAGCATTGTTCAATCTGTCTCTGGGGGTCTTTATTACCCTTTTCTGTTTATTAAGCATATCTTTTAAAGTGAGATTAGATCTTTCTATAACTGTTTGCCCTGTAGGGTTATATGGTGTATCTGTAATATGCTTTATGTTATAATATACAGAAAACTGTTTAATTTTACTAGAGACATATGCTGGAGTACTGTCAGTCTTAATTTGTACAGGTATCACCATGGTGGCCATAACTTCTAATAAATGTATAATTATAGAATCAGCCTTTTGCCCATTGAAATCCTGAATATGTATCTATGGCATGGTGTACATACTTTAATTTTCTGAACTCTGCAAAATTAAACACATCCATTTGCCAAATTTCATTTCTTTGAGTACTTCCTGCAGCTAGTAGAGTTTAGTTTTACAAAGAACAAGTAGGACATTTCCTTATAATTTCCTTGGCTTGTTGCCAAGTGATGGAAAAAATCTTTTTTCAGATCACAGAGTTGTAAGCTAGAATGAACCCTCTCCTCCCCAAGTTGCTTTTAGTCATGGTACTTTATTACAGCAATAGGAAAGTAATTACAATAATGTGTATGAGTTGCCTGTGTGTATGCTTGGAGCCCCTGGAGGCCAGAAGAGGTGAGATGGCCCCTAGAACTGCAGTTATGAAAGATTGTAAACTACCATGAGGATGCTAGAAACCAAACCCAGGTCATCTGCAAGAACAGCATGGACTTTTAACTACTGTCCCAGCCCCTTGTGTGTGTTCCTGTAGTCACTTGTTCTTACAGACAATGGCTCAGCTTTTGCCTTGGTCTACAATGTTCTTTCAGAATGAATGTGAAGACCTCCTCCCAAACTCCTTTCCAGCCTCTCGTCTGCCCAGGCAGTCCCCCAGGCCAGGTGTCACTGACACTCTGCAGCCTTATTTAAATAAGGAATTCACTGTGCTCTGTGCTTCTCTTTCTGTCATGAAGGCATAGGAGAGTGGAGAGAGAAGGGACCCAGGACACTTGTCTTCAGTGCTGGGCATGGCCAGTGCCCGTGTTCAAATGTCTCTAGGACTATATATGGAACTCTTGCCCCTCTCACCTGAGCCACTCCAGCAGCCTCAGCTGGTCTCCTATATTGAATAGTCCTACTCATGTAGAGGTGGCAGAATCATGGAAACATGGCCAGGCCTTCATCCTGGAGCCTTATATATAGGGCCAGACATAGTAAAAGGGACTTGGTAGGTGTGATTAGGGTCTGGACCTTAAGGTGGTGAGAACATCTTAATGTCTCCAGATTACCAAAAGCAATTATAAGCATCCTTAACACTAAGAGAGCCTAGCAGGAGAATGGTCCAATAGGTATGGTTTGAGGACTACACCCATGGTGACTGAGCTGAAAAAGTATAAGGCACAGTGACCAAGCAAAGAGTGAGGTGGTTGGTATATGAGCTCTTTACAGCTAATGTATAGCCAACAGGAACATAAGCCTGCAGTCCTATAACCCTCAAGGTCCTATTGAACAAGGCTATCTTCAGAGTCAAGCTGCCACCATTTTCATCATCTGTATCTGCTTGCAAAAGATCATCAAAGCTGGGCTTGCAGAATGCTGACATTTCCTCATAGGAGAGGCGGGGTAGGTTACAGGACCCTCACTCAATATCTAGTTACTTCTCCAAACCAGTTATACATAATTCCGTCCTAATTCCACATGGCCTCAGAGAGTATATAGGCTGAGAGGAACTAGAGAAGGGGGCTCTCCATTTATAGCTGTAGGGAGTCATCATCCATGCTGGGTACAGACCTTACATGTTCTGAGTCATTTTCATGGTGGCTTACAGTTTAAAGATGATGAATGACCTGACTAATAATTAATAAGAACATGAGACTCAGAACTCTGTAACTCAGCATGGATGAATCCTCCCTGTGTCCCTCCTATGGCAGGGAACACAAAGTTATATCTACCATGTATGGTGGTATTGTGTTCCCCAAAATATTGTGCACTCTAATAAACAAATCTGGGGTCAGAGACAGAACAGCCACAATATTAAACATAGAAGTTAGGCAGTGATAGCACATGCCTTTAATCCTAGCATTCCAGAGGCAGAAATCCATGTGTTCAAGGATACAGCCAAGCATGGTGACTCACGCCTTTAATCCCAGAAAGCGAGCCTTTAATCCCAGGGAGTGATGGCAGATAGCAGAAAGGTATATAAGGCGTGAAGACTAGGAACTAGAAGCATTTGGCTGGTTAAGCATTCAAGCTTTTAGGTTTTGAGCAGCACAGTTCAGCTGAGAGCCATTCAGATATGAGGACACAGAGGCTTCCAGTCTGAGGAAACAAGATCAGCTGAGAAGTTGGCGAGGTGAGGTTAGCTGTGGCTTGTTCTGTCTCTCTGATCTTCCAGCGTTCACCCCAATAACTGGCCTCAGGTTTGATTTTATTAATAAGACTCTAAGATTCCTGCTACAACCATGGATTTCTTGTGACTGACAGCATCTACACAGCCTTACCTTTAAATGAAATGGTGAAAGCCGGACGTCATACAGCTGGCATTCTGAACTGGTTGTGGAGGCAGGCCCTGCACTGACCAAGAACTGAAGGGTCTCACCCACCACATGACAGATCACCACCTGGAGAGACAGGGTACATGGGATCTTCAGAGGACAGCAAGGACAGTTCTTACCATAGACACCTTCATTTCGCTGAATAACCTAGACTTTCTATGTTATCAAGGAAAGAACTTTGAGTCTCAATCTTGGATAAATACTCAGATGCACATCTTTTCTACCATGAAACAATTAAAAAAAAACTAGACACTGCCTCAGACACTTAAATTCCTGATGGATTCTCAAGATCCAAGTTCTGTCCTGCTTAAATCTAGTTGTCATGCTTTTTCCATATATAATGAAGGTTTTTTTTTTTTCCTTTAAAAAATCACCGTTATGTATTTTTCCCCAATGGCTGCTTTCAAATTACCAAGACAGGGCCAATGAGATGGATCACCACATAAAGGCACTTACCACCAGGCCTAAAAACATGAGTTCCATCTTCAGGATTGACAAGGTGTAGGTAGAGAACCAACATCTACTTGTTGCTGTTGCAGGATATTTGATCATACTGTGACATCCGGAGATGGAGTTAATAAAGTTAACCTTGAATCAGGGGGCAGAGCCAGCTACTAGCTGACCAGAATTAGCCACAGAGAAGCCAGAAATATGGATAGAGAAGACACACAGGAAGGAGCAGGGAAGGACTTAGAGATTTCATGGATCTGGGAAGTGTGTAGAGGTTAGCTGGTTACTCCTCTGCTGCTTATCTATCAGATTTTCACCCCAATACTTGGCTCCCGAGTCTTTATTGGTAATAGAACTTAGATAAACACATCAAGTTGCCTCTGACCTACACACACACACACACACACACACCACACACACACACACACACACACACCACACACATCACACCACACACAAATAATAAATGAACTTATTTTTTAAGCCCTAGACATTTGTACCCTCATGTAGAGAAAAGCCATTTGCTGTCTTTTGCTAAAAGTAAGCCTTTAAAAGAAAATAAGTCAATGATGGACTGAGTGGGATGAGACCCACAAGCAGGCCTGTGGCGGACCACCTTGGGCTCCGAGGAAAAAGCATAGTCCTGGCCAGTACCATGACAGAGTGGGTGAGACAAGGAGACCCACACACAGGTCCAGGGCAGTCTTCCCAGGGCTCCAAGGAGAAAACATGGGCCCACCTGGCACTTTGTGGTGCTAGTCAGATTTGCACTATTATGTATGGTGTGGTATGGTAGAAAGAGAGAGAGAGACAGAATGGTTCATGTCCTGTGGACAGAGACATACCTGAAGAGATAAAAGCAATGAGTAATGGGCTCATGTGGGTGGCCTGATTGCCACCCAGGGCCATGTGATATCTGGGCCTGGGCTGCTGCTGGGTCCCATGTCTGGGTTCATGGCCCTGATACAGCCATAGTCTGTGTTGATGTCCATGGCTCCTGATGCCACTGAAGGCTGAGAGGATAGAGCTGTACAGAGTTTGCTCTGTCCCCTCACTGGCAGCAACACTAGAGAACTGAGTGGGGGACCTCACTCAACCCCTCACCAGCTGCAGCACTTGGGAGAACAGGCCCTGTGCCTCACCTAGGCACCACAGTAGAGTTGACCCTGTAGACAGGGGCACGGGTGAGCCAGCCCTGAGGGTGTGAGAGGGGCATAGCTGGTACGCCTCCCTCATCTGTGGTGTGTGGTGGGGGCAAAGGAAAAATGCACTCCCTGCTCGCCCCTGCTGCCTCCAGCTGGTGAGGGAGCTGACCCTTTACCAGCTGCAACACTGCAACCAGTGGGCCCTTCATCTTGTCTGGGCAGTATAGCAAAGCTGACTCTGTTGAGTGTGTGTGTGTGTGTGTGTGTGTGTGTGTGTGTGTGTGTGTGTGCGTGCGTGTGTGAAGAGCTGCCTGAGAACGTGAGCGTGAGAGATCTGGCCCTGCCCCTCATCTGCCATATGGCAGTATGAGTTGGGGAGAGCTGTCCTTCCTCTACCTCTCTATGCCTGAGGTATGTGGGAGAGCTGGCCTTGAGGTCTAAAGAGCAGGAGAGCTGCCCCTGCCCCTCACCAGCTGCAGCACCTGTGAGAGCAGGTTCTGCACCCTGTCTGGACAGCACAGTAGAACTTACCCTGTTGTTGGAGGCATGGGTGTGCCAGCCCTAAAGTTGTGAATGTGGGAGAGTTGTCCCCACTACTCATCTGTCATGCAGAAGTGTGGGTGGGGGAGAGCCCCTCGCCCTTCAACTCTCACCACCTGTGACAGATTATGAAGCTGACCCTCCCCCTTATCAGCTGTAGCATTCAGGAAAGTGGGTTCTGCTCCTCACCTGAACAGCACAGTAGAGCTGACCCTGTTGGTGGAAGCACAAGTGAGCTGGCCCTGTGGCCCTGAGGGTGTGAGAGTGAGATAGTTGGCCACACCCCCTTGTCTGCCATGTGGTGGTGAGGGAGAGGGAAAGATGCCCTCCCCTTTGCCTCTACCACCTGTGGTGGGTGAGGGAGCTGACTCTCTCCTTTACTAGCAGCAGCACTCTGGAAGGTGGGCCCTGTACCTTACCTGGGCAGCAAAGTAGAGCTGACCCTATTCACCAAGGTGCAGGTGAACTGGCCCCAAGAAAGTGAGCATGGGAGATCTAGCCCTACCCCTCATCTACCATATGGTGGTGTAGGCAGAGGAGAGATGTCCCCCCCACACCCTTCACCACCTGTGGCAGGTGGAAGAGCTGGCCCTGAGGTCATAATAGTGTGAGAGCTGTCCCTGCTCCTCACCAGCTGCAGCACTTGGGAGAGTGGTCCCTGCACCTCACCTGGGCAACACAGTAGAGCTGGCCCTGATAGTGTAGGTGTGGGATTGTTGGCCCTGCCCTCTGCTTATCACTGCAAAGGGTGAGCTAGCCAGGTCAATGCTGGAGAACTCACCCTGGTGGTGAGGACAGGGAAAGCTGGTGGGCAGACCAACCCTGCAACTACCCAGGCCCAGAACCAGGGTTATGAGTTGGCCCACCCCAACATTCATCCCATCTGTGATCTACTGGAGCATGTGAAGGGGCCAGTCCTGCAGACTCAAAGCTGTAGGATCTCCATAACATAGGGAAACAACAGGATATCCAAGAGGAGTCTCAGTAAGGGCCCAGCATTGGTAGTGTAGCAGAAACCAGAAGCCTTGAACCAGACCAGTGACTCTTTGCAATGAACACTAGCAAGTAAAGACATATGGATAAGAGGGTTTACTGTGTGACTCACTGCATCACACTACAGCTTCCATGATGAGATTGATTTTCCTTTTTTTTCTCTTAAATTTTATTTTATTTCATTTTGCAGGGGAGGTTGCAAGGGCAGAGGAGGGATACGAAGGGATAGGGAAATGAAAGAGATTGAGATGCCCGATGTGAAAGACACAAAGAATAAATAAAAAGTAAAAGAAGAAAAAGAAAAAAGAATATAAGTCATAGGTATTAAAAGTAAAAATTTAAAAATTAGCCAGGCGTGGTGGCACACACCTTTAAAACCAGCACTCAGGAGGCAGAGGTAAGTGGATCTCTGAGTTTGAGGCCAGTCTGGTCCATAGAGCGAGTTGCAGGACAACCAGGGCTACACAGAGAAACCCAGTCTCAAAAAGCAAAAAAACAAAACAAAACAAAAAATTTAACATGCATTGATGAAGAAAAATATTAAAGATTTATCCAGTACATAAAATTTATTTCTATACAAATAATTTCAACATATTATTATTTTTTAATGTTAGAATAATTTTAAAATATACATATTAAGTAATTATGAAATTAAATAAGTCTAACAAAAATAGAATTACAACATGAGCTCAAATATAAAATGAACTTGTATTTTAGAACAAAGTTCTAGAAGACAGAGATAAGTAATTATATCAACAATAAACCAAACCACAATCTAATATGTCATAAGGCACTTCAGAGGGGTGATTTTTATGAATAATGCAGTGTTTTTTGGGGGAGCAGATCTTATAAGTTAGACTCCAGCCAGGCCTGGTAGAACCCTGGGCATGCCCAGTGTACACCTAAATACCAAGGCTAGATGCCAGGTATTTAGGGGCTGCAGCAACAGGGCTTGCTGGGTATTACACAATAGGGTGGCTAGGCAGCCTAGAAGCTGGCAGTGAGCCACTGGAAGTCTGAAGATAACACAGGATAGACCTCTGCCTTCCCCCAAGGAATGATTGACCCTAACCCTGAGGTTCACTTTGGGAGACAGAAAAGTTTTTAATTCTCTGGCGTATTTCTCAGAATCTAACACACAAAGCAGAAAGATTATGAAAATAAATACTTTGCTAGGCCTGATTCACAAGGTTCAGAGCTAGGCCATCCACCTCCTCTCTTCTCTCATCCCTGGCCTCCCATACACAGCTCTCTTCTGCCACCACTCCCCTCCCCCAACACACATACTCTAACATAACCTTTGTGTGCTCTGAGCCCCATTAAGGTAGGTTCTGTAATCTAGGAGTCCTGAGTACACAGGCCTAGCGCTAGTTTACCTAAAAAAACTACCTTGCTTCTCAATTCTAGAAGAAACTGGTTCATCTTTCTCTCATCCATTTCTGTGACACTGCTCTCAAAAGATGGATGACAGGGACTAGTATGTCTTCCCCATCCCCAGAGTTCACAGAGGGTTGGAACAAAAACAAAAAAAAAATGTTTGGATAAGAAATGTTGCTGATTCATGTTAAAAATAAATGTTCTATAAACAATCCTTTCTGGAAATTTTGATAGCAGAGAGACTCCACAGACCAATGACTGATTCAGGGAAATGTCACTGTTCCCAGGGCCTGTGCCTTTTACTGCTTGAAAATAAAACAACAATAAAACAGATGAGGGCTTGCTGCATCATTGTCAAGGTCTAGAACCTTCTACATTAGTACACTGTACTAAAAACACTGTTGGCTTGGGGTGGGGAGGTGTGCTTTAAACCTCATAATAAGCTTTGGTTTCCAAGGACACATAAAGCTGCCCAACAACCATCCATTGAGAGACACAGAGAATCTAAGTACTTGGGTAAAACTAGGAAGCAATCAGGCCAATAACTAAATTCAAGGGACC